CATTTTCCCTGAATACTATGAGAACTCCCTGACTTTCCTTGACATTCCATGACCTGGTTAAAAGACACTTTTATCCTTGACTTTTCCTGACCATTAAAACCCTGTGTTATCCTAGAAAATAGGATAACACAGGGTTATCCTATTTTCTAGGATAACCCTGGATTTTCTAGGATTAATCTTCTTTCCACATTTAAAACAACAAATATACTTACTAAACATTGTTTTTAATAAAACAAAGTTTATAATAATGTTAGAATTGTTCTCGCAATCTTCATTTTTGCACCTGAAAAACTTGTAATTAGTGATAAAAGTGTAGTTTTAGTTTTCATTGCATCTGTACTAATTGCCTTCAAACTTATATTTATGTTTTTTAATCATGCTGCAAGTCATTTTTTATATAAACAATGCATACAAACTTGTATTAAAAATAGTGTTAAGCCAAGCATGATATTAACACTGGTCAACAAAATGGAACTTTTTGTTCTCATCATGAATAAAAATATTTTTTTCTGGATAAACTTTTCACTCTGATTCCAAATATCTATTTAGTCTCTATCACGTACACATTTTGAGATAAGGGCCCCTCTTATTTTGCAAATCTCAGGGAGATTAAGACATTTGCCTTAAGTTGTGTTGTATGAATTTGCATCTCCTACCCTATTACTATCTTAGAACCGTACAATTGTCAACAATTTAAGTCAGTATTAACATATACAAAGTTTTATTCACTACAATTATCACAACATTTGCTCAAAATCGCCGTGAATATGACTTTCTTTTAAAGACTTTGTCTGGGTTGTCACAATAAAGCATCCAGCAGTAATCACCCATCATGCTTTCATTCCAAAACCCTTGATAGCGATTTTCCATCAGTTGAATATCTTGATGAAATTGTTTACCTTGTTCATCATCCAGATTTTCAGGAAAAAATTTCAGATGGGAATGTAAAAAGTGCAACTTTAAAGACATGCGACATCCCATTTTTTGATATGAATCGAGCAGCTCTTGAATCCCTGCTTCATATTCAGGTGACTTGTGGTTACCAAGAAAGTTAGCACAAACCCAAGTAAAGGCTTGCCAAGCTTCCTTTTCTTCATCTGTGAGAGAATTTTTGAAATTAATATCTCGCAAAACCTCTCTAATTTGAGGTCTGACAAAAATTCCTTCTTTCAACTTTGCTGCACTCATTTTTGGAAATTTTTCCACCAAGTATTGAAATCCAGCTGAATTGGATTTCCCCATTGCTTTTACAAAGTTCTTCATCAAGCCAAGTTTGATATGTAGAGGAGGTAAAAAAATCTTTTGTGGATCGACCAAAGGAATATTTTCAACACTATTTCTTCCTGGCTCATACTCATTCCTTTGGTCCCAATCTCGTTTCACGTAATGTTCTGTTACAGCGCGGCTGTCCCACAAACACAAGAAACAGCAGAATTTTGTGAAACCCATTAGCATGCCCAACAGCATGCCAATGACTTTTAGATCACCACAGATATTCCATTGATGAGTTTTGTAGTTGATTGCCTCAAGGAGAATTTTCATGTTTTCATGCGTCTCACTCAGATGAACAGAATGAGCAATTGGTATGCAAGGCTTTTGATTTCCCTTTTGCAACAACACAGCTTTCAAGCTTCGCTTTGACGAATCGATGAACAAATGCCATTCAGAAGGTTCATGCAGCTGTGATAAACTTTCAAACAGTCCACTGATGTCATTGCAATAGCACAATGGGGCATCAACAGTAAAAAATGTAGCTAATTGAAGATTATGCTTTCGATAGTGGCACACTTTAACGTTTGTTGCAAGCAAATTTTTTTGTTTAAGTCGTGACCCCAAAAGTTCTGCTTTTTCCTTTGATAAGGTTAAGTCTCGGACCAAATCATTTAGTTCTTCTTGAGTGAATACTTCTGGCGTTTTTTTCGACATCAGGTGAATAGTCAAGATCGGCAGTATCTTGATGTTCATCACAAGAATCCACTTCCATCTCATCTTCGACAGAATCTAATCCATCTATTGGAGGCATTGGAACTGGTAATGAGGGGTCATGTGGAACTGGCCTCATTGGCGAATCCAAATCTGGATAAACAATTTTGTGCCTATTTTTCGATGAAAATCCAGTTGTATTAACAATGCAAAAATAACAATCAGTTACATGATCCTTTGGCTGAAAATGCAGTTTTCCGTTTGTGAAGCCAGTCACGAAATCCACTAGAACAGCTTGTGCAAATAATATGTGGAGCCCATGTTTTATCTTGATCACCTAACGGACATCCAAAGTACAATTTGTAGATTTTTGACAATTTCGCTGTAATTTTACGCCGCTGACCAGACACTGTAAATAAGCCGCATACATAACAAAAGGTGTCAGGCTGATTCTTGCATTTTCTTGGCATCTTGATAAATTATTTTATAAAGATTAAATCAAACCTGAAATGAGGAATAATATCATAAGTAATTGCCACTAATCTCAAAACATAAGGCATGTCATCTCAAAAACTAGACGTGCTACAAAAAAACTGAGCACAGATTTGAAATCTGCACAAAAAAATGTATCTGGGCCACCCAAAATCGAGTCTGATGAAAAATTGTTGTTGACCAGTGTAATTAGTAAACTTCAAGCTGTGAAACTTATTGTATGACTTTTTTACCAGTGCACAGTGGGCTAATTTTCAAAAAAGTTGGCCAAAAGTCAAAAAAAAAAAAATCACTATTTTGAATTTATTATTTTGAAACTACATAAACAAAGCCCTGTTGTATTTTATTGTATAAGAAAAAATTGTATAAATTTTAAAGTTACCTATATCTACGCAGTTAAACATCTGTTATTAAAAACACATAATTGGCGTTTTAAAAGCAAAAAAAAAAATGTGGTTAAATAAGTATCGTTTACAAAAAAGTTATTTATCGTTACTAAAAAACCAACTATGGACGATACTATTCAAGGTATTTATATAATATTTTAGTAAAAAGTTTTATATTATTTCTCTAAATTTTATGCGAAAAGTGCAAACAAAAAAGTACAGAATAAAGTTTATTTATTTTCTTTAACCTATTTTTCAAGCATTGAAAAAGTAGTGAACCCGCGAGATTCCGCTTAGTTATAATTTGGATATTGTTCATAAAAGTGTATTCTAAAGATTGGTTAAAAGAAAAGGCACCTATTTTTGCCTATTACTTCATTAACTTATATTGTGTAGTGCTAGTCGTGTTTTTTAGTAAACAAAATGGCGGTGTTTTGTTTTCTTTACAAAATCAGTCAAATTGTAAATAGATATAGTTATTATGTTTCTTGAGAAACTGATTTTTTTAAGTGCAATAAAACTACAATAAAATTAGTAGCACACATGAATGAGATTTTGACAAAGTTAGAGTGTAGGAGGGGGGGATATAAACCCCCTCGGTTACGACGTCTTTTTTACCTCAGCTACGACAAGTTTTGTATAGTTTTACTAAATTTTACAAAATCAGTTTCTCAAAAAACATAATAACTATATCTATATACAATCATATGATTAACAGTATATTTTACCTTTCTCTTATATATCGAATTTATATAAAATAATATATTATCGATTACTTTTTATTTTATTTTTAATTAGTTTAGTAAAGTTATAATGTTTTTATGATTTTTTCAATTATTATATTTTCAATTAATATCTAAGGTTCACAAAAAGATCATTTGCAAATTCCTCGAATTGAAATTTTTGAAATTTTAAAAACCGAGTTATCTTCAGATCTAGATGACCAGCTTGATATTTTGCAATCACAGTTGTGTCTAAGAAGAAATATTTGTTTCCAATTTTCAACAGATGATAAAAAGAAACTAAAAAATGTATTGACAAAATTAAAAATAAAATGGAAAAGTAGTAACCGAACAAAAAAAAATATTTTTGAAGACACATGACACTTGGTTAAAAGTTAAACTCTGAAACTCATTCGTCTGTAATTGAGTTTATCAACAATATTTCAATAATAAATGATTCAGATGACAGTGGTGATTTATTTTAAAGTCATATAAATGAAACAATTATGATAAATGATGCAAATAAAAGTTTTTCTTGTTTTCCTTGAACAAATAAATAAGTAGAATAAATAATGAATTTTTCAATTTATTTTTCTTAACATTGCGGCATAATAATACAGTCATAATACATTATATATCAGTATTATATATAATGTTTATATATGTAATGTAAATAATACATTAGTCTATTGAACTTAAATGTCGAATTAGAACTAATTGGTTAAACACAAAGGCCCAAAGGCATTTCTAATGATTAATGTTTTTAAAACACCGCCATTTTGGATCTGCCATTATTGAATTTTGATACACTTATGTAAAATTCAAAGTTGGGGATTCAAAAAAATGCTATACAGAAATTTTCCATTAATTATAATCATTTTTTGACTTTTGGCCAGGTTTTTTGAAATTCCGCCCACTGTGCAGTGGTAAAATAGCAAACAAGATGTTTTCAAGACTTTTTAAGTTCCTCCAAAAAGCTACCTCTTAGGTATCTTGGAAAGTCTAAAAAATTATGGCATATTAAAACATAGTTATTTAAAATACTAAATAAAATTACAAAAGTTTTCATATTACTAATCTTTGTCAAGTTTTTCATTAAAATTGACTATAAAAAAAATTTGCCAAAAGGTAAATGTTACCTAAAAACAAATCTTTTTAACTATTATAGCGTTTAAAATAAAAAAAAGAGTAATTTTTTTAAAAAAACTAATAAAACTAAAAATCAAGCAGTTGGTTTTTTGGGCCAAGTAACAGGTTTTTTTACAAAATAAAAAAAAAAAGAACTAAAAAAACAACTTAAATCTCTATGCTCCTCCTCTCCCCGATACATACACACACACACCTTTTATGCATCTGTAAGCTTTAAGGTGATCCTTCCTCCCCTCATACCTGCATACATACTATAAAGAAAACTCCATAATAAAAAATATAAAAATTGCATATCATAACAATAATAAAAACAAACTCAATGTCTAACCAGGCCTTTTGCATTAATAACTTTAACTGTGACTTTGATTGGTGGCTGCTCAACGTCTGCCATATTTAATTTTTACTAAATTAAAATATTTTTTAAAATAAATTACAATAAAAGCAAATAACAATTGTAGCAAAATAGTTGTTGCCGTAATTACTTAAATTGTTTACAATATTTTTCTTGGTTTCTAAATTTAAAGTAAAGTTAGTTATTTTTAACAATAAAAAAAACTGTTGTCAATAGAGTTTGGAAGAAAAAATTTTCTGTAGAAACAGATTGCACTAGTTGGCCTCTGAAAATACAATACAGGAAGTCATTATCCCTAAAAACTAAAAATTGAGAATTTTACTTTGAATGATAATCCATTCTACAAATAGTTTTTTGCAGATTGTTTTGAAACATCACTCTAATTAGAAAATACACATACATTTCTGTACATTTTATAGTTTCATAATTTTGCATTTTATTTAGTATTTTTTAAATTTTTTTTGTTTTTATACATAATATCATATTCCTACATTTTGGAAGCATTCTTTTTTATATTATAATTATTTGCAAGAGATATTTGTTATAATTTGATTTATTTAAGTTAAAGTGTTTTTTAATATTTTCATGAAAAACTTTTGCATTAATTGATAAAAAAATATATATTAGCTAAAATATATTTATTAGTTTTGCACAGGATTTTTTTAGTTTTGATAGATCTCCAGAAATTGTATTTTTATTAAATAATTCTGTCACCAAATCTGATATCCAAAATAAAAATGTGACCCCAAGATGGCATGGCAAGAGTGTCATAATAGCACAAGTTTCATAATAGGTCTGGTAAATATAACAATTATATATATATATATATATATATATATATATATATATATATATATATATATATATATATATATATATATATATATTTATTAATAGAAATGTACTGAGTACATTTCTATTAATAAATACAGTAAAACAGTGTACTGAGTACTATCTATGTTTCAAGTTGAATTCTTTAACAAATTTAAAAATGAATAAAGTAACAAAAACTATAAAACACAAAAAACCACAGTCATCACCAAGTTCGCTAAACATATCATGGACTAATATTCGTGGTCTTCGAAGTAACTTTTCTTCTGTTGAGTCTTATCTCTAGCAAAGTTCACCAGACCTACTTGCTATTTGTGAGACTAATTTGAGTTCAGCTGTCTCATCTTGTGATCTTAGAGTTTATTGTTATTTTCCTTTAATTCGTAAAGACTCCAATAGTCACATGCTTGGCCTGGGCATTTACATTCATAAGAATTCACCCATTTGTCGGTAAACTAGATTTGAATCCACAGACTATTCTTTTATGTGCTTTTGTTTAGCACCACCTTACTCTATCGTCTTTCTCTTTGTTCTACATCGCTCTCCTTCATCTCAAGACTGCACTTTTCTTGATGTTATTTCTGTTCATATTGACCAAGCCATCTCTCTTTATCCATCAGCCAATATTGTTATTGTCAGTGACTTTAATGCTCATCACACTGAGTGGCTTGGCTCTAGTGTCAGTGACTCTACAGGCATTAAAGCCCACAATTTTTGTCTTTCTCAATCCTTAACTCAAATAGTCAACTTTCCAACTCGCTTTCCAGATAACCCAAATCATTTACCTTCTCTACTCGACATATGTCTTGTTTCTGATCCTAGTCAGTGCTCAGTTTCTCCAGACTCACCCTTAGGTGCCCCCTATTATCATATATCTTACAACTACCTTAAAGCTGACTGGGACTCTTTCCGTGATTTTTTTCGTGATGGCCCCTGGGTAGAAATCTTTCGTCTTCCTATTGACAAATGTGCTTCTTACATAACTTCGTGGATTCAGGCTGGCATGGAATCCTTTATTCCCTCTTGATGATTCCAGGTCAAGCCTCACTCTTTTCCATTGTTTTCCTCGCATTGTGTTGCTGCAATTGCCAATTGAAACCATTACTTCCATATCTATCAGCAAAACAATTCTTCAGCAAACAGATGTCTGTTTATTACTGTTAGAAACCATTGTAAAAAGGTTTTGTCTTACGCCAAAGCCCGCTATTCTCAGAATATGAAATCTCGTATTTCATCACCAAAATTAGGCTCTCGTGACTTCTGGAGAATTTTTAATAGTATCAATAATAAGGGCAAGTCTGTAATTCCACCTCTTTTGTATGGTTCAGACTTTGTCACCTCACCTAAAGACAAAGCTGAATTGTTTGCCAAGAACTTTTCATCAATATCACCTCTTGACTCCACTAGTTGCGCTCTACCTGATATAGCCGTCAAACAGGTTGATCCATTGCTTGACATTCATATCACTCCAGCTTCTGTATCTAAAGTGATTTCCCGCTTAGACTCTTCTACAGCTTGCAGCCCGGACAACATACCTGTTATAGTCTTGCAGAAGTGTTCTCCGGAGCTGTCGATTATCCTTTCAAAATTTAAAAAGTGCTTATCAGAGTCTTATTTTCCAGCCTGCTGGAAAGCAGCATCTGTTATCCCTATTTTTAAAATTCTGGAGAGCGATCTGATTCATCTAATTACCATCTCAATAGTCTTCTTCCAATCATAAGCAAGGTTTTTGAATCTTTAATTAACAAACACTTAATCTCTCATCTTGAATCGTATAACCTACTTTCTGATCATCAATATGGATTTCAATCTTCTCGTTCTATGGCTGATATGCTAATCAGCCATAGAACAAGAATCTTGCTCTACAATCTTCATCTTTTCTCTTCCAGTAACTTCCAACACTAATTAGTGGTTGCTTGCAGTCTTGTTGGAAGCGAATTTGTTGAAAAAAAAAAAATATATATATATACACACACACACACATACACATATACATATATACATATACATACATACACATACATATGTATATACATACATACAAGGTTTAAAAAATCGACGTCTCAAGGTGGTGAGGTGTGCGCTTTTTGCAAGGTTTTTTAAACCTTAGCTATAGTCAAGATTAAAAAAAGTGCACGCCTCACTGTCTTTAGGAGACACTTTTTTAAACCTTGCATACATACACATATACACACACATATGCATATGCATATACACATTCATTGAACAAGGACAGCAAAAAAGCTGCAGATAAATGTAAAAATTCTTAAAAAATAAAAAAAGCATTTTTTAATAAGAATATTAACAGTGATATATTGCTTCTATTAATGTTATTATTCTAGTAGCTATCCAAATAGCGTTTTTTAATTTATTGAGAAAAGTATATTTAAAAATTGAGTTTTCAGTTTTAAAAGAATGAGGGAGATTGCTCCAAAAATCGTTGCACTGTTGTTTAGTTGATTTTCTGTCAAATTTTATTGTCTTAGTATGTTCTACAAAGATATTACTACATGAAGAGGATCTTAGGAAGTGAGTATGTTTGTTACGTATTTGAAAGAAAAAGTTCGTGAAGGTTATTGGAATTTTATTATGAAGATAATCTCATACAAATAAACAATTTAAAAAATTAATATTGTTGTTCAGCTTAAGAGTTTTTGATAATTTATACAGCAGAGAGACATTGTCAAACAGGTAATTTTAATAGTGTATAATTTTAAGAGTTTTGTTTTGAAGTGAAATACACCTTAGGTATGCGTGTCAAACCAACTAGTTTGACACGCATACCTAAGGTGCGCTCCAAATATAGCATGATAAATACTCATATATGTTTCAAAATTTACAAAACATCTGATCTTGGCTAACATTCCAATTCAATTGATTGACTTTGCTTAGTTGGTAAATAAGTTTGATGAGACTTAAAAGAAAGACTCTCATCCAGTCAAACACCTAGGTATTTCACAATTTTTCACGAAATTAATATTTTTCCATATATGTAGAAAGTGTATATCTGGGAGTGATGTAAGAACTAAATTGTGTGAGAAAAAAATTATTATTTTGAAGTAACAGACATTTGATGGATACAAATCATGAGACAATTAATCTTAATTGAATAATTAGACAAGACAATTGGTTATCATAACAACAATGGTAAAAAAAAAAGTTGATCTATCAAGGAAGCTAAAGGTTTAGCTGCGAAGAAATAAGCAATGAAAAAATAAAGATTAAAGGTTTTATTTACAAGTTGCTATAATTACCTTGAAAATAAAACATTTAGCAGCATATATTAAGTACCCATATATAATGTTATCCTACTTAAAAATTAAAATATATAAAAAAATTTGGATTTCTCGGAAAATCTTGAAAAAATGAATAAATCTTTATAATAATAGTTCTATAATTAATTCTTGTAAATATTTAAAAAATTGACACTCATTTGTCAACTCAATATGAATCAAACGCAAGTACAATGACAAAATATCGTAATAATAAATTAATAGAAAACTAATATATTAGTATAAATAGTAGTAGCTAAAATTTTTAGAATTATTGAAAAAGTAGATAAATTTTATAAATTTTATAAAAGAGTGACCCACTTTTTGGTAACCATAACTACAATAAAACATTTCAAAGATGATTTTTGCATTATTACATAGAGTCCGTAAAATCTACAGCATGAATTACATTTAGTCCGTAAAATCCACAGCAACTGATTTACCCAATAAGAATAATTTTGGAGAAAACTTTTACGAGGGCCATTTAGCGATATGTTTATAAATTTTTACGCTTAAATCTCAACTACTCCTAAAGTTTTTTTTTTATTATTAATTTTTTTAATCCATTTATTTAACCAAAAATTGCAAATTTTTTATAATTTTGCAAAATTAGGTTAGGTGTCACTTATGTGCGGCCGTTGCGCAGTGGTTCTTTATAAGCAGAAGATCCAGGCTAGAAACGAGCTTTTAACATATTTCGCGTCACGGTAAGGAAGGAGGCGTGAACTTCCTGGTTAAATGCACTTCCGCGGTGCTCTGTAACAAGACCGTTAGGTCTTCTTGGGGCACCAAAAATTATATAGTTAAAAACTAGTCATTGGAGTGACAACTAAGTAAAATAAACAAACAAACAAAAAATCAATAACAATAATAATAAATAAAAGCAAGTGTAATTAAATTAATTAAAAATAATAATAATAATAACGACTAAGCTATAATAATGTAAATAAAATAAGACAAAGAAATTTAAAAACACTCAGATAATAACAACAGCGAACAAAAATAAAAATAATTAGCAACAGCAGCACAAATAATAGAGTAAAAGTATCACAAATCGGACAGTGCGCAAAAGCGGACTTTTATCGGGAAAACTAAATATCTTCACTAAAAGTAAAGATATTTGCAAATTTTAAAAAAGTTTTTTATTTTTAGTGTGTGCAAAATTATAAAATTAAAAAAAAAAATTATTAAAATCATTGCTTTAATAAGATATTTAAGTTTAAACATAATCTAAAATCAAACCCAAAAATCAAACTTTTATTGAAATTAGGTTTTTAGCATGAAAGATTTAAAAGGCAATTTAAAAACAAAGGAAGCTATTTTGTTGGAAATTCGCTACTAATTCCAAAAATAGTTTTAGATTTTCAAAATCTTATTACGTTATTACTTCGTTTGATTTATAAATCAATGGCACTCAGAATTAAGCGAAAGAACAGCTACAAATATAGCATCTTTGAGAGCAGGGTCATGCGCACCAGAATTAATTGCTTTTTATTTTGATGTTTTGAAAAAACATTTTGATTTAGCAAAAATAGATTTAAGTATTCCCATGCATTTGTGGAATTGGGATAAAACTGGTTTCAATGGTAAAAAAGGCGATGCAAAAGTAATTACCAGAAGAGGTTCAAAGCGTCCACTAGAATTTACTGGAAATAACGAAAAAATAAACTATATTGTTCTTAATTGTGTTAATGCTGACGGAATCCTTCTACCGTCTTTTGTTGTTTACAAATCAAAGAATTGACTCTATGATGATTGAATTAAAGGAGGCACACCAAATACACTTTACACAACATCACCGACTGGTTGGATGGAAAGTAATCAATTTTTGCAGTGGTTCAATAAAATGTTTATTCCTTACATTCAAAATATTGGTGATCAACATATCTTACTTTTGGATGGCCCCAGCACACACGTGTCATTAAGTTTAGCCTTAAAGTGTTAAGAAAACAATATAACACTAATTTGCATTCCTGCCCATTCATCTCACAAATGCAGCCTCTTAATGTTGGTGTATTTTGCCATGTCAAAGATATTTGGCGTGATATTTTGCGAAAATTTTATGCTGACTGGGTTTTAGCAATTGGTCCAAAAAAAGTTTCCCAAGTCTCCCAGCACAGTTGTGTAGAAGCAATAAAGCTTATATTTGTACACAAATTATTGCTGGTTTTGAAAACATTAGGTTTTTTCCATTATATCAAGACGATATTCACAAATTAAAATTACAAATTCGTCAAACTTTTAATAACGTTTTAATAACATCATCCGCAGTAACAAAATCACTACGCAGCCCAGGTTCTTTGCCTCAAACTGCTCAACAAACACAAACCTGAGTTCCGTCTGCAACTCTAACTTCAATTCCATTTTTAATTTTAACTGCTCGAGCTTATTAGCATCCTGCAAAAAAGCCAGAAATTTCATAAAATTGGCTTATCAAGCTTTTACAGAAAAAGCATGGTTAAACCAGTTAAGAAAAGAAGAAGATGCAAAGCTATTAAAACAAATATATGTTGAAATTGCAGCAGCAGAAATAGAAACTCCTGCTAAGAAAGCCAAAAAAAAGTACAAAAAATGTTTAAAATTTTTTGAAAATGAAAAGCTTGAGATGCAAGTTTTATGGATAACTTGAGAAAAATCAAGTTGCAGCTCGTGAATTTGTGAAACTTGTCTCCCAAAAAGATATATAAAAGGTGAAGAGTTCTTTTGCACGAAAAGTTGCAGAACCTAGTTCATAAATATTTTATTTTTATTTATTTTTTTTTAGTTTTTTTCTTTTTTTATTATTATTATATGAAAATTTTAACATTAAAAATAAAAATTTTGAGTTTATCAATTTATCTAAGTTTATTTTATATAATTTGGAACTGTCCTCTTTTAGAGACATTTTTCCAAAAAGCGGACACTTTTTAAAAAAATAAAATCTTTTTTTTCCATAGAAACCTGAAATAATTTTTTTTTTTTACACTAAAGAATTGCTCTAATAAACAACTATATTCCAGAAAAAAACATCCTACAAATTCTCAAAAACTACAAAACGAAAATATATTTGTTATTTTTGGCGAAAACAGTTAAACATTTTCGAACTTTTTTTCTTTTAATTTGTAACTTCGCTTTCAATTGATTGTTTTTGTTTTGTTTCATTAAACTTGTTCGTTTTATTTTTTTATTAATTTTCTTGTTTAACTTTTTATTTAATCTTTTAGCTCGTTTATACCTTTCAATATTTTTGTTGTTTTACTTTATTTTTAACTAATCTTTTTTATTTTTTTAATTAATTTCTTTCGTTTTTCCTTTTCTTTTTTCACCGTCACATAAACGTTTCCGCAGTTTGCGATGTCATCGCAAAACAAAGGAAATTATTTGCTTTTGTACCTCCATGTTTTTTGCTTTTTTTATGTTAACGTTATTCTTAATATATCATTGCTCGGTGTAGTTAAGGCGATTTCTAGTAATAAAAGGTTAGATGTAAAAGAATCAGCAGTTTACAGTATAAAATGTTCTGCTAAAGTTTAGCAAAACGCTTCATACTGTAAACTGCTGATTTTTTTTATAAACATTATTGTTTCTATAAATCATTGTGTGTCATGTTCATAATGTTTGCAAAGTGTATTATAGATCTTCTGCCACATTCTAATTCACAAAATGCCATAAGACTGCAAACCCCCCTTCCTCCACACACACACACACACACACACACACACACACACACACACACACACACACACACACACACAAACACACACACACACACACACACACACATACACACACACACACACACACACACACGTGAGACCTACTTGCGTCGGCCCTGTGTATTGATAATAAGATATGATATGCTTTTAAAATGAAATAAAGCATTTTATTAGAATAAAAGATAATAATGGTTATGAAAAATAAACATTTGGTCTTCTGAAAGTTTCCCGTGTTCTCTTTACAGAAGTTGGTTTATTATTTATGTGAACATCACGTTTGTGTTTTTTATTTTCATACGTATATATATATTTTTTGTTAAAGAATTGTTATTATTTCACTACATTATATAGTTCTCTTTTTTTCAATTTTGATATCAACTTACTTGCTATGAAATAACAAATGTTTTTTTTTTACCTAAAGTTTTTATTTTACAATCCATAAATTTTGGTATAATTTGTTGCTTTTGTTTGATTGTTTTTCAATTTTTGTCATTTTATCTAAAAAGAATTATCTACATATATATCTATTACTACTACTAACAATTCTATTTGAATGTTATGTCATAACATTTAAATATGGAGTTTTCTTTTCACTTTTTTATTTCTTAACCCTAAGGGCTAGACCTCACAATCTGGTTTTAGCTATCCCACTTTGTGATATAAATATAACATCTTTTATATTTTTTGTGCGCATAACCTTAAACTCGTTGATTGAAAGTGACAAAATTTTAGGGCAAAATTTATCTGAAATGAAATTTTTTGTCGCCGAAAATTTTTACTCGATTAATTCAGTTTTAAATCATGGATCGGGAAAAGCAAGGTGTCAACATTGATAAACAACATGTGTACGTTGTATCGAGTGGCTGCTTAATAAAAATTCAAAGTTATTTTGGATCACTGTTGTACCAAGATAGTTTTTAAATTTAGAACTAGTTAGTTATGGCCAACCGTTTACTTTGTTTATCTACTACTTTTTTAAATCCGTTAGACTGTCAATTATTTAATGCATTTCAGTACAGAGGCTTGAAACGATGGCAACTTCTCAAGAGCCGAAAAGGTAAAAAAGCTTTGCCTAAAACTAGAAAGAGAGACGGAAAAACTTATACTGTGGATCACTTATATTGGGAAAGATATTTTTCAAATGCTCCACAAGTGCTTTTAGAACGCCAAGCAGTTAATACAAAGTCTGTTAGCCAGCTAAAACCTAAAGTGTCAAGTCCAGCAAGACTTTATGAAACTTTCACCAAGGCAGATAAAAGGTGAAAACATTTTAAATATATAAATCTTTATTTATTTTAACTAATAGGGTCTATAATTATCCACCTTAATTAAATTAGTATGATCCAACCTTTAAACAACTCAGGGTTCTCTTTTTTATGGTTTCTCATAAGTAATGTTTTAGTGTTGTTATTTTTTTCCCTAATTTTTATTATTCTGATTCACTTCCAAGACTGTAAGCAAAAACTATTAGGTTAAGAATTACTAGAAAGCAAAGAATAGAGATAAAGAGCAAAGAAACGGTTGACATAAGACTTGAAAAGTTGTTCATCTTTTTATTAAAAACAATGTAAAACTCAAACTTTTGTCTTTTAGAATTTTGTTAAAATGAATATAAATCTAGAGGACTCAGTGGTTTACTATCTATTGGATCATTAAGTTTTTTTATATGATTTAATTTTAAAGATAATTCAAATTCAACAAAAATAAAATTATTGAAGCTAATTTAATAAGTTTGGGTTTTCCTAAATTTATTTATAAATTATTTTGTAGAATTATAGAAGAATGTTACTAATCTAAAATTTTAAATTACTAAAAGTTAAATGTAATTATTTTTTTAAAGTAAACTTTGCCAAGTCAGCAAATATAAAGTTATTTATCTAATTAGTTCTGATAAAAATATTTCGGAATATATATAAAAAGTTATTGTTTAATATCTCCTATAGTATTATCTCCAAATTAATATGATTAAGTTCTTCTATATCTTGTTTGTAGTTTATAAAATGTTAATCTATTTAACTTTAATTAAACTAAACAACTTTATGTGCATAATTGATGATTAAAAAATTTACATAATTTAAAACATTCAATAAACTTTAATCTATTGAAATAAAAATATAATTATATTGATGCTTACTGTGTCCAGGGGCAGATCCAGCTATTTTTGGTCTTTGAGATAACTAACTTCTAGGCATAGAGTAAACTTCATACATTTATATGTTAATACTTATGTCAAATAAGGAAAATTGTAACCCCCTCAAATTGAAGAAGGTTTAAACTTTATATGGTCATAGTTTTTGAATTCTGAGATATGATACTATAAAAACTTAAAATTTATTGATGAATCAAGGCCAACGACATGGGTTTCAAAGTGGAGACGCACATTCATCAATTTCTTTTAAAAAGTCTTTTTTTATCTAGAAATTTCTTGAACAAAATAAAAAAGGTCCTTGATTAATTCCCCTTTCCCCCAGCCTCTTTGGCCCTATGAATGTAAGTCTAGTTAAGAATAGTAAAAAATAATTTAATCAAATTGTTACTCTCATACTTGGGACAGGGAAGGGGGACAAAAAAATTAAAGTTTTTTTGTTTTCCGGCTTTAATCATCTCAGTTTTCTGCAAAGCATCATTATTTGACATAAATATAAAGATATAAATGTTTGGAGTTTGCTACATATCTGGGGCTGTATTCTCATCTCTCTGTTAAGCTTAACGGAGCATTAGTAAAAAATTTCTTTTTAAAGATATTTATAAAAACGTTCTTTAAAAATATAAATTTTTAAAAATGATTGTTTTATTTTAGTATTAGTTTCATTTTAAAAAATTTAAATAAGATTTTCGTCATTTCTTTACTTAGATATATTGTAATGAGATTTCAGACAAAAGGCTATGTTGAGCTTAACGGAGAGATGAGAATATGGCTGCAGAAAGTCAGCTATCTAAAAGACCAAAAAATGCTGGATCTGCCCCCGGTGAAGTTGTCTATTCCAAAATAGACACAGCTAATTTTGTAATAAACAAAGGTTTATTACAAAAGTCATTTTTAAAAATTTTGTAATAAATATTTTTGTCTTTTTAAATTTAAACTATGGTTAAGGTATACAAAAATATTAAACATAAAAAACCATCAACACTACCTAACTGTTTCAATATATCTTTTACAAAGATTCGTAGTCTTCGAAGTAACTTTCCATCAGTTGAATCTTACTTCTTGCAAATATTACCATACTTGATTGTTCTTTGCAAGTCTAATTTAAATATGGCTGTTTCTTTCTTTGATCTAAGTATTAATTATCTAAAGATTGGCAAAGACTGCAATAGTCGCATGCTTAATAGTAAGTGACCGGGGCCCCGGCCCTGACTAAAAAGACTTTTTGCAAACCTGGCGCCTGCAAAATTATAAGATTTAGCAGGGGCTTGGAAAAAGTTTATAATACTTTATATATTGTAATTTAATACTTACATTCACTATTTATTAAATACTGGCATATATTTATATATTTTTGAACTTTTATTTACTTTTATAAAGTTTGTAAAGAACCACTATTAAGTGACGAGTTACTTTAAAATAGAGGGTAGATTAAAAAAGCTAGAAAATAGTTAACTGAAGACTTAGAAGGTTGTAGGTTATATATAAAAGAAAAACATGAAGATGAGTGAAAGCTATAAGGACAGATTAGAAATAAACCTTGTATCGAACATTTGTTAGAAAAGATTAAAGTGATTTAGGTATCAGCATCTAGAGAGATAGCAGCTCAGGGTTAAATGGTAAAGGTAGAAGTAAAAAAACTTGAAGAGAGTGCCTTACATATTGTATGAATAAGCTTAAGTTAAAGAAAGAAAATGCTCTAGATTGTTTATATTAGAGAAGCAGCATGAGAATAATGATAATGGTGATGATGCCAATTATGATTATGATGATCATGTTGATCATGATGATCATGATACAAAATATATATGCATTAATTTTGAGTTAAAAAATTTACTTTAGGATGTATAAATATAGTAAATATATGTATAGGCTATATTTGATCAAACCCGGCCCTGGTCAAATTTCAACCCCAGTTGCTTAGTTTAGGTGTTTACTTACGCATTAGTTCACCTACTTTTCAAGAAATCAGGTTTGAATCTTTTGACCTTTTTTTTATGGGCTTCCCTTTAGCACCTATTAACTTTTTCACCTTTCTCTTTGTTTTTTGTTGTTCTTTTTCTTCTCAAGACTGCACTCTTTTAGATGTTAGTCCTAATCCAATTGACTATGCCCTTTCTTTTTACCCTTTTGTCAATAATGTTGTTATTTGTAACTTTAATGCTCATTACACTGAATGGCTAAACTCTAGCACCACTGACCCTGCTGTTACTAAAGCCAGTAACTTCTGTCTTTCTCCTACTCAGAAAGTTAACTTTGTGACTCTTTGTTTTCTAGACAACCCTAATCACTTACCTTCACTTGCTGATTTGAGTCTTGCTCCTAACTATGGCTTGTGTTTAGCTCCAACCATTCAATAATTTATATAAATCTTTCATCTCACACTTCTTCGAACTTATTGTACTACTTACTATTACCCTAAAGTCTTTTCGATTCATTTTCGATTTCGATAAAGATTCATTTTCGTGATTTTCTCTTTTTTAAAAACTCTTTGGAAACTTTTCGGAAACTTTTAGACTCTTTGGAAACTTTTTTTAAAAAAATTTAAAAGAGTTTCCAAAGGTTTCAAAAACATGTTAACTAGTAAACTATAGGGGTTAAAATTATCGTGTGCTGGGTTTGTTACCAGGAGTGCATAAGCAATGGTACATCCAAATTTATTATTTTTTATTTAAATTTTATGTTTTAATATTTATACATTAGGCATTCCGGGAAGCGCGTGTGGTTACATGCCTTGTTCTTCCATGTTTAAAGTAATTTTTTCAGACTAACTGACCAAGACAGTTCGCATCTTTTAACTTATAAAGCGTTCCAATAATTCACAGCAAAAAGCTAAACTTATTTACTAAGAAAAAAAACAAAACAATTCTTAAATAAGGAAACAAAATTGTAATGGATTATCAAGTTTAATTAAATAGAATAGAAAATTAATTAATGATAATGACTAACCAATAAGAAAAAAATTATGGGGTTTCTAACCAACAGCATTGGTTTTTAATTAGAATTTATTGATGAGTGGTTTTTTCATCCAGTTTCCAGTTTCCTTCAAACTTAATGAAAAACTTTAAAAAAGCCAGCGCTTGACTTTGGAAATTTTTATAATTTCCATACAAATACAAGTACATATAAACTTAGTAAGTTTTTAAAAAAAGGATGGTAGGAAAAGCCTAACAGGTGATAAATATTTGAAGCGACTGAGAGAAGAAGCAGCAAAAAAAGACAGTGCTCCAAGGAAAAAGACCACTACAAAAGGAAAAAATCTTCAAGCCGAAGATGATAGTAACAGTGATGAAGATGACGACACTATGTCTATAGTGTGGTATTCACAGAGTTCAAAGAAAGGAACGGGTGTGCTCTGACTTATGTGATGTTTGGTACCATTTTAAATGCACAGAAGTTCTAGACGGAGCTGATAGTGAAGCCATGGACTGGATCTGTGAGAAGTGTCTAAAAATGATGTAAAAATATATGTTTTACATAGTTGATCTTACTACCCCCATTTTTAAAAATTTGAGTCGGCATTAATTGTAACTTTTTAGCTTTATTTTCACTATAAAAATTTAAATTTTTTTGGATAAAGCTTTTGCACATATAGAAATATGTGTTGTCTATAACTAAAATATATTTCCAGTTTGAATTTAATATTTATTTACTTATTTCAAAGAGAGAAAGAAAAGTTCTTGAAAACATGGGGCCTAATGCCCCTTGTTACCCTATTTAAAAACTTAAACAAAAGTTTTAAATAGGCTCCTAAAAATTTCGTCAAGAAAGTTCAGTAAATTAACAATGCACTAGCTCACAAATTTTGCAGCATTGTTTCATTTTATTACATGAAAATCTTGTTTAAAAAAAATAAAATTTTTTTTAAACAAGATTAAACAAATAAATAGCAATTAGTTTTCTCGCTTTCCTGTTCATTGATAAAAGCAGTAAAGTTTAGCAAAGTCATTTGATAAACAATCTTAAAAACTGTCCTTGTTTCTAGCGCCATTTAAAATATTTCCTTTATATAATGAGTCAAAAAAGTTGTTCTTATCTGCATTTTTCCTCGACTTGTATCAATTTTAGTAGTGGAAAATAGAAAACGCTCTAAAAATAAGAAAACAAAAACAGTAAGTATTTATTTATATTATTTTTTTGACAACAATTTTCTTTTTTTTATTAATAATTTTTTTTTAGCTTATTTTAATTAGATTCCACTAGTTGCGTTCTACCTGACATAACCGTCAAACAGGTTGATCCCTTGCTTGACATTCGCATCACTTCAGCTTCTGTATCAAAAGTAATTTCTTGCTTAGACTCTTCAACAGCTTGTGGTCCTGACAACATTCCTGTTGTAGTCTTGCAGAAGTGTTCTCCGGAGCTTTCATCCATACTTTCAAAACTATTTAACAAGTGCTTATCAGAGTCCTGTTTTCCATCATGCTGGAAAGCAGCATCTGTTATCCCTATTTTCAAAAATTCCGGAGAGCGATCTGATTCATTTAACTACCGTCCCATTAGTCTTCTTCCTGTCATAAGCAAGGTTTTTGAATCTTTAATCAACAAACACTTAATCTCTCATCTTGAATCAAATAACTTACTTTCTGATCATCAATATGGATTTCGATCTTCTCGTTCTACAGCTGATTTGCTAACAGTAATAACCGATAGGTTTTACCATGCATTAGATAGAGGTGGAGAGGTTAAGGCTATCGCACTTGACATTTCTAAAGCATTTGATAAAGTTTGGCATGCTGGTCTTCTCCATAAGCTTTCTTCTTATGGTGTATCTGGTAACATCTTTAAGATTATTGAGTCCTTTCTTTCCAATCGTAGTATAAAAGTTGTCCTCGATGGACAACACTCTTCTTTATATCCTGTAACTTCAGGGGTTCCTCAAGGTTCAATCCTTGGCCCTATACTCTTTTTAATTTACATTAACGATCTCCCAGATATTCTGACATCTAAGGTGGCATTATTCGCTGACGACACTACCATTTACTCTTGTCATGATAAGAAGCCTACACTCTCTGATTGCCTGGTGGGGGTATCTGAGCTTGAAAAGGATCTCACTTCTGCTACAGCATGGGGCTCACAGTGGCTGGTGAACTTTAATTCAGATAAAATTTTATTCGGCCAATCGTTATCGTAATAATTTAGATCTTCCTATATTTATGAATGGTAATGTACTGGATGAGTCATCTACCATCCATCTTCTAGGATTAACTCTTACTTCTAGGATTAACTCTTACTTCTAGGATTAACTCTTACTACCATCCATCTTCTAGGATTAACTCTTACTTCTGATCTTTCTTTTAAACCGTATATCAAATCCATTGCAAAATTAGCATCTGCTAAGGTTGCATCTCTTTATCGAGCTCGACACTTTCTTACTCCAGATTCTATTCTCTATCTCTATAAATCTCAAATCCGTCCCTGTATGGAATACTGTTGCCACATCTGGGGCGGATCTTCTAATGATGTCCTTTCTCTTTTAGACAAGGTGCAAAAACGCATTTTAAACATAGTTGGACCTGCTCTGGCAGCCAATCTCCAACCTTTGTCACATCGTCGTGATGTTGCTTCTCTTTCTCTTTTCTACAAATACTATAATGGGCACTGCTCTAAAGAGCTAGCGTCTCTTGTGCCATCTACTAAAATTCATTCTCGTGTTACTCGTCATTCAATTAAGTCTCATCCTTTTTCTGTGACTGTTCTTAAGTGCTTCAAAAACTCTTATTCTTCTAGTTTTTTTCCTCGAACATCAGTTCTTTGGAATTCGCTTCCTTCATCTTGCTTCCCTGATTCATATAATTTGCAATCATTTAAGTCATCAGTCAATCGTTATCTTGCTCTACAGATTTAGTCTTTTCTCTTCCAGTAACTTCCAACTCTTATAGTGGTTGCTTGCAGCCTTGTTGGAAGTGAAGATGTTAAAAAAAAAAAAAAAAAAAAAAAAAAAAAAAAAAAAACTACCAGCATTAAAAAAAGAAATTTCTAGAAAATAGTCTGACCTCTCCAACTGCATTTCGATTAGTCTTCTCTCTATTATTAGTTTTGTCATATAAAGTTTTGAGACTTTGATACCACAGTATTAAAGGTCATTCTTGAAGGTCTACCTCTTCTTCATTTCCGGTCACTTTAGCTCTCTCTTTGCTCCTGTATCGTTTCTTATCTTCAATAATGATCATCTTCATAATCCGGTGCAGTGGATAATCAAATTCTTTAGAGTCATTTTTTGGTTTTGTTTTTTAATATTTTCTATTAATTAATTTTTGCTAATATATTAATAATAATAGATATTAATATAATAAAAGACGGTTATTAAATAGGTTAATAGTATATATAGGTTAGTATATTAATAATAATAGATATTAATATAATAATAGGCGGTTATTAAATAGTTAAGTAATTCAGTTAATTAATAACTTAAATGCGCGTAACTTTTCTTACGCGCAATTAAGTGCGGATACAGTATAAGGCGTGGGGGAGGCCCCACGCCCTCCTAGAACGGTCTAACAGCGCCCCCTAAAAGAATCCAAAAAAAATATTATAAGATTAAATTACTGAAGACAACCCGGTCGCCTATCATTGACTTAGCCCCTTCCCGCGACACTAAACCTCAATCCGCCACTGGCAATCAAGTGTACATTTTTTAACTGAATTATTTAGGAATAAGCTATTTAGGAATAAGTTATTTAGTAAGTAAATATATATATATATTTATATATACGACTTATTCGATAAGTCATAGGTGTGGCAGAGTCAACAAACCGACTAAGATGATTAGCCATAGAGGCAGATACATCGACTGATTTATTTAGCTATTGGCGCAGCGAGCGTACATTCATCACCTCAGGGTTTTAGTTAGGGGAGTTAGGATACTCTTTTAATGAGTTTTTAACTACTTCAACAAGTCTAGTTTTAACTTTAACAAGTTTAGTCAACTTTAACATATTTTTTTAGTAATACTTTATTACTTTATGTTCCTAACAGCGTTGGCTATGGCTTTAATTAAATAAAATGATGCTGTTAAAAGTTGCTAAAAACACGCCTCATGGGAGCCCATGAATTTTCTAGTATATTATGTGTGCAGGTATTTAATAAATAGTAAATGTATGCATAAATTTATAATATATAAAGTATAATACATTTTTTCGTAGCCCCGGCTATCAACCCTTGCTAAATGTTATAATTTTGCCGAGGCCGGGGCCCCGGTTAATTACTGATGTTAACAACCCTGCAACTAACATGTTGCAGGGTTGTTAACATTAGTAATTAAAATACATAAATTTCTTTTTTCTTGTTTAACTTATTTTATTTGATATTATTTCTTTAGGCTGATTTATGCTGGTTTGTTTGGTTTATTTGATATCTTTATTTTGGGTTGATTTAGGCTGGTTTGTTTGGTTTATTTAATATCTTTATTTTAGGTTGATTTATGCTGGTTTGTTTGGTTTAACGAGTGGAATAATAGCATGGAAAATAATTAATTATTAGTTTTATTCAATATTGTTTTTGTTTTTTGTTGTTTTTTTAATAAAAATTTTTTTTTTATTTTTTTCGCTGTTAAATTGACATAAAAGCGTCATTTATAAATGCAATAAGAGGAGAAAATTTGAAAATTTTTTGCTTTAGCTTTGACGACTATTTATGACTAAATAAACGAACTTATTAGCGATGCCTTTGAAAACACTAGCAAATAATAACTAAATACACTTTTTAACATTGTTTTTCTTTTATATTAGAAAGTCAAACAGTTTGGAAGTATCAGTTGCGCTAAAAACTTTCCGCTATTTAGCAGCAACATCGAGAAATGCCTAACTAATTAATTCCCTATTTTTCCATTAACTATAAACATACTTAATTGGTGTTTTACTAATGCTATCAGTTTATTAGTTATAAATTTGAATTAAATTTTTTTTTTAAACAATTTTTAAATAATTGGAAAAATGTGAAATCTGAATTAAAATTTTTACCTACTTATATTTAAAAATTGCAAAATTTTAAAAAGTTGCTAAATCTTCAATTTGAGACGTTGAGGAAATAAAAGGAGACTTGAAATATCGAAGAAAAAAGGGGCGGTGGTAGGATAAATGATTTTGTAAAATGAAAAGTGAATTCGATCATCCGGTAAATTTCCAGAAATCCATGTCAGTCCCAAACAGATATCGCCAAAAAGTTTGAATGCAGTCGTGTCCTTGTCAGAAAATCACTTAAGAGCAATGGTTTGAAGGTTGACGCCTAAATTCCGAAGGGATCAGTTGATGGAGAATCAAAATCAATTTGTTGCGCAAGAAAACCTGTCAAACTTTTCAACTTAAAAGTTTATGCTTTATGATTTCTCACAGTTGCCCGGCTATTATCAGTCAAAAGATTTCCAAGTGAACAACAAATATAAGTATATTTAAAGGCTGACTAAATACTCTTTTTGTAGGAGAGCACAGCGCCAAAACGTACAAAACTTTGTTGCTGTGCTTTCCTCTACGTAAAAAATAGTATTCTGGTCACCCTATATATTCAGACAAAAAAGTTTTCTTGAAGCGATTTGCTATTGTGGCCTTAAGAGTGCTCCATTCGTTACTCGAAAGACTCTGACTTCCTGTTTATACATCACTGAACCGTCTTTTGCTATTTAAAACAAACACAGCAAGATAGCTAACTTTTAGCCGGATTTGGCAAAGATCCACAACTCCAAGAAGACAATAGAGTGGCACAATCAAAATGGCATCGAAATCGTCCCGAAAGATCCGAATCGCCTGAGCACCGCGTAATCAAGAGTTACTGGGCATTTGTAAAAAAAATCTTATTGAAAACAACAAATAAGCAAAAGATGACGATGAATATAACCAACAATGGATAGCAGCGCCGAAAAGGTAATTGAAAGCAAAATCCAGGTCATGATAGCACCTACTCTTGAAGAAAAAATTCAATTACTTTTTAAGTGTCCTGGGATCTGTATAAACTTTTTAGAAGCTTTACATAATCCAATAAACATAAAATAAAACAATTTTATATTTCTTTATTTTGTAAAAAATTTCAAATTATACCCGACCGGAAAGTTCTGATGCCAATCGATAGTTTCAAATCTGCAATTTTTTATTTTAGCACAAAAACATAGTATTTAAAAATAATAATCGTAAAATGTGTTTTAAAAAAGCGTTCATTATTTAAATTAACTTCGTAAAAAGCGCTTTTTTCACCCTTTCATTTTATTCAAACTTAGATTTGCTTTTTTAATGCTGATGTTGACTTGGATCCAGATATTGACGGCAAAGAGCCCAAAGTTTTCACACAAGGTGAACTGAATGATTTAGTTAGAGACTTGTCCCTTTCCAAGGAAAAAGCTGAATTTTTGGCGTCAAGACTGAAAGAAAAAAATTTGTTAGCAGTTGGCGTCAAAGTATCTCACTTTCAAAAGTGCAACAACGGTTTATCTTGGTTTTTCAACATTGATGGACCCTTGTTCTACTGCAATAATGTCAATGGTCTTTTCGAAAATTTATTTCAAATGCATTCGCCTCGTGATTGGCGCCTCTTCATTGATTCATCCAATTGGAGTTTAAAGGCCGTGTTGTCGCATATTGGCAATCAGAAGCTATGTATTCCAATTGCTCATTCCGTACACTTGAATGAAACTCACGAAAATATGAAAATATTACTAGACGCTGTTGATTACAAAACTCATCAGTGGAACATATGTGGTGATTTGAAAGTGATTGGTATGTTAATGGGTATGCAAACAGGCTTTACCAAGTTCTGCTGCTTTCTTTGTTTATGGAATAGTCGTGCTGTAAACGAATATTACGTAAAACGCGATTGGATGTTAAGAACTGAATACGAACCCGGTGTAAGCAGCGTTCACCATATTCCGCTGGTTGATCCAGACAAAATATTTTTGACACCGCTTTACATCAAACTTGTTTTGATAAAAACCTTGAAAAAGCATAGGTAAAACTGAATGAGTGGGTTTTCAATATTTGGTTGAAAAATTTCCCAAAACTAGTGCAGCGAAACTCAAAGAAGACGTTTTTGTCGGACCCTAAATTCGAGAGGTTTTGAAAGACCATGGATTTGAAGAGTCACTTCCGACGAAAAAGAAGCGTGGAAAGCATTTGTATGGGTTTGTAAGAACTTCTTGGGGAATCGCAAATTGTGTAAATATGAAAATTGTATTCAAAAGCTACTCAATTCGTTCCAAAAATTGGGCTGTTTTATGTCATTGAAAATGCATTTTCTGCATTCGGATTTGGCATTTTTTCCTGAAAATTTGGGTGCTATGAGTGATTTACGAGGCGAACGATTCCACTAAGATATTCAAGTGATGGAAAAGCGTTACCAAGGATTCTGGAATGAAAGCATGTTAGCTGACTACTGTTGGATGCTTTATCGTGATAAACCAGAAAAAGTCTACAAAAGGAAGTCATATTCACAGAGATTTTAAGTGATTTATATGCTTTAGTCAGCAGTCTTTAAACTAGTAAATGTGTATAAATGTTTACGAATAAACCTAGTCACAGAGACGTTGACTTATTTGTGTAGAAACATAAGTGGTGCTTGAAATATTGAATGTTTATCAATGTTTACGTAAAGTCCAAAATGTCCAAAAATTAAAATGCTAAATATCTCAAGAACTAGACGTGCTAGAAGAAAACTGAAAGTAGATTTAAAATCAGCACAAAAAACGAGTTTAGAAAAAGCTATTTAAATTCATGGTGCATTCAAAAAGTATTTTTTTGTTGAACAGTGTAATCATTAGAAGTTAAGCATAAATCCAACTTACCTTAGAAAGGGATTCCATAAAGTATGTACGCGGTAAAACTAATGAATTTAGAACCCTCTCTCCCTTATTCACACATGTATGCTCAACCTCAGCGTACGTCCGCTTTTTTTATAACAAAATCAACCCCACTACTCCAACGCATAAATTATTTAAAATATTAGAGACAGTTTTATTTTTAGTTAACTCAGTTACATAAAATAATGCTTTTTAAACTCGTTAAACTAAATGCTTTTGTTGGAAGAAAAGAAATCAGGTTTTAGGAGAGATAGAGAACAAAAGGTAGTCAAACCGCGTAAGTATTCGCTGTCTTAGGTTGTATTGGGTGGTAAGTACTCGCTGTTTTAGGTGTCTTGTAAGTACTCGCATCTTAGGTGTACGCGTAAGCAATCGCTGTCTTGGGTGGTAACCGAAGAAATATTTTAAAAATTTATTGGAACTGTAGTAAAACTTAATTTTTTAAACATAAATATTAAATTTTAATAATTTTATTTTAATATTGAATAATTATTAAAACCAATAGAAACCATTATCAAGATCAAAACATTTTTAGTTAGTGATGAGTTGAATTAATTACAATATTAAGGAATATATAATAAATTTCAGACGATATTCATATTCCTAAATTCTAAACTTGTTTATCGTAAACAATAATTAATTTTTTTTTGTTATTATATATATTATTATATATAAAAATATCGAATTTGACGAATATTTTATGATATATGTATATGTGTTTTTTTTATTATTCAAGAAAACTTTACAATTTGTAAACTTTGACGAAACTTGACATTAAATATAAAGTAAAGTATAATATATAGGAAGTAAATGTATGTATTTTTTGTATATTTTAAATGTATGTATAATTTTCTCTACATTTAAACATGAAACATAAAATATTAAAGGCATTTAGTTGATATACATTTAAAATATTCATTTCTTTAAAAAGTCGTTTCGTGTGAAAAAAACCGATTTTTAAAATTTAATGTAATGTAAGGGAGTAAAAGTAAATGTAAGCAAAAAGTAATGTAGTAAAGTATAAAATATAAAGTTTTAGCCAGGCCCTGCTATTCTGACGAATTTAAATTGAATTTAGGTATACATTAAATTGTATACCTAAATTGAGATTTGAAAATGCCGTCCGTTTTCAAGTTGCTGCTGTTGCTGGGAAGTACATTCCATGGTAGTCAAAAAAGTTGTCTCTCTAACGCACCTAGTTTCCAATTTTCTTTTTTCAGAGGTTGCATCTACTTGCGATTTTATTTTTAATTCATCAGACACAAAAACGCCTTAACTGTTTTAAAATCTAAAAAATGGTGAAATCCATCTTGTCCTAGAATCGTATAATTTATTTTTGTTTCTTTATTTTTATTTACGGTTCAATGCATAACCTTACATTTTTCAAAATTAAAGAACATAGGCCCTGTTTTATTTAATTCAACGGCTTTATCAATGTCGTTTTATAAAAATAGTCATAATTCATTATTGTCTGCGTAAAGTTTTATATAGTTAGAAATTTTGTCTGGTAGGTTATTTATGTATGCTACGAAGAGTAAAGGACCTAAGACGGATCCTTGAAGCACTTCACTCTATTTTTTCATTTTGATTTTTTATGTCCTTTTGCAACTTTTTATAGACCCCGATTAGCCACAATTGATACTTGATCTAGGAGCATTCCATGTATTCTTGTAAACTTTTCATAAATATTAATAATCTTTATAACTAGTTTCATTTGAACATGTCTGTTTTTTTTCTCTCAACGATTTAAGTAAATCTTTTGTTATTCAGGACAAAGAAAATTATTTTGAATTTATAAACTTTTTAAGAGGAAAATCTTTATTTTTTTTTTATTTTTTATTTTTGCCGTTAAATATTACAATAACTAAATATATTTGACAATTTTTACATTAGTAACGACAGGGCTTCTAGAAGATCATGTGGATCTTGTCATGAAGCCCTTTACAATATATGGTTAACTTTTAATAAAAATACAATGTCTGTAGTGAAATAATAATACACCTCTATGCAAAAATATTTAAAAACCAAGATAAAATGTTAAAAAGCCAAGATAAAATTTTAAACCAAATAATATACAAAATAAAACAACAACAAAAACAAAACAAAAAAAAAGGCAATTAAAAATAAATCAAGATATTTTTAATTGAAAATATAATTTTTTTAAGTTTTTGTTTGAATGAAGCAAAAGTCAGTTGGGTTGAAAAATCAAAATTTGGTAAGACCATTTTGTTCCAGAGATAAGGACCTCGGTAAGAAACAAAAAACTGGTCTTTGCTTTTACGACAAAAAGGGGCAATAAAACTGTTATTAATTCGAAAATTATATTTGTTTTTAGGTTTCATACAATAAAAATTTTGTAATACATTTGGCGACAAATTTTCTCTACATTTAAACATAAAACATAAAATATTAAAGGCATTTAGTTGATATACATTTAAAATATTCATTTCTTTAAAAAGTCGTTTCGTGTGAAAAAAACCGATTTTTAAAATTTATTACGCGAGTTGCGTGTTTCTGATGAAGGTAAAGAGATTTTAGCTTTGTTCTGTGAGTGCTTACTCATATAATATTCGCGTAGTTTATATGACAATGTATAAATGAATAATATAATTGTGTTAACTGGTGTTTACTTAATAAATTTCTTGCTTTATAGAGAATTCCGATGCATTTAGCAATTTTATTGGAGGTATTATTAATATGATTTCTCCAAGATAGGTTTTCATCAATATATACTCTAAGAAATTTAGTAACTTTTTCTCTTTTTATTATTATATTATCAATTAGAAGGTCTGGCATGATATGGGGCAGTTTCTGGTATTTTAAAGGTGGATAAAAAAGTGTCCATTTAGTTTTTTCTATATTTAGAGACAATCTATTTTGTTTAAACCAAACAGAAACTTTTTTAAATTCATTTGTCATATTTGTAAAAAGCATATTAATATCTTTATGAGACAAAAACAAATTTGTGTCATCTGCAAAATTTATTGTTGTTAAATTTGATGATTTATGAAGATCATTTATGTATATTAAAAAAATAAGAGGACCAAGTATAGATCCTTGTGGAACACCACATGTTATATTCATTAATAGATGAGATATAGAATCTTTATTGTAAACAAACTATTTACGGTTAGTAAGATAACTTTCAAACCATAATAGGGTTTTATCTTTAATACCATATGATATTAGTTTTTTTAACAGGATTTGATGATTGACGGTATCAAATGCCTTGGACAAATCAATAAACACTCCTAGTGTAAAACAAGAGTCTTTAAATGAGTCGGTTATATTGCGCGTAAGTTGAAGAATGGCATGCTCGGTTGAATTATTTTTTTTGAAACCAAATTGTTTTTCGTATAGAATTTTATTTTCAACAAGATAAGAGTAGATTCGGTTGTACATTATTCTTTCTAAAATTTTTGAAAAAACTTCGCAGAAATGAAATAGGGCGATAATTTGTTATATTTGTACGATCCCCTGTCTTGAAGATTGGAGTTACTTTCGCTATCTGGAAGAGACCCTTATGAAATGGATGCTCTGAAGATTTTATAAAGAATATCTTTTATAACATCGTATGAATCAATCACAATATTTGTGTTAATATCATCATACCCAGTAGCTTTATTTCGTTTTAATGACTTAAAAGCAACCTCAAATTCATTAAAAGCTAACTCAGTAAAATTTAGATTAGAACTTATTGATGTTTCAAACTCATCAACAGATTTATCTTTAATGAATGAAATACTATCGCTTAATTTTGTCCCGACAGTGGAGAAAAAATTGTTAAATTCAAATGCAATATCATTTGGGTCATTTATTAATTTGTTTTCAATTTGTATAAAATTTGGGAGTAAATTTTTATTTGGTTTAAGTTTTCCAGACACCTCCTTCATGATTTGCCAGACGCGTTTTGAGTAGTGCTTATATTTATTAAGCAAGTTTGAATAGTAGTTTTTTTTTGCATTTTTGCGAAGCTTTTCAAATAAGTTTTTATAAGTTTTATAATTTTGTTTACGTTTTTCTGATTTTGATTTTAGGTATTTAATGTATAGCTTCTGCTTAATTTTTGATGATTTTCTGATACCTTTAGTAATCCAGGGAGATGACATTTCTTTATCGCTTAAAACTATTTCAATTAAAGGAAAGTTAGAATCATACACTTGGTAAAAAGTTTTGAAAAAATTGTCGTAGATTATGTTGATATTATCATTAAAGTTAATATAACCTCAATCTATATGTGATAATTGTTCTCTGAAAGAATTTAAATTATTATTGTTGATAAGCCGTTTTTTTATTAAAACCTTTCCCTGCTTCTCTTTTTTTAAATTAATACATATAGAAAAAAAAAAATCGGGAAGTGATCGGAAACATCGGTTTTTATAATTCCCTTTTTTAGTGACTTAAAAAAATTATTTGTTAAAATGTTATCAATTAATGATGATAAATGACTTGTGATTCTAGTCGGGCGATTAATTAAAGGTATTGTTCCAGTTTTCTCGAACTTTGATTTTCATAATAATCAAAGGAGTTTATGTTGAAATCCCCGATCAAGTAATTTTTTATCTTTTCAAGATCAGTTTTCTTTATTATGTTATTTAGTAAAAAATTGCCGAAGTTTTCAATTCTTCCAGTTAGTGGCCTGTAACAACAGCTTATTAGTATATTTTTTGAACGCTTATTGATAAAAGTTCTATTGTTAAAATCTCTTTGTTTTTATCAGAAACACACATTTCGCTTCGAAGTTTATACAGAAGGTCATTTTTAACAAAAAATAAAATTCCTCCTCGCTTATTTGTACTTCGTTCTAAAATTACTGGATCAAAACCTGGGAGATGGAGATTTGAGTTATTTTTAAAATCTGCATGTAAACACCAGGTTTCAGTTAAACAAATTAAATTAAAAGAACTTTCCGCTTCGCTAATAAAGTTTAATAAGTTTTCAAAATTCTTTTTTAAGCTACGTATATTAAAGTGGACTGCATTAAGATAATCACTTTTATTTTCGCTTTTTAAAATTTTGCTCACGTTACTAAGATAAAAATAAGAGGTTTCAAATTCAGGAGAATTAATTTCATTAAAATAATTAATATCCGGATCGGATTCGTCGTCTAAGTGTAATGCATAGGTTTTTCAAATAAATTAATTATTTTTTCAAAATCATTATTATTTGTTTCCATTTTCGCTATAATTTAGATTTGGCAGTAAATAATAGTGTGCGACATGTTGAAAGTCTTTTAGGAAGACTTAGTGATTAATTTATTGCATACCACTTTAGCATATAACGTATATTTAAATATAATGTAAACAAATAAATAAAATAAATAAATTACTTTTTTTTTGCATTCCACTCGCTTACAATAAGCTTGTCGTAGGAAATATATGCAAATTTTCCCGATTGTCTTTCAATTTTCATTTTCTCTCGCAAGTCTTTTCTTATTCGATTTGTCTCCGCGCAAAAATCTTCATTGATAAAAATATTCTTTCCTTTTAACTTTGAAGAGTTTCTTAAAATTGCTTCTTTATCTTTAAAATCCAATAATTTCACAACAATTGTTCTGTGCTTTTTTATATCTTCTTTAACAGCTCTATGCGCTCTTTCAATTTTTACATCTTTTATGCCCAAGTACTCATCAAATATTTTTTTAACTTTTATTTCGCTTTCTAGCCAGCTTTCTTTATCATCTTCTTTAACTCCTTCAACTCTTAGATTGTTCCTTCTTGATCTATCTTCTATTTCTCTTAGCTTGCTATTTATTTTTTTGAGTTCAATGTTGTTATTTTAAATTTCGTTGTAAGTAGGTTTATTTTTTATGAAAATATCTATCACAGTTTTAATATTGTTTTCAATGAGTTCCTCGTGAAAATTTAAACTAACTTTTATTTCTTCAACTTCTGTTGCAAGTGTTGATATTTTTTTAGCGTTTTCTAAAATATTTTTTTCTACTTTGTCCAATCTCTCTTTTAAGATTTTGGTGTTTGCACTAACGATGTTTATAAAGTTGTTTTCTTGCTGCTTTAGCGCAGCTCCTGTTTCTACTTTGTACTTTGTAAACAAGTATTTTATCATTTTTTTGATTTCCACAAGTGTTACTGCCATTATTTTAAAATATTAACTTATTACACAGGGACTAAAAAGTTTCAGTATGTGTTTTTTTCCGTACTTCAAACAAGCTCTAACAAAATTTAGCATCCTTTTGATGTTTTTAAAGCAAATGTTTTCTTATTTATTTTCAAAGTTATAAAAACTGTTACGAAAATACTTTTATAAAACTTATACAACTAAAATATTTTGTTTTCTTTTTTGATTTTTTATATAACTATTCTTTAATAAGCTTTTTAACATTTGTTTTTTGTAATGTTTTTTGTAATAATTTTGTAATTTGTTTTTTGTAATTTGTTTTAATGTAATGTAAATTTAATGTAATTTGTTTTTTGTAATTTGTTTATTGTAATGCTTACAAATCTCTTTTAAAAAAAGACATAAAATTGACTTTATTTTTAAATAATTATTTTATTAATTAAAAAAAAATAGAATTAAAAGATTGATAAAACATTAAAATCTTTATAGTTGCGCTTGGTTTTAATAAATAACTTTATTATATTCAATGTAATAACCCCAGCAAACATTCTATAGTGGAATTTCAGTGGACCTATATAGCGGAATTTCAGTGGACCTATATAGGCATTTTGAGCAAACCGCTGTAGTTTTGCTCATCGGTTACTTAATGACCAAAATTGGCTTGCCATTGACTAGCCGATTTTAACATATCGGAAAATTGTCGGCTTACCATTTATAGCGGCTGCCACTGATGGTCCACTATGTAGCCGATGAGTAAAACTCCAATGACCCGCCTAAAAATGCTTATATAGGTCCACTGCAAATCTACAAAAACAATGTTTGCAGGGATAATACTTTAATAACTTTAACTATAATACTTAAGTATTATAAAGTATGCAAAGATAAAGTCAACTTAAAGTAAAATTTTAAGTAATTATTATTTTTATTTGTACTAACAAAAAAAAGTTAAATAAAGCCTATTAACTTATGCCCATTATGTATTTCACTCATGGTGTAAGCAATTAAAACATTTTATACAAAGGTGTTAAATGATTTAATTAAATTGAAATTAAAGTAATTTGTAAAGTTCTATAAGATTTACAAAAAATCTTTAAATGACATTATTTCAATAGGACGTAGGTGATAAATTCCAAAGTGCGTCTCGTTAATCATTAGATATAGATAAAAAGTGTTTTGCAATTTACAAAACCTGCTCCACAATTCTACTACATAAAGTTTGAATACATTGAGTCTCAGCTAAATGAGATTCTGGTAAAGTTGATTTAGCCGCAAACCTTCCAACTGCTCTGACAGCATGTATTACACCCTGTCGTAAAACAAAACATCAATTGCAAAACTTATTACAGTAAAACAATAAAATGGTAATAGTATTTAAATGTATATATGAAAAAACAGTATTTCAAACCTTCCACTTTCTTTTTGCGACGTAAGTTTTTAATTTTTCTATATTACGTATCGATTCATTGTTAGTTTCCTAAATGAAAACTTGTTTATGAGATATTGTTTTACATAAGGGGACAGTAAATTAGTATAGAACATATCTGACCATTTTGAGCCATTTATGATTTAATGCTTCACTCACGGAAATCCTTTTTCTTAAAGAAGAATATATTTAAACAATAAAAAGTTCCTAATTATTAAAATATTAAAAATAAAATTTAGCACAAAAAAAAATTTCAACCGTACCGGGGGTCAATCTTTAAACAATCTATAATAAACTGTTTAGCATCTTCAGTGACGCTCTCAAATGATTCACAATCTTCTTCAAAATCAATTTTTCCTTCAGTCACATTAGACATAGTTTCAACATCGGTATCGCCCAAAAAAGGCGAATTGCCGCTTAATAAAACATATGTTATCACTCCTACAGACCATATATCTGTTTTTAAAGATATCGGATCATACGCAATTACTTCAGGAGCTGTTATTAAAAAAATAATAATAATATAAAGTAACTTTACTTAATATGAATTAAAACAAATTATAAAAAAGCAAACAAAATGTAGGGGAGAAGGAGACAGCTTTGAACATTAAAATTTTTTTTTTTAAATCAATATTTAATTAATTTTAACCACTTTTTTTTTCTAAATAGTTAAAACAATAATAAAGGAATGAAATTGCAGCTATTGTACGATTTTCAAAAATAAAATCAGTATTCTTACGTTTTTAACTTACGTAAAAATGTTCAAAGCTGCCCTAGCGTGGCGTAGCTTTGAACATTTTTTTAAACTTGGAGAACCATTGTTAATATCTTCCTCTTTAATTTCTATTTCTCTTTTTTTCTGATAATTTCGAGCTATTTTTAACTTTAAATCAGAATATAAGCAGTAATAATGAAATTTTATTAGTGCGGAAAATCTAAAAAACATATCAAAAGTGCCCCATTCATAATGTTCAAAGCTGCCCCGACAGGGTCATTCTTAATAAACAATTATTCTTTTAATCAAGATAAGCTCAATTTTTGATATTTTCTGCGAAATTGTAAAGGTTATGATTTATTCTATCTTTTAATAACATAAAACTTGTTACTTGCTAAAATCGCATTAGGAAAATCTTGCAACTTGATACCAAAATGTTTACAATTTGTCCTCAAAAACAAACCAATCAATACCGTTATACATTTTGGGTCAAAAACTCTAATGGCTTGACCTGAGAAAATGGTTAGCATTGGGTGAAAGTACATTCATCCCTGGTACCTGGGAACCAAATTTTGAAAATAAACTACTTCGTCCGCAAGAATAAATTCAATTTGAAATTTCTCTTTACTTTTTCTCAAAATAAAATGACAGCTTACAAAATTTTTTTGTATTTTTACAGTAAATTTTAATTTTTTGGTTAGTGAATGTGAAATAGTAATAAATAATATGTTTTTACAAAATAACTATTTATTACTCAAATAATAAATTTGTTTATTCTTCTTTTATAAAAAGTTTTCGGGAATTAGGATATTGCAACTCTTTTGCTAATAAAACAATTTTTTTTCGGGAAACAGCCTTGCTATCATTTTAGTTAAAGTTTGCTAAACAGAAGTTTGATACTAAAGCACTTAAAATGCCTAATCAGGCTAAGAATAATGAGGAATGCAGAAAAACTGTTTGTTGCCTGTGTTTCCGCAAATGTACAAATCAACTGACACAATTTCAAATTCAAAGATTGTCAACAATTTATAATCAGCCTCTGGAAACATCTGATGTCAGGATTCCACTTGGACTTTGTGAAGCTTGTAGGACAATTCTAAGAAGAAGAGATGCAGGGAAAGATGCACAACTTCCAGTCTTATATAATTTTTCATCCACTACAGTGAAACCACCAACTCGTGGGCAAGACTGCTGTTGTCTTATTTGCCAAATTGGGCACTCAAAGCTCAAAAAGGCCCTCTCTCAACTACCCACCATGAAGGAGAGAAACTTTGAAGGTGTGGTGACTGTCTAAGTCTTATTGGACAATAACTTACTCATTCCTGCATACCATCCACATTTAGAGAAAATATGAGACTTTTGGCAGCTCAAGATACAAATACTGCAGAACAAATTGCTACTCAAGGACTTTCAAGAAAGAAATCGTCTCCTGATACGGGTGTCAAGGCCTGGAGGAAGCCCTCCCTTACAAGTTACACCAGGTACTATTTCATTTCTTATTGTTTTGGATGCATTGTTTCTTAAATTTGATTTAGCTTTGATTTAAACATTGATGGCTCTAAAGGCACATAACTTGAGATTATTTTAACAAGCCTGCTTTCTATTGAGTTTTCAACAATTTTATTAAATTTACTTGTAGGTCCTTCAAGTGCAAAAAAACTTCAATCACTACAGAAAACCTTCTTCATGTCCAACAAAATATTGGATTGTCTAACTTTGGCATGAGAAAATTAGCATCCACCTTGAACCAAGTTGCCAAGGTGGTAAATCAAATTTAATTCAAAGTGGTAGAATCAAATTTTTGGTCAAAATTTGATAGCTTTGGAAAAACTCTCTCATACTTCTTTACCCAGAATACAATATCCACGGGAGAAAAGCAAGCAAATTTAGAAGGAGGTCATTTGGTCATTCACTCCAAATCTATGCAAGACATAATTGATGAAGTATTGATGTACAGAAAAATTTTCTGCAGTCACTTCTTTAAGCTCGGTATAGATGGTGGAGGTGGGTTCTTAAAATTCACTTTTGGTGTGATTATAGATGAATCTTCTAAAGAACTGCATTCACCTCCCATTGGATCACTCAAAGCCAAATATAATTATTCAAAATCATCAGGAAGTGATCATAGGAAGGCAAAGGTCTATGGCAATGTTGTTCACGAGCCCATTTTGACAGGATCTGATGACAGACTTATCATAGACATTCTTCCCCCGATGGAGCTGCACTTGTTTCTTGGTGTAACCAACCATTTGTTTAAGGCTATGAAAGACTTGTGACCAAAGGCAGAAGAATGACCTGCTAAACAGCATGTTCACCAAGAATCTTACCATGGAGGGCAGTTTGCAGGTAATGACTGCAGAAAACTTTCAAACAATGTGGACCTTTTTACAGCAGCTTATTGAATCAAATGCTGCATTTCATGTTTTGGAAATGCAGCATTGATTCAATAAGCTGCTGTAAAAAGGTCCAACACACTGAGGAAATTCAATCATGTTGTCAAGGCTTGCTTTGGTCAAGAGCTTGGTCCTAATTATGCTGAAAAATTTAACAACTTCAAAAGAGCCTATCTTTCTCTTCCTCAAGGAAGTGTCACACCCAAGGTACATGCAGTGTTTTACGATGTGCAGGAATTTATTGCAAAAAAAAAAAACACCTCTTGGAATTTCAGTGAACAGGTCTTGAATCAACTCATCAACACTTCAACAACCATTGGCAGAGATATACGAGGTCTTCATCACATCCTGAGTATGCAAACAGATTGAAAAGCTACATAGTGGATTACAATAGCAAGCATTTGTGATTCTTAATGTCGTAGAGTCTATAGTGAATCAAGAATATTTTTTTACCATTTTTGAAGAATGTGAGTTTACTTTTTTTGCTAATTTTGAGAAGATATTATAGAAAGTTGTTATTTTCTGTTCAATTTAGTTTGCATTTATTTAGAAAAAAATGTTTGTACTGTAGAAATGCAAAGAAAACTTGTAAGCTGTCATTTTATTGCCAAAACTTGTAAGCTGTCATTTTATATGGAGTAGTTAAATGTTACGATAACGAGGGTATCGATATTCCCTCGTTATATATACATATACATATATATATATATATATATATATATATATATATATATATATATATATATATATATATATATATATATATATATATATATATATACATATATATATATATATACATATATATATATATATATATATATATATACATATATATATATATATATAAATATATATATATATATATATATATATATATATATATATATATATATGTATATATATATATATATATATATATATATATATATATATATATATATATATATATATATATATATATATATATATATATATATATATATATATATATTACTCACTACGCGACGTTAGAATTATCTTGTTCTATCTCCACTTTCTGAAAAAATTGAGTTATAAGTAAATAAGTTGCGGAAAAAACATGTTATAAAAAAAAATTTATACGCCGTCTCTTATAGTTTTTGTTTTTTTAATCGTTTTATCTCAAAACTAAAAAATGTAGAGATAGAACAAGATAATTCTAACGTCGCGACTAGTTAACTAACATTCCTATATATTCTAATAATGCTTCTCTATGTTAAATCGCCAACTAACATAGATAATATTCCTCTATACCATATTGTTGTCTTTCCCGACGGGCATTTGTTTTTAAAAGTTACGTTATAAATGTATTTTAAATGTCTTTTAAACGTCTTCTAAACATTCTTACGCAAAAAACGTTTAAAAGACATTTAAAATACATTTAGAACGTAACTTTTAAAAACAAATGCCCGTCGGGTTATCGTTAAGAACGTCTTTAAGCAATTGCAGACTGATTTCCTTACGGGTGAGAACAGATGTGGAACAAAGTAACATAAGATGTTATACTCCCTATCTGACCTCATATGTCAGAGTATATATCATATGTCAATGTACTTGCAGCCAACGTTCCAATAATGTAACTTTATTGTTTTTGATTGTTTATCGTGTTTTTTTAAGAGAAAGTATAAACTTGTTTCCTATACGTTAAATCTTTCTAATTTCACTGATATTTTGTTTTGAGTAGAAGCACAAAACTTGTATGACGTATTCAAGTTGTGGACATGCAATTATAGTATACTACTTTTTAACAATGTATTTGAAAGTTTATAAAATTAAATCCAGTATTTAATTTATAAGTTGAAGTGTTAAGTTGCGATTCCCATTTTAGGTTTGTTTAAATCATAACACAAACCAGATTACCATGGGGCATCCTATGACGTCAGACGGACGTCTAGTGGACGTCCAGACATCCAATTCACGTCTGTTCGACGTTTTAGGACATCTGATGCTCACTGGAAAAATCACATTCAGAGTCAGTTACTTATAAAACTGATCTTTATTTTCATCATAATCATGCATTAAGTGGTTAGCTAATATTTTTGCTGAAATGCATAGTTTTGCATTTATCACAACTGAGTTTTATTAATCAAGCAAATTATTATTCTATAAGATAATTTAGGTCTTCTCGGAGCTTTAGATGAATTTTAGGTATAATGTTTATTACTTTACAATCAATTGCGTACAACTTTATATAGTTGATAATAACTGTTAATAACTTGTAACCTGTTGATAATAAAGTTAATAACTGGTAACCTGTTTATTTCATCTTATATATATATAAGATGAAATAAACAATAAATGAAAGATATCTTTCATCAAAGCAACTTGTTTTTAAGAAAGATAAGTATGAGCAACAAAAAAAACACACGTTTGTATGAAAATGCCAAAAAAAAAAAAAAATTAATTTTGTAAATCTTAAAAATTAAGTTAACAGATAACAAATTAAATTTTAATAGGCTGTTATGATAACTTCGTAAACAAATTGAAGAAAGGTGGTGATAAACAACTTGTTTTCTTCTCGCACCCGCAAATTTTTCTATTGCAATCTCTTTATTGTTATTTTACCAAACAACAAATAAATTTAAAAAATAAATAAAGAAGTTAAAAAAATGATTAAGTTTAACCAAAGTTTTACCTACGTATTCAGGTGTCCCGCATAACACAGATTCTTGTATGCCTTTTCGAAGCTCACGAGATGATCCAAAATCAATTATTTTTACTTCTTCACTAGTATTGTCTGCATTTTGAATAGTCAATTGAATTTTTGAGTCATAGCAAAGTATATTTTCAGGCTAAAAATTCAAAAGCTCTATTAAGTAAGAATAAAATCATTGTATTTTATTATCGTTTTTTAGTTTCTGAAAGTGTAAGGTAAAGATGAGGCGCGCAGAGGTTGTGAGATCCGGATCTTCTGGATACCACTATTATGGGTAAGTTAATAATACTAATACTGTTAAAGTATCTGTATTATTAATTTACCCTTAATAGTACCTTTATTATAGTAACTATAATAACATCCCAATTAATATTCCCAGTTAATATTCTATATCGGATTTTCACCGGACCTATATAAACTTTTTAGACGTTCCATCACAGCGAACATTTTTTAGTGAATTTGCAATGGATCTATGCAAATGTTTTGACCAGTTTGTTTAAAGTTCGCTCATTGGTTACTTAGTGGACCATTAGAAGCATACGCAAGTAATGACCAGCTGATAACTTTCTAACATGTGATATAGTGGTTAGTTATTGGCTAGCCACTTTTGGCGTCTGCAACTAATGGTCTACTGAGTATACTATGAGCAAAACTACAGTGGACCTCTCATAAAGCCTGTTTTTTACTTCTAGTTACGTAATTTACTGGGATCGTTGTTTTGCTCATCAATTACTTAGCGGATCATTAATGGTAACCGCAAAAAGTGGCTAGCCGATGACTAGCCACTATTTCACATGTTCAAAAGTTATCGGCTGGCCACTATAAGTTATTTTTTTTTTTCTAATGTGCAATATAATAACTTTAAGATTAACAAAACAAAAGTCCCAAAAATCAGAAACAAACATAACATTTAGAAAAGGTCTACTCTCAATATGAAAACACCAGTTTTTTTACAATATGCTAATTTTTTTAATTTTTTTCAGATCACTAGTTAATACATGCAATTTAAATCCAGGTATCTAGCAGCTTTATTACATTGTTCACGTTCATTTAATGAGCTGGATAGTTTTTTATATTCATTTTCTTCAACTGGATGGAAAGAATTTAAATAAGAAAACTATTTCCTTTATTAAAGCCCCACCAAAGTTTAAAAACTTGTATGAAAATGTGAAAAATGGATTTCGACCATTTTTCTTGTAGTAAATTCTTGAGCTGACTACTATTTAAACCCTTTTTTTTTAATTAATTTTCATATCAACTATTATTAATAATCATATTTACTACACTACCTTTTTCAATAACAATTAAAAAAAAAATTAGCAATAAGTAGATTATTACTAATAAATCAAAAGACTCAAACATACAATCAATTAATATTTATTTAAACTTAGCAGCTAGTTATTTTTTTGCCCCCAAACAATACAACAATAACAATAAAATAATAATAAAAAATAATAATAAATAAATCTAAGATTTTAGAAAGGAATATAGTGACAGAATAAAGAAAATATATAATTAAATTGTGTGAGTATTTTTTGTAGATTTAACTAACGTCACCACGACGATCTTTTGTCATGAAATACTTTAAGATTTCTCTCATATATTTTAACGATTTCTCAAATATTTTAATAATTTTTTTTACCTGCTAATTTTAACTTTTACACTTCAATTTTATTTTATAAGGATAAAAAATTAGACTTTTCATTTTTATTGACATGAAAGAAAACACGATTACTATTTGAATTTCTTGAATAAAATTTAAATTGAAACAATAAAAATGAATTTAAATGGGAATTAAATAATAAATAAATTTTTAAAACTAATATTTGAATATTTTCTAATATTTACATCATTTATATCTAAATTCTAATATTTGAATAATTTTCAAACACGAGTTAACGGATATATTTTAGGTATAACACATATCGATATATTTTTTAAAATTCCTATCTAAAAGTTTGTTGATACATAGCTAATCAACGAATCTTTTTTGTGTTTATATGCTTAAAACAGGTATTTTTTTGGATATTATTAGATATTTAAGATGCGTTTGTTTAAATTTAATAAAAATTCAAATGTGCATTTATAATCTTTAAATTATTAATCTAAAACAAATACTTTACAAAGTAGCAAATAAAAAAATTATAATAAAAAAAAAAAGCTTTTACTTTTAAATCAAGATGAACAATATTTTTCTCATGCATGTGATTCAAAGCAATTAAAATCTGTCGTATACACTCGGCAACCTTTTTTTCAGAAAGCTGAAAGTCATCCTCCAGTACCTTTTCAAATAGCTCTTTCCCATCAACTAACTCCATAACTATTATAAGATATTTTTCGCTCTCAAATGACTCAATGAACTGTATTATTTTATCATGACACAGTTTATTCATTATATCAACTTCCCTTGAGAACTCCATTTTGGATTTTTGCGTTTTTCGAACAAATTTTGCAGCTACAAATTGACCTGACATTTTGTTTCTGCATTTTTTAACTATTCCAAATGCACCTCTAAATAAAAACTTTTTATTTTAGTTGTAGTAGAAGTAGAAGTTGTTGCTGTTGATGTCGCGGAATTTTAGTGGACCGATATAGACATTTTGAACGGTCCACTATAGTTTTGATCATCGGTTGCTTAGTGGACCATTAGCGGTAGCCACCAAAAGTGGCTAGCCGATGGTTCGCAAAGTAACCGATGTGCAAAACTCCAACAAATCGCTCAAAATGCCTATTCAGTTCCACTGCAAATCCACTAAGTAGTTTTGTGCAGGGTATATATCATAAATTTATACTTGGTAATAGTAAATACACTATACAAAAACTATAATAGTATATAGTGTATAGTATAACTATATGTATATATATATACAACTACCCAGTACAAAATTATGATGTGAAATTTTTTTTAAATAAAAAACGCAAAAAAGAAATAAAATAAACATGCACTTTTTTTTTTAAAGCACTGTATATATATAAAGTGCTTTAAAAAAAAACGCATCAAAATTTTATACCTTAAAGGTTATTTAAAGCAACCACCCAGCAAACATTCTATAGCGGAATTTCAGTAGACCTATATAAGTATTTTGAGCGGATCGCTGTAGTTTTGCTCATCGGTTACCTAGTGGAACATTAGTGGCAGCCGCTAAACATGGCTGGCTGATGATTAGCCACCTTTAAAATGATGGAAAATTATCGGCTTGCCATTTATAGCGGCTGCCACTAATGGTCCACTAAGTAACCGATGAGCAAAACTCCAATCAATCTTTAAAGATTTACTGCAAATCCACTAAAACAATGTTTGCTGGGCATAAAAAAGAAACTAAATAAGACGAGCATAATAAAATTGTAAATAATAAACCGGCAATTAAAATATTTAATTAGGCTTTAAAAGTTTGTGAGACAATTTTTATTTTAACATTTTCCGGTATGGAATTGTACTTTATTTATAAAACTAAATTATTTAACAAAAGTAGCAGGTAACTTTGTTATCGTGCTTTTTTTATATAAAATTTTTGTATAAATTTGTATAGTTTGTTAAGGTTTCAGACTTATACAGTTAAAAGAGAAATGAAAAAACCATAAAAAATTTTTTTTTAAAGTTTTTAATAAATTGAAAAATTAATTACCAAAATAATATAATGATTAAATAAATTAAAAATAATATCAATTATTATTAATATTATTATTAGTATTGTTATTATTATTATTACTTTTATTAGGGGTCGTCCATAAAGTACGTACGCTCATAGGGGGAGGGGCAGGTCTTCAAAAAGCGTACGAATGTACAAATACGAATGCGTATGGGGATGGGGGGAGGGTTCAGTTTAAAAGTACGTACATCAATTTTTTAATTTATCTCAATTAACCAGCTAATCAATAGAAAAGTTAACATTCTGATTAGCATTCAAAAAAGCCCTAAAACACCTCCCCCCCCCCCACCACGTCTAAAATGAGGGGGTGTAAATTTTGTATTGTCATAACTTTTGTAATTTACAATATTTTTCTACGAAAATTAAAATCTGTCGATAAATTTAAATTTAGTTTTAGATGAGAAATTGTAATTTACATATTTTTCTACGAAATTTAGAATTCGTCGATAAATTTAAATTTAGTTTAAGATGGTAAAGTTAAAATTTTACTACATTTGTGCACGCTTGGGCGTGCACAAATTTAGTAAAATTTTTAACACTTTTTTATTTTTTTAATTTTATTTTTTTTGCCATTAAAAACTATTATAGTCGTAATTCATAATATAAATACAAATAGCAGGGGCAAAAAGAAGACATAATTGGTCTTATCACTAAGCCATAGTTATACTTGAGTTTTAGAGCTTGCACAAATTTCACACATTTGACATAGGCATACTTATGTTTGGAGCTTGTGCAAGCTCCAAACTTAAGTATACCTATGCCAATTGTGTAAAAGTATCCTATCTAGATCATCAAAAAAATCCTACGGGCGCTCATGCATACATGCCACCCCTTATACTGGCCCTAAGTAAGGCGTATTTCAGGCAATCTATTTTTTGAATCGACGAAAAATAGGTTTTAGCCGTGCAATGGCCAATGGGTTGGAGGCCCTCCCCTCCTCAAAAAAAAAACGTTTTATTTAGGTCTCAAAATCTCCTGAACTTTACCGCTAGGTTTTGCTAAAATAAAAGCTCCTTAAATTAGCAAAAGGGAAGAAAATTTTCTGCTCCCTTACTCCTCCCCCTCTCATCTCCCCTAAATTAAGGGGTACGGGTAGCCTATCCTCGGCACTGGGTTTTAGGCTTTGTTTTCGATATTACTGATCTCGCGTAGGGCTTGTTTTTAACAGATTTACTTAGGGGTGCCTAAAAAAACATTCGCCTTAAGTACAGTTTATTTTTATTTGATTTGTCATTAAAACAAATAAATAAGTACAGAATAAACCGACCGGGGTTCGAACACCGATCTCCTCAGCCGCAGTGCTCAGCATTCACCGCTCGACTAAGCGAACTTATTGTTAATAATTTAACTTTATTAAAACTAATATTTGCATAATTATTTGAAAATTTTTTTTAAATTGGGATCCTGTGCCGCAAACAAAGAGTTTTTGGGTCATATAAAGTATCTAAGGTACCTACTCCACCTTTTTTTTTCCATAAACTTTTTCATTAAAAAAAAAAAGTTTGGGGGGGGGGGGGTATTTCAAAAACGTACGTACTTTTTAAAGTAGGGGGGGGGGGGGAGAAGGACTTAGAAGTACGTATGGCGACAGGGTGGTGGGAGGGGGTCAAATTTTAAAATTTTTGGCATACGCACTTTATGGACAACCCCTTATAAAAGATTTTATCATCAAAAGTGAAAACTTAAACTTATTTAAAACTCGCAGTGATAAATATCTAGAACTAATAAATATCTAGAACTACATGATTTGCAACTTATAATTTAATTTATTTACCTAGAATAACTAGAATAAAACAGGGTAAAATGAAATAGCGGGTTGAATGAAATAGTTATGACAATGTTTATTCTTTCACTCTTAGTTAATTATTGAATAATCTTTTTGTAGGGTAAGGTTGCCGATATTGTACCGGCGCCTAAATTGTACTTTTGCTGTATCTAGTTATTTTTACAACCCAGAAAATATCTTAAATTTTATCTTTGCTATGTTGAACTAACGAATCAATTGTTTTTTCGTGAGATGAAACTAGATTCTGGCAGCAGTTACCTCGAGTTGATAAGATGCCAAAGTTTTCTTATTTTTGGGGTTCAATGTTTAGATTTGTTAGACTTTAAACATGTTAAATATGTCTTTTTTATCATATTTATGTGAAAGCACTAGTTATATGAATTCAAATTAAATTCCAAGAAATTAAAATACATTAGCAATTGTCTAATTTCGTTATAAACTCAAAGTGAGTCTAGTCGCGTAATTTGTACCTCACTTAAGGTCTTAAATTGTACCAAGGCTGCCATTTTGAATGCTCAAAATACGCGTGAAGTATATAAAAATAATATGAATTTTAAAATGTCGAAACGGAGATATGGTTTGTGGACAAAAGAAGATATGAAAGAGGCTATTTTTGCTTATCGAAATGGTAAAATTGGACTTAACGCTGTATGTGCAAAATATGGAATTCCTAAACCAACATTAAAAAGACATATGAATCATCAAAATATATTTGCAAATGAATCAAATAAACAGTTAGGTAGGTGTAGTATCTCAACTTATTCAAATAATTGTTACTGTTGTTCTAATTATATATTTTTTGTTCAACGTTTCATTTATTTAGGATGAACTTATTTTAGAAACAATTTCTGCACATCCAGTGCAAACTTCTTCACTCGAGCGAAATCCTAAAAAATCTAGAGCTAATCTATTGAAACATAATGCACATAATGACCCACTCTCTAACGTAACTTTATTATCATCAATAAAAAAACAGAACAGTAAGTCTTTTATTTTGTTTTTTGCAATTTTACATTAATGGTTACACACACTCAAAACACATACACAATACACACACACACATATTCATCTCCGAAGGTTATCCATAATATTATTATTTTCTTAATTAAAATGAAAATTTAAAGCTAATTTTTACTAGCAGAAAATTTGTTAGAATTGTTTTTGGTTATTTTTTAGGTTGCAGTGTCTTGACATACCAATAAAAGCATTATCTCCACTTCCAGTTAGAACTTCTCCTCTCAAAAAAAAAAAAAAAAATTCAAATACAACTGTATTGACGAGTAGTCCTAACAAAGATGCACTCTCTGGAAGAGCTTTACTGCGACAAAATAAAAAAATAAAGCAGGACAGACAATGTTTGAAAGAGTGTGAGCAAGCAAATATATCACTTCAAAATGAAAGCTGGTTTTGCTACCTCTGTGAAGAAAATATAAAAAAGAGTATGATACAATGCCTTACATGTCAAGGCTGGTGCCATAATGACTGTGCAGGTGTTAATCAAAAACAAAAACGTTATATTTGTAACTTTTGTCAAGAATAAAGATTTTCTGTTTTGTATTATTAATATAATGTGCAGTAATATCCATCATTTTCTTACCAAAATTCTAGAAACCACATAAATAAGTTACACATTTAATATAAAAGTTATACCTTATTGAGATGTTTTCAGACTATTCTAGGAACTTTTTTATATTGCTTGGCACAGAAAAAGATCTTTATAAAAATCATTCAAAATGTACTGTAAATTAATATAGTATTTGTAAAATCAAGATATATTCAATATTGGGTTATAATGGTACGATTTAGGATCTTTTTTCCTTAATTGTACCGGTAGCGTGTTTTTAAAATTTAATTCCCTATCAAATAACAACGTTTAAATATTTGAATATTTTAACTTTTTTAGAACAGTTTATCCCCAAATTATAAAATAAAATAAAGTCTCACTGTTTCTACTTTGTATTTTTTCTCTATTTTTGACTTTACTCTTAGGGGGTACAATATCGGCAACCTTACCCTAAATATTTTTCGATAATGTTGTAGGAATACTTTTTTGAGTAAGATGATGTCAAATTTCATTTTTAATAAAAAAAATATTGTTACAAATTGTTAAGTTTTAGAATGCGTAATAAGGTTTTTTTTATTATTTTGAAAAAAGAACTTAAACTCTCGGAAATAAAATTTGATATTATTGAACATAAAAGATTTTATGGTACAACTTTTTACGCTGATCAAGAACCTTTTTTCAAAATTAAGTTTGCTATTTAGGAAAAAAAGTTATGAGTAAAAAAACGGAAAAGAAGAATTGTGGTGTTAAATGAAATACGCTAATGAAATACGTGAAGCAATTCTTAAATGCGTGTTTTTTTTTTAATTCTCAAGTGACCAATAAATCTCCCGCTATAAATTTTTGTATAAATTTCAATGAACAAATTTTTCTATCTGAATTTAAATGAATGACTTTTACTGACTGCTTTTATTAAATGATTATAATAAATGAATGAAATACGTTAGTTGCTACCTTGTTAAATTGCAAGGTTTGGCAAATTTAACAAGGTAGTCAAATGTCAAACATGCATACCAAAGGCGCTGAGTTTTATTGCTCCAAAAAGTGCCGCACAACTGAAAACTCAACTCAACCTCTAGAACCTCTAAGCGACTCAACATCATCACAAAAATAAAAAAGCTTTTTTTATTTGATTGATTTTTTAATTGTTATTATTGATTGTTTTTTTAATTGATATTGTTGATTGCTTTTCGTTTTTTTAATAAAGTATTGTTTTAATTAATTACGTAATTAATTAATACGTAATTAATTACGTATGTGGGTGTAGAATGGAATAAATTTTTTTTTAATCAAGTAAGGTTTTATAAAAAACTTTAATTTTCATTTTTTTATTCTTATTTATTCTAATACAGATTCTCTACAACTTTAAAAAAAAAATTAAAAAAAAAATCTTTTTTCCGTAAAAAAATAAATAATTAAAATCCTTAACTATTCCATTTGACTCCATTTTACTATACACAATATATATGCTGTCAAAGTGAAATTAATTAGTATTATTTTTCGCTTTTCGGAGTGAGGGGGGGGTAGGAGTAGGGATGAGTGGTTTTGTGAAGACTCATACGGAAATTGTTACTAAAGTGTTACAATGTTGTTACGAACGACGGGGGGAGGGGGCGTAAAGGAGTCTAAAATGGTCTTAATTGCGTGACGTAATTTATTGACGACCCCCTTGGTTTTTTTTTAAAAGAAAAGTTTCAATATTCAATCAATGTAAATATAATATCAATATAAAATCAATGTTTCAATAAACCAATGTTTGTACATCTATCAATGATGACCTTTATTTTATTTAATTAGTATACACCTAAATATATACTCATTGTGAAAAAATTTATTCTATAAAACATATATTTAATAGTTTCTTTATTAAATATAGGCTTTAACTAGACCTTATCAAGATATAATTGAGAACTTGAAAGTTGTAATTGAAAAACGTAAGATGTAATTTAGAGCATAATAGTTGTATTAAGAAAAGTTTATAATATATATTCTCAGAACAAAGCTCTTTGTATTTTTAATTTTGTTGCTTAATTTACCTTGTAATTAAACTTTGGTTCCTAATTTAGCCAAGTTTTTCCGATGGGTTAATTTTCAATAAATAATAATCAATCAAAAATAACGCAGATGGAACACGAATCGCATTTTTAATGTTACCTTTAATTTTATACCAAAATTGTTTCTACAAGGTTTAACATTAGGTTGTAGGGTCCTAATCATTACAACTGAGCAGGATAGTTTTTGAACACCCTTTCCTAACAAGCGTGACATGGAACATTGTCTGTCACGATGACCAAATGCTCTAAAAGACTCCCGAATGTAATACACTGGTGAAACATAACCAACATCTACTCTTTACAAGAATCTGCATTAAATGATTTTCAGCGAGTTTCCATCACTTTTTTTTTTGCAGCTACATCAACATTTTTTGTTGATTTAGCTGCAATCAAATGTATGTTTTTACCTCTTGAAGCAGACAAATTCATTATTGCTCTTCTTTCCTGTTTCGCGTTCTTGTGTTTTTCTATAAAAAAGATTAAAACTTGTCACATCCAACCAAACTATCTGATAATCATTTGTTATTTTTTCGTTGATGTTCCTAACATATTCAGCTCTAATTTTTTTATTTTCATTACTGTTTCTTGTAGATAGTATCTTGTGCACTTTTTTTTTAATGAAAAAATCTGTGTTTGAGGTAATTGGCAGTTGTAGTTACGCTGACGCTAATATCATCTTGTCTTTATATTTTTGTTTCGATAAATTGTCATAATATTTTTGTTTTGATCCTCAGTCAATTTTTTTGGTTTAAAACCTCCTCTTCCGATAAAATATGAATTTCCGCTGCAAACCCAATTGAAAACTAACTTGTATTTAACACCTAAGTTTTACGCCAGAGTCTAGCTGCTTTAAATGCCAATCGTCATTTTGCTCAATACATTCAGTAACTCTTCTTCTGTCATTCGGTGAAGATAAAACATAATGTTTTAATTTTAGACCAAATTGTTTCCACCAGGTTTCAACTTGTTTGATTGTATGTACTTAGACAAGTTGGTTCTAGTTGTTCCAGAAGCGGATATAAGCTAATTGATGAAATCAATGCTGACATAGATTCACTTTAAGTACAAACTTTCGGACCATAGTGTATTCACAAATAACAAAGTGATCTTTCTGTTCAATTATTATTGCTAGTGCATACAAAGGCTTAATTTGATATTTTTAACTTATTCAAATTTAAGTTCCAGAAGACCTTTTATAATGACCTATATGCTTACATTGTGAATTTGCAATTACAAATTATGTACTCTCATTTACATATTACGATTTCTTAATTACTATATATGTATTCTCAATCACATATTACGATTTCTTATTTAAATGTTGTGGTTCTCAATTACATATTGCAATTTTTTAATTACAACTTTCGTTCAATTACAATTTGAAAAGGTGTAGTACTACTACAGAAAATTCTTTACCTGAACCTTAATCTGGTAAATAAAACCTGGTTTATTGCTTGAAATCGTCAACTAATTAAATTTAATGCAATAAGAAACTGTAGTAAAAAAAAGTGTATTAAAATATATAATTATAAAAATTTTCCTACTTTCCTAGTTCTTCCAGAGAGTCATACTTTTCATCGAAAGACATCCTTTGTTAGAAGAAAAATTTCAGCTTTGCTGAATTTGTTATATTGCTACGTCGTATATTGCTAAAATTGTTAACACGTGGTTGATTACTTCATAAAACCTGTTGAAGTTATAAAAAAGGAGTTTAAAGTAAAAAAAAGTCAAGTTAATCCGTGAAAAATCTTTAAATAAAAATTTTGATGTGCCCTAAATAGCATGATGTTGCAATAAATGTTGCACGGTATTTCGTACAATATCTTGAAAAAAAAATTAACAAAAAAAAATTAACTTTACAACACAGTGCTATCGTAGTTTGTCATTCGTAACGTCACTTGTGTTTGTGCAAATGGCACATATTTCTCAGAACATGCTATTGAAAACACTTATAACATGCTATTGAAAACACTTATAAACTACTTATGTAAATGTTTTCTACTAAACTAGCAATAAAACAGACCTTATAAAACAAGACAATAAAACAGACCTTAAAACCACAGACAATAAAACATATCTTATTTCTAATGTAATTGCTGCTGCACAAACTGGAATATACTAGACGAAACAAAATATAAACATATTTCTCATAAATGTTTTTTCACTCAAGTAAAAATCGGTTGTTTCCTAGCAACATAAAAGTACTGCTTCTTCCAACTTTTTTTAAATTGAATCTTATTCCAAAATAAACTTTATTGTAATAATAAAAAAGATATATATATATATATATATATATATATATATATATATATATATATATATATATATATATATATATATATATATATATATATATATATATATATATATATATATATATATATATATATATATATATATATATATATATATATATATATATATATATATATATAAAGTAATTGTTTTAAAGTATAGTTTGTTTGAATAAATTTTTCTAGTCGGTATTTATTTTAAATACTTACTTTATTTACGAGATTTTAAACAGACGTAAATTATTTACTAATCCATTTTTATTATTATTTTGTTAGAAAATTCGATTCTAAAAAACGGTGAAGAAACCGACAGGATACGGTGATTAATAGAAATTTTTATTGTCATAAAAATCCATTTATTTATTTTCCGATTAAAAGCTTTTGAAAATTTTTCAGTGATGATGTGAATAATATATTCAATAGAATTAAATAGTATAAAATAAAGTGTGGAGAAGGCGGAGCAAAACTGGACAGTAGAGATGTTTTATCGTGTCATAAGTTTTTACCAAAATGATTTTCATTTATTTGTTTAAAGATTTAGGCGATTGTGGTCCGCAAATTAATATGATTTGTAGTCTCAGGATTCTGATGAAAAAATTCCGAGAATTTGAAAGAAAACGTTTATTATTATGTTCACTATCCAACCTGTATATATCCTATCCAACCAGTAAACCAGGTACTGATAACCTATCTTGACCTAGAAATCCGTTGCCCATAAAAATCACTTATAGTTTTAATCTTGGTTTGTTTCCTATTCTTGTAATTGTATATATATATATATATATATATATATATATATATATATATATATATATATATATATATATATATATATATATATATATATATATATATATATGCTTGAAAAAAATCTCTTTTTTGTCAATTTATTTTATTTAAATAAATAATTAAAAAAAGTTGTTTAATTTAACCCTAATACTACTGTATGCAAAAATTTACACAATTACACACAAACAATTACACATAGATTCATACTACTAGTTGTTTACCAAAGTCTCACAAATGAAACAGTAGAAACTAAAAAATATTGCTGAGAATAAAACTATATTTAAGTTTAAGCGTTGTCGTTGTACTGCATGTTTAAACTTTTCTTAAATGCACGGAAGTCGCGCACTAAAGTCACGCACGAAAATCAAGTACGGAAGTTGTTAATTTGTCAAGTTAGTGTATTTTTAAAAAATAAATTGCTTTTGAATATTTCAAGAGAAATGTTGTCTACAACTCATAAATACAGAGCATGCATAAAAGATAGCAACTAAATAGGTAACTATTTATAAAACATATAAATATAAAGACAGCAACTAACGTATCAGATAGACCTACAAAAAATCTCGACCTACTAAGTTGTTCTAGAAAAAGAACATCTACTAAAAACTAGAACTAATTTTCAGATAACCTACTGAGGCCTAAATTGTTTCGACCGATTATAGTCTTTTTTATTTTCAATCGATTTATGACGTTTTCGTTTTCGACCGACTTATTTTTCGATCTATTTTATAGATTTTCATTTTCAACCGATTTAAGAAAAGATAAAATTAATTTGAGATAAATTAATTTGTCTCAAACCGGTTGTTTTTTCTAAAATTCAAAAAAAATTTTTTTATAAATAACAATCAATAAGTTTTCCAAGCATTCATTGAATCGATTTCGTAAAAAACCATCTCAACCATTGCGCTAAGGCTGATCAAATTTGGCTCGTATTTAAATCAACAACAAAATATTCAAAAACATACCGGAAAGACCGAGTTATAAAATTGAAAATAAAGTAAGTTGAATATTCAGTAGATTGAAAATTCAGTTGGTCAAAAATACAGTAGGTCAACGATTTAGTAGGTTGGAAATTTAGTAGTAGGGAAAAGCGAGGCAACATGGCAAACGTTTTGAAAGCCCTGATTTATTGCAAAACTATCGGTCCTGAAGCAATAATATTTTCTGAGTATGTTTATGTTATTAAAATGATTCATTGCCTGCATGAATTTTCTGTTTGCAAATATAACAATTTGAAATAAATATTAAAGTAAAAAGTTCATAAATTTGTCAGCTGGTCACGTGACCGGGGCAAGATGACTTATGCAATTTTTACCTCCAATTTAAAAAAATTTTAATTTTGCAAATTGCAAAAAACTATTTCTAAAGAAGTTAAACTTAAAGGAAATTGCGTTAATAGTATTTTAAAAAACCAATTCGTGTTTTAAAGTACAAAATGCAAATACAGTTTCGTTTTCACCTAATTTTAAGATTTTTTGTTAAGTTGTTATATGAAAACCCATCTTGCCCCATTCGCCATATTGTCCCGCTTTCCCCTACATGTTTTAATTAGGTGTAAATATAAAAATCAAAAGTTATTGGTTAAAAATGTTTTATTTACATGATTAAATTTTTATTTACATAATTTTATACAATATTTATTAATTTTTTACAATATTTACACCTAATTAAAACATATACTACTAAATTAGTAAAACTAGATGTGCCTTCAGGGTTAAAAACCATGCAGGCACATCTAATTTTACTTTCGGAATTAAAACCTGTATAGACACGTTTGTCACAATCCAAGCGCAAATCAAAAAGCACGTATATTTATAAATACACGTGTTTTCGGTTTCCGTCTGAATCGTGTAAAATTTTCGAGTAAAACTGCCCGATAATTACCGGGCAGTTTTACTCGTAACTTTTTTATGAGTTTGTAACAACTCGTAATAAACCTAAAAAATGAAATCAAATAATTTATAAAATTGTTTATTTATAATATTAATGGTCAATGCCAACATTAATTGTTAAATTTTTATTACAAATACAGATATCAATGTAAAAATTGATACCTTATAATTCTTATAATATCTTATAATTCTTATTTGACAAATTATTGACATTATTAATGTTTTTTATAAAAGTTTAACAATTAATGTTAGTATTGTCAGTTATTATCAAAAAATTGCTATTATTTATAATAGCTTATCTTTTATTAAACACATAAACAATCCCAAGTTAATTTTAAACTGTTATATAAATTCTCAACCCATGGGCAACGATACGGGTTTTGAAGTGGGGGGGGGGGTCAAATTATCGTTTGTGAAAAAAAGTCCTCTATATCAAGAATTATAGAAAAAAAAAAACGTCCTCTAGAAAAAAAGTGTGTGTATGTGTGTGTGTGTGTGTGTGTGGGGGGGGGGGGGAGGAGGGGGAGGCACGTGCCTCCTGCCCCCCCCCCCCCATCGGTGTCGTCGGCCCTGCAACTCAGAAGACAGAAAATTTATATACTTTGTCATTTTTTATTACCCATTTTTATACTAACTTTATTCAAAACCTATAATATTTTTAACTTTAGGTTGTTTTTTAAATTTAACTTTTTTATTTTTATTTTGTTATTATATTAAAATCATTGTAAATCACAATGTTATTTTAAAAATATTAGTTTATAAATGAATAAGAGTTATTTTTATTCTTGATAACAATAAAATCGGCTCAACTATTCTTAATAACAATAAATATAAACCAAGCATTTTTAATAACACGGAAAACAATTCAAACATTCTTAAGATAAATAAAACAAATCAATATTATAATAATTTAATTTTTTATGGCATAACATAGTTTATAATGATAATTTTTTTTTTAATCAAAATTAATATTTAGAAAATAAAATAGAATATTTAACCTTGATCAGGTATGCCGAAATGCACGGGTGTTGCAAGTGCTTTGCCCCGTTGCATTGCAAAGACGCCAGAATCACTTAATTAAATTAATTAAACTTTACTATACAAAAAATAAAAAATAAAAAATGTCTACTTATGTAATATTAGTGATACATCGACGCCAAAAACATATCATTTGCCTTTGCCTAAGCTAAATTTATTTTTGAATACTGTTTTTTTTTTTAGATATTAATTTTTTTTTTTCCTTTTATAACAAGTTGAACCTGTTAACCTATATAACTTCCGACATCCCTGACCATGATCATAAAATATAGTGGATTAAAAACCAATTCAAATTGCTAGTAATGAAATGTTTAAGGTTTAACATAAACAGAAGTAGACTAAGATATTATTTAGAATCAATGTTTATTATATTTTGTATTTATGTTAAGAACAATATTACTTTTTATTTTGTTTATTTTAATCCTGAAGATGAAAGATAGATGAAACGCATACTTTTCTCTAATAAGTATAAAAATCGTTTTAAATAATACATAAATATTAAAAATGTTATTATTTTTTTAATATCAAAAGTTTTCTCACCTTATATTTAATTAACAGGCTATAATCTTAAACAAGACTAAAACTTGACTTGCTATGTAATCCTAAAGTAATGTGATAACTTAAAGATGTGATAACTTAAAGCTGAAATTATAAAAACTAAAACTAAAAGAATTTTAGTATAATTTCTGTTAAAAAGTTATTATTAAAAAATTATTCTCATTATACATAATTTATATATCCTACAGTTTTATGAACTAATATGAATTTATAATTAATAAACTTTAATTCATTGTTTTTTAAGATTCAGCAATATCTACGTTACACCGTGATATCAAATGTTTTACGGAAAACATCACATTAATGATTACTAATAAATTATATTATTTATAATTTAGAAGCACATTTAGTAAATTAATCGAAAACACTATGTCAATCCATGAAGTTATGACTGTATTATTGAAATTTCGATAAATCAATAAAATTTAATATGATTGGTTAACTCAAATTTAGCGCAGTAACAAATGTTCTAATATAAAATTTGACTTGTCAGGAAATCGGATTATGATATATAACATGTCCCAAACTTTAGTGTAATCTAGTTACAAATTTCAGAGCTAATCTGCTTTTTACTAAATTACTTGATAAAACTGTATGAAAACCACGAGGAATCTCTTGTTCCATATGATATACTTAAACTATCAACCTATACGCCCTGTCCCCCATTCCCCCTTAAAAAAAAAGAATAGCAGACACCCTTTAAGAAAATCTATAGTAGAAAAACAATGTTGAATTAATTTTTTATTATTAAAGGGCTCCTAGAAGACCTAATTATTTTGTCACAGTGCACCACGGACGAGGATTTGACTATAAAGTTTACTCTTTTCTTGCCAACGATACATATATGTGAAGACCAGTCATCTTGAATAGCTTAGATCTAAAACAGGTGCTTCAATTACTGCATCACAACTGCTCAAAATTGAATGAATAAACAATTTTCTTCTTATCTGACGTATGCTACCATTATGTATACAGTAACGTGAAGTGGGGTTACTTTGAACATTTTTGGGGTTCCTTAGAACATCATTAAGTGCGGCCGTGACGCAGTGGTTAAAGTGCTTGCTTTATAAGCAGAAGATCCAGGTTCAAAACGAGCTTTGAACATATTTTTGCGTTATAGTAAGGAAGGAGGCGCGAACTTCCTGGTTAAACGTACTTCTGCGGTACTCCTTGACAAGACCGTTAGGTCTTCTTTAGGCATCTAAATAACAAAATAAAAAAAAATAAATAAATAAAAAACCACGAGGAATATTTAGTGAATAATAATATCTGTCAACTTATTCAAGTATCCGCCATCATTTGTCAAAACAAATGCATCAAAAAAATGGTTTTTAATTATGGTACATAGAACAAAGATGGTTTTTAATTATGGTACATAGAACAAAAATGGTTTTTAATCATGGTACATAGAACAAAAATGGTTTTTAATTATGGTACATAGAATTTTTAATTTTTTTAATTATGGTACATAATTTTTAATTATGGTACATAGAACAAAGAGAAGTTTGAGCCTTAAAAGTCGTGTTTTAAAAGTTTTAATTTAAAATTTATCAGAAAAATAAAACGCTAATGGTTTTGTCAATGTATCTTGAGCATTTATTAAGTTACACAATGTTTAGTAAACAGAGTAACTACTGAAAGTTGCATACTATTTTTGGTAGTCTTAAATTGACTTAATAAATACTCAAGGTTTATTAGTAAATACGTTAGTTTTAGGTGTTGTAAAAATTTCTTTATCGAAGTGTCTTTCTTTTCGGATCAGTTCTTTAACCTCAGATATTTTGAGATAATAAGGCGCTACAATGTAATCAAAAAAAGTTATTTTTTATTATTAAATTACTCAAAAGAAGATATAGATTAAAGATGTCACAAGTAGTGATTTTGCGAAATACTAAATGCCGAATATTCGGCTAGGCACTCGACCAAAGGACCAAATACTTGTCGGCTGCCGTATATTCGATGACACTTAGTTATTTTGCTATTATACTTAGTTGGTATACATTAAATTGTTTTAACAATGGTGATGTATTACTGGTGATGACTTACTCCCATTTGAATTTATGCCAATGTTTGCTAACTTGTTTAGCGCACTTATTACAGTTGGCACTTATTAATGCACTTTCCAAAACAAATTTCAAGGAATTGTTTAAAACACGACGAGCAAAACAAAAACAATTTTTAAATGCTCTGAGAAAGATAAAGTCAGTAAAAGGTTTATCCTTTTTAGTACAAGACTGCTTGACATCTATGAACCATCACCGGTTGCTAGTAGCACCAGTGAGAATATATCTCCACTTCGTAAGAAAACAAAATGTAAATAAAAAGGATCAAATCAATCTCTACGGAACACATATGAACACACATATGAAGATATAGAAAAGAAAAGTCAAATTCAAAACGAAATTCGTTTTTACATGAAACTGTTCGCTAAAATTAGATAGCAAACGCTTACAAGTTGTTGTCAGAAAATGCAAAGCATTAACCTATTTTTTCGGCCGAATAACTTGCCTATTTTTTCGGCCGAATAATATATATATATATATATATATATATATATATATATATATATATATATATAATATGTTATATATATATATATATATATATATATATATATATATATATATATATATATGCAAATATGTTGGTCAATAACAGACGCTATTTCGGGTTAATAATTATGACTATTTGTGGCTGTTCTTATGCTAAGCCAACAATATTGTCGGGTATATATTTTTATAGTTATTTTGAGCTAACGTTGCCAACAGAATAATTGCTTTTACTAAATTCTTCACAATATCAGCACCATATGCAAAATTTCTAAAATAGACAGATTTATAGTGCATAATATCACTATTAAAAACTCATTTGTATTGATACTACTAGTATCTACAAATCTGAATTTTTAATTGTATATATCTATACATCTGAGTTTTTAACGCTTTTCTAGTTAGAAAAAAAATGAAGATGAAATAAAATTAGTATGTAAAGTCTATTGCTTGACCTGAAATTCATACATGCCAGTTCATTGTCAACATTGTAAAAATTAGAAAGAACTTATACCACGTGAAAGAGAGTCAAGTTTAATATAAGAACATATTTGTAAATAACTGACTTGATGAAAATTTGATTTTTAATTAGCAGCCTTGGCGCAGTAACTTTTTTCTTGGCTCAGAACCAAGAGGTCCGAGGTTCGACGCCGGCTCTAGCCCACTGAGCGACATTGCTAAGGAAGGAGGCGTAAATTTCCTAGTTAAATGATCTTCCACAGCGCTGTGATAAGACCGCAAGGACTTCTAGGAGCACCTTAATAACCACACACAAATAAAAGAATTATAAAAGTACCTTTATTAACTTTTTAGTTTGCTAATATTATATTTTTTTCATATTCGCTTTGTTATAATGATGTTGATATTTTTTTGCTATTTAGAAATATTAAATAAAATAACTAAACGACTAAAGCAAAATTAGGAACTAACGTAAAATGAGTCGACTCATAAATTATTATTTTAGGAATTTTTTTGTCTTACTTAATGTTTCTGCTTGCTTTACTTCGTGTTTTTGTTCGTTGCAAAGCTCGAAGCAAGTTTTTGTTGCAAACCTTTTGGAAAAAATTTTTAAACATCAGAAAAATACTTTTATTGTGATAAATACTCTGTATAAAGAATCATCATTTAACAAAGCAAATATTTATACATAATATTAATACATATTTCAACTTTATAAACAATATATTAAATAAATTGCTAAAAGTTATAATACAATATATTTTTACGTAGTCAAGAAATAAAAATAAACTAGACCACAATACACGATACCTTTATCAGACTATGTGTACATGTTTCAAAGAAACCCTTTATAGCTGTTATCTTTTTAAACACTAATAAAAACATTTGTAGTTTTTTAACCTATAAATTTTAACCAATTTTTCACAATAATCACCACAAAATAATGTGTAACAAATGATAAATCAGACCTCAAAGGATAATAAAATTTTGGTATACGCATAAAAATCAATTGCGCATAAAAAATCTGTTTATAAAAATAAAACTCAACGCTAGCATAAAAAACAGTTTTGTTAGTCGTCTGCTAACGTCCTAATAGTATTATCAGTTTTAAAAAAATATATATATTATCAAATATATAATATTCATCATAATTTTTAAACTTCCAAAACAAAATAAATGAAAAATGAAAATGAATAAAAATAAATGAAAAATAAAACATTCTTTCCTTAAAATATTTAAAAAGTTCTCATAGAAAATAAATAGTTGTTAACTTGAATAAATAACTCTTGGAAAAAAAAAAAAAAAACTCTTGGAAGAATAAAACAACCAAGAAACATTTGCTTTATACAACCATATTAACTGATGAAAATAGTTTATTATCTCTTTTTCGATCAACCTGCATCATTTTTTTTGTAGTCACTTGAAATCGTCAAAGTAAAAATTAAAATATATACACATTAACAAAAAACATAATAACCGTGTATTAAACGAACTGACCAAAGGACTTTGAGTTTTTAGCGGTAGAAAATCTAAAAAAAAAAAAAAAATTTATCGTTTTTTTTTATTCTAATTGATTAATGACAAAAATATGCCGTATTTCATAATACAGCATAATTTTGTCATTAGGAGAACACAATATATAAAATAAAAATTAACAATTTCATGTAAAAAAAAAAAAAAAAAAAATAATAATAATAATACGAAGCTAATAAAAACGTCTGCACCAGGTTACAGCTCGTATAAAATGAATATCAGTATGCAAATCGCCTAATAAAATAATTTGAGGGAATAATGGCTTGAGGGAATAATGGCTTGTTGAGAAAGTGGGGAAGTATTAAGTGAATTTTTTCGCTCCTACTATTGATGTAGCACCGACTTAGAAATTTTTTTCACCTTAGGACTCTCAAGAACATTTAAAAGACTGATAAAAAATTTCTACAAGATACTTATTAAAATTTCTACAAGATACTTAATAAAATTTCTACAAGATACTTATTAAAATTTCTACAAGATACTTATTAAAATTTCTACAAGATACTTCATAAAATTTCTACAAGATACTTCATAAAATTTCTACAAGATACTTATTAAAATTTCTACAAGATACTTATTAAAATTTCTACAAGATACTTCATAAAATTTCTACAAGATACTTCATAAAATTTCTACAAGATACTTATTAAAAGATTTATAAAAAAGTGTTTTTATTCTATAAAATGTCTGATATTTACTTTTTTGTTTGTTTTTTATTATCCACTGACTAAAAAAACTAATTAAAAACGTTAAAATTTATCTATTATTCTGAAATTAATAATAAAATATTATAAAAATATTGCAACAAAATTGTAAGTCTAGTTAAAAGAAAAATTTTAACGCTAGAGCTTGGTCTTATGTTAGAAATTCTGGCAGTGGTAAAGCGCTTGCTTCGAAAGCGAGAAGTTTAGAGTTTTATCCTCAACACGTCCATGGTAGTACTGCGCTATTTTCTTTGCACAGAAAACTTGTTTGTCAAAAGTTTTTAAAGTTGGAGTTGAAAGTTGAGAGAGGGATTTAAGAAGAAAAAAAGAACTACCTTAAAATACAGTAATTTTAATTGTATACATCTATACATCTGAGTTTTTAACGCTTTTCTAATTAGAAAACTCAAATTGTGAGTTTTTGCATAACATTATTTACAATCTCAGGCACAGACTAAACAAAAACAATTGGAAAGTTAAAATATATTAACACTATGTTCTTGGTGGAATTGGAAAGTTAAAATATATATAACACATGTTCTTGGTGAATCACACAATAAACTGGGATAAACTCTGAATATATAGGATCACTTTTTAGTAAACCAATAAGTACATCATTTTTTTTAACCATTGGTGGTGCACCATCTTTTATTTTGATATTCATTTAAAAAAAAACAATTTTTGATATAATTGTTAAGAGCAACTAAATTTGAAAATGCAACTGACAACTGAAAATACTGTCACAAAATCACTACAACAAAAGAAACAATACTGTCACAAAATCATTACAATGTAAGGAACATTAACATAAAACCACTACAATATAAGGCCTATTAACATAAAGTTGTATAAGTATTACTAACATAAACATGTGCTTTCAATCTATTTAGTTTAAAAAAATAAAAGATGTGTTATCACAAAAGCATTAGTAATTATATGATTAACTCTACTGTCTACTAACTTATAATTAAACATATAATTGTTTTATGCTTGCTGTTTTATGTTTAAATGTTTATTTTCCTGAATAATAATAACCTTTTTAGAATAATGTTGACATTATTAAAGATGGCTATATCAAAAGAACTTTTAAAAACTATTACTTAACAATACTCCTCTCAAATACACTTATATGCACTTTTTTTTAAATTTAGTCCCTAAACAGTAATTAGTTTAAGAGTATCATTTTTTTTCAACATAATTTGTTTGTGATGTTTGTTTTTTGGTTGTTTTAATAGAATACATTTTTTTGGATAATATTTACTATTTTTTTTTTGGATATATTAAATAGAAAATTTATACTCTGCCTAAAAAAACCAGTAATATTTAAATTAGTATATAAAAACACTGAATCAGAGATAATGTATTATTTTCTCATTTTTACAGATTTTGAATTTAGGACAAAATTTTACCTTTTATGGTCTTTGCACATTTTTATTCCTTTTACAATAAAAATAGATGCATCTAAAATTTGAAACAATAAAACAAAAAATAAACCATTAAATTTATAAGTTATTTTACCTGTTAATAAATTACCTAGTAATAAAATTTAGAAAAAAACTTACAATCAACGAGACTAAAAATTTCTTCTGGTAAATCCTTAAAATACTCATGGTTCATCGCTTCTTCAGCTGATATTCTATTTTCTGGCTGCAACTAAATAAGTGAAAAGTTAAATACAGCAAATAAAAATAAACCACAACTGAAGGAATAAAATTAAAAATTAAGAAAAATTAAAGAAATACAATTTTTGAAATTCAAAGAAATCATATATATTAACCTGTATAAACTGTTCAGCTAGACTCTCGCTGAACGGTATTGTGAGCAAACGTTTTGCAGACTTTGATATTTGTGTTTTAGGATATATTTCAAAGTCACCTGCACAGAAATTTATTTTTGACATTATTCAATATTTTTATATTTTTAGTAATTTTAACTGTTTTTAACAAAACAGAATGTTTAGACATTCTGTTTTGCAATAGATTTAAACAACTATATACATAATACTTAAACTTACTTGGTTTATAAACACATTTTTTTGTATTAGGCCAACTAAGTGGTGTTCCGCAAACCTGTTCAGAAATTTTTTATTTTGTAAATTTATATTAATTTATGGTAAAAATTAAAAAAAAATTTATAAGTTTACATTTTCTTTAGAACTCAACTAAAAATTAAAAACTACTTTTTATTGACCTTTAAAAGATATAGTAAAAATTTATTTAGTTGTCAAACCCGGAAAATTTTTGTCAACTGATCATGTGGACTTTTCACACCAGGAAACAATGGAATACCACATACCAATTCCACAAATATGCAGCCAACACCCCTGTAAAAATGGATTTGAATTGTTAAATTAGTTAATTTTAGCTAATAAAAGTATTAATGTCATTGCACTTTATATACAAATAAATTTATTTATTATTTTATATATAAATAAATATTTTTATATCTTTATGACTATTACTTAGATAAATACTTTTTTGTCACAGCATTAAATATACAAAATATTGTTTTCAACATTTTGTATATTTCAATTAAAAAAAACAAAAAAAGTTGTTTATAAACTTGCAATATTAATAGAAAAATGTTTTTGTTATGTAATTTTGTAGATAATTACTTCAATTGTAGAATACTACTTCAAATGTTTTTTTTTTCAAAATAAAGCTGATTAGTCATAGCTTATTAGTCATTTATTATTGGAAAAACTTTAAAGACAAATAGAAAAACTATTACCACATGTCCAGCGAGGTACTGTATTCTGTAGACCCTAACAAAACATCTGGAGGACGATACCTTAAGATATATGTTTTATGTTTTAAAATTTTGTAACCACAAATATTTATTAACAAACTATATAAAATTTACCAGAGTGTTACAATTTCATTTGTGTAAGTATGGCTGGGTACAGATTTTGCACGAGCTAAGCCTAAAAAAAAAAAAAAACTGTTTTTGCTACTGATTTAATAATTAGGATTTTTTTTGATTGAACTGTTATGAAGTTTAACACTAAATTTTTCACTTAATTCTAAAATAAAATAAAGCAAGTAATTGTAATATAGCAAAAAACAATTTACCAAAGTCAGCTAACTTCAACTCTCCTTTTTTATTAAGAAGTACATTTTGTGGTTTTAAGTCTCTATAAATACAAATAGTAACTTAAAAAATAAAAAAAAATATTTATTTAATATACATTCCGTGATCAAAGTACTAAACCACCTTATCAATTTTGTAGAGTTATGACGGTAAATATTTTAGGTGGCATTTAGAGTTACTAGTAGATTTATATATATATTTTTTGTTTCACAGTAGAGGCTTTTTAAATACATAATTATTTTAAAAAAAGTTAACTTTTTTTTTTTTTTTTGAGGGGAGAGGGTGGTGGTGGTAAAATTTCATGACCGGTACCGTCCAAACTAATGCTAGGTATGTCACTGTCAAAATATGCTTTAGTGTTGAGTCAACCATAGAGATTATGACTCAAAAAGCTCAATATGTCAAAAGGACTGCTAATTAAAAATTCCACGAGGATTAAACATCTTTCTAAAGTTTTAGTTGATTATCAACGGGAAAGGCTTTGACTGTTCATTATGATTGAATTATTGAAACAAGACCATTAAAAAAAAGTTATTGAAACTTGTCTTTTACCTCATTTGAAGGAATGGTTTCCAAATAAATAGCAAATGTATTTATGCAAGATGGACCCCATGCTACACTGAAAAATGTATTAAAAATTTATAAGCTTCTCAAAAAAATCCGCTATTGGATTGGCCAGGAAATTCCCAAGATTAAAATAAAATAATCTTAAAAAAAAATTTTCTTATCAAAATAAAATTCCATATTTAAACAAACAATAAAATTGTTGTCTAAATTTATGTTTGATAGCTAGAGAAATTTAATGTTGTGGGTAAATAGTGTTTTATTAATGTTGTGGGTAAATAGTGCTTTATTTAATGTTGTGGGTAAATAATGTTTTATTAATGTTGTGGGTAAATAGTATTTTATTTAATGTTGTGGGTAAATAATGTTTTATTAATGTTGTGGGTAAATAGTGTTTTATTAATGTTGTGGGTAAATAGTGTTTTATTCAATGTTGTGGGTAAATAGTGTTTTATTTAATATATTACTGAATAATCTTTTATGAATACTTAGCTCCGTAAGAACAGAGCTTCAACTAGAAAAAGACTATTTTCTCATTAAAATTTTTTTAAACATATTTTCCTCTTTTTTTAACCCAGTAACTCCGAAACTCTCAGTTTTAACAAAAAACAAGAGAAGACTTTACAAAAAAAAACAATTTGAACAAATTTTCACTAAGAATGTGATTTCAAAACCTATCGACAGCACAACTACTGTTGAAACTATCATTATATAAGACTGATATTTTTTACGATGTAAATACTTCAATGTATGATAGTGGTTTTTTGAATGGTGTTGTGGTGAAGCATACTATGTTACTCAAAAAACCACTATTATACACTGTACACATCTTTTATACAACATGTACACATCTTTTATACCATACCTTTCATTACATTTTAAATACTTGTATTTAAAGAAAAAGGTTGCTTTAAAACACAAACAATTAAAATGTAAATAATGACAGTAAAGAATCATTATGCTGAGAAATCTTAAATCAAATAATAAATATGAACAAACCTATGAAGAATTTTTTTCTTGTGAATATATCGAACACCTCTCAGAAGTTGAAATAGTAAAAGCTAAACATGCAGAAAAGTTTTATTTAAACAACTTCAAATAAAAAATGTTAAAAATATAAATATAAAATGCTTAGTAGAAAAAAAGATAAAGCTCTTAATAATTTTTTAAAGTAACCTTAACATTAGTAGGGTGAAGTCCAAATGGTCTTTCTTCTAAATATATGCTTAGATCAGTGTGCTAAAAAGAACATAAAAAGTAAAAACAATATTATTTTGCTTTCCATCAAGTTAATGCCAAAACTATACAACCTTCATAAAAAAAAGCCTTTAAATTGTGGCCACAACTGTCACAAATGTGAAAATAAGTTGATAAAGTAACTTTTTTACTATTCTCAACTAAATTTATAGTCATTAATAAATTTGAAACTTGATATAAAAATCTTCTAGTGTTCAAAAAACATGACCTTATAAAATTTGAAAGCCCCTCAAATCAAGGAGGGTTCAAACTTTATATAGTCTTAATATTTAAATACTAAGAGATTATTGTATGAAATTTGAAATTGATTGATGTATGAAAACTTATTTGAAACTAGTAAAAAATATATTTTATCAAGTTGTTGCTCTCATGTTTAGGGCAGTTGTGGCCACAATTTTAGGGCTTTTTGTTTCCAGGCTCTAATGACCACAATTTCTTGAAAAACAACCTTATTTGACATAAGTGTAAACATATAAATGTTTGGAGTTAGTTTTGTATGAAAGTTAGCTTTAACATCAAAAAAATGCTGCATATATATATATATTTGTATATATTTTTCAATATATTTTTTATATATAAATATATTATGTATATGTTTTAAATATATAATTTATATATATATATATATATATATATATATATATATATATATATATATATATATATATATATATATATATATATATATATATATATATATATATATATATATATATATATATATAGCGAGGAAAATAAAAAATGAAGGCGAGCAGTTAATTTGAAAGGCTAACACATTGATGTTTAATTATTTTTATTGGACCGTCAAAATTTTTATTTTTTTCTTTGTTAAATTTTTATCTTAGTAATAGTTCTTCATGACTGAGTTTTATATAAACAAAAATAATGAATGCTTAAAAATTAACAAATTTGCATTACTTTTAAAACAATTATTTTAAATAAAATAAAGGCATTTTTAAATGGAAGCGCAAATAACTAACATTCAAATTACAAGCTAATATTAACAGTTTAAAATAAATCTCGCGTGCACAGAATTCCATTCAAATAAAAATGGAAGTTTGATACCATCCAAATAATTTAATTTTGAATTTTTTTTTCAATTATCAAAACAATTTTTTATAAAATATTGAAAAATTTAAACTACTTAATAATAAAAGAAATTGTTTTGTGGATTTCTACTATAACAGTTACTTATGTTATATAAAGCGAAGTTTTCACTAAAAATATATTTTCTAATATAGGCGTTTTCTGATTCCTTCATTAATAATAATAATAAAAAAAAGTACAAACGCACATTAATAATTTTAAATTTATTTTTAAAAATTTATTAATTGCAATGATTTGCAAATGGTGGGAAAAGCTACAAGGAAAATAAATAAAAAGATCGAATGAAAAAACAAAAAACCAAAGCACAATTGGAAGATAAAATGTTCTTAGTTACATGCAACAATTTCAAATAATAACAAAATAAGAGCTTCAATATTTAAAGTTAATGACGTTAAAGAAAACTAAATGTTTTAATTGTAACTTTGTTTCTCTACTTAAAAGTTAATGACATTAAAGTCGTTAACTTTAAATATTGAAATTGAATAATTGCACACTTTGTTTCTCTGCTTAATAAACTCCTTTAAAAAAAATGCAAATGTTAATTAGTTAACAATGTTATTAACTTTTGCCTACAGCTATTCAAACTGAATACAAAGAATACTAATTAATACTTAATATTCATCAACGAAGACAATTAAAGTAGCGTATCATAAACAATGATACTATTTTTAATGCATTTTTAAAACTTAAACGATTTAATAAATTTGAATATATGCATTTTTCAAAATACATCCTGATTATTTTCAAACCTCTGATTTTTTTGTCAACCGGTCAATTTTATGCTTACACACAATATATTTATTTGAAAATCGTTTAAAATACTGCAAAAAATTGAAGAATGAGCCACATTTTGTCCACATGCGAGCACCAATAATTTTTCATATTAAAGTTTCACAGAAAAAGTTTTAAGATTTAAATTTAAGGTTGAAATTAAAAAACTTAATATTATAATCACAATATTATGTTTAATATTATTATATTAATAATATTAAACAAACTAGAAACCAAAAAATTCAAGAAAACTCAAATATTTAAATGTGCTAAAAAGAAAGTTTAAAAATTTTTATTTATTTTTTATTAACCAGTAGAGCTATATATGATTTCAACAATTTTATTCACATTAAAGACTGGTGACTTGAAAGAATTTGGAAAAAAATAGAAACTCATGCTTTTTTTTAAAAACAAATATACTCATTTTAATAACCAAATATTCTATTAAGTTTTTTTAAACAGAGTTAAAAAAAAAAAAAAAAAGGAATTACTTCAAGAAATATAAAGCAAAATTAACAAATCTACATATATATATAGCATGTGACAGTTTTTAGTAATTCATGCTTTTTGGAAAAAATCAATTATTTTACAATAAGACAGACCAACTCCATGAGAGAAGCTTCCCTTTTCATCATTTTTAAGTTTCCATTTTATGAATAAAAGTCACCAAATAGAGACTTGACTCGAACCTGAATTGTATTTTGTGTTTATTTTTAAAATTTTAAAAGAAAACTTATGTAGTTTAAGAAATATATATATATATATATATATATATATATATATATATATATATATATATATATATATATATAAATTCAAATTAAAAAAAAGTACACTGTATAAATGATAACAATAACAGTTAATACTAAATTTTATCAAAATTATTTAAAATTAATAACAATAATAATTTATTAAAACTAATAACAAATTTTAAATAGTCATTACAGAAAAGTTGAATTCAGCAACATACCAAGTATTCAAATACTAGTACAAGATGCTCCTTTGTTGGTATAATGTCATGCAAGGTCACAATATTAGCGTGTTTAAGCTCTTTTAACAATGATGCTGAATATAAATTTTAAAACATAAGCATGAAAAAAATATAAAAATATAAATTAAATTTAAATGCACATATTTTCTTTGGTTGTTTTACATTTTAAAATTCTTTTAATGCTATAAGCATAAACTTGTGATGAACTGTTTTTTACTTTTATTTTTTAAAAAAGCCCTTAACACCTAATAATAGTGTTGCTTTTAACCAAAGGGTAATATAACTTGACAATCATATTATTTTAATAAATAAGGTTTTCACACTTGACCAAAAGCAGTTTTCATCAATTTTTTAAAACTATTAAGGGCTAATTCAAAACAATTAGCAAAATAATTGATGCACTCGCTTTCTATAATCTAATATTAAAAAACATACAAAAATAACTGATGCACACAATTATTATAATCTAGTGTTAAACAACATATCAAAAATACAAGGGATAAGATTACTTACAGAAACTTGGCTGAATATACAAAAAAATTGATAAACTTCCTCTTTCTTAGCAAACTTAAACCCGACTAAATTTTAACTGGATGGAACATTAGCAATTACTATTTAATTTTAAAAGAACAGACCAGAAAGTCATGCTTTTTAAAAGAACAGACCAGAAAGTCATGCTTTTTAAAAGAACAGACCAGAAAGTCATGCTTTTTAAAAGAACAGACCAGAAAGTCATGCTTTTAATATGATCCATCACAAAATATTAATTGAAAAAACTAAAACTGTCGTTTGGGAGTATAACCAAGAACTTTCAAAATGTAAATACTTAATGTTAAAATGTATTTATGATGTTGATATTAAATGATAATATTTCAAACATATTCACTCAGTCTAAATTTAAGAGACTTTTTTTTTAATGGTAAAGATATAATAAAGTATTTATACTAATTTTGAAAACATGACATCTCTGAGTTTTGAAAACATGATATCTCTGAGTTTTGAAAACATGACATCTCTGAGTTTTGAAAACATGACATGGTTCGGACTGTTGTAACTGTAATGAAAATAATAAAAGTTACAACAACTATTGTTATTGTATTAACCTTTTTAGAAACAATAACAATACCTGTAATTTACAATATTTTGAATACTGTAATACAATAACAATAAACATTGTACTGCAATTTATAATACAGTAACAATATCTGAAAAAAAAAGTATTGTAATAACGCACTACAATAATAATGTTGTATTGTAATTCATCTTTATAATACAAAACAATTTATTGTTATTGTATATAACTAGGATTGTTCATAGTAAAGATAACCACAGTGAAACCCTTATCCTCTTTTATTGAAACACTAACAACCCCTTTGCTCTGTACACTTTTAACATCTAAGCAGTCATAAAGCTTGCGTTGCATGATGGTAATGTCTATCTACAGCATGTAGAGCAGCGCTTATATTCAGATATGCTTAATCTGAAAACAAAATAATTAAATAAAAAAAAACTACATACTTCTTATTTGGTATAGAATAATTATCAAAAAAGCATTTGCAAACAATTGTGTTTGTAATTTTACTAATAAAATACCACCTTTAAATTAAAACCTTATTGTTAGAAAATTATTATGAATTTCTAATTTCTACTAAAACTATTTATAAGTAAAGTTTATATGTATTGTAAACAGATAGTCAATTTGTAAAGAGTATACAAAAAACCTGTATAGAATTTCATGAACTACATCTGTAATTTATATAAAATATTGCTAGATAAAATCATAATACATCATATACGATATTTCGTTGATTCATTATCTGTATTTTACCCAATTCAAACATATTTTATGCTGAAAAGCTATCTTATAGTGTTCCAAAAGTGTTATATTGCATAGTATTTAAAACATTAATGTTTATCTAAAAAGTATAGTGTTATATTGCATAGTATTTAAAAAATTAATTTTTATCTAAAAATATTTCATTTTAGTCAGCAAACTTTCTTCTGATTTGTACTAAACAGGTTTAAACAGGTTAAACAGGTTTTTTTATTGTTTATGTATGATACACTTTTATTATATAAGAAATAATTCTTGTGTCAAGACAACGTTACATGTCATAAATTAAACTCCCTAAGTAGCCTAATTCAAAAGTAAATTTCAGTTTCAGTAAGATTTACAATCAAAAACAGTAAAAAGGTTTTTTGATTAATATCTGTTTTTAGCATGTAAAGGATATGTTTCTTTATGTTTCTTTACAGTTTCAAGCCTTGAGTCTTCAAGTCGGACTCATTTGAATATAATATAATATTTATGCTTTGGGATCAAAAATTGAATGACAAAATGACAGGTATAGTTTTTTTTATTTATTTTTTCTCTTCATTTGAATAGATTTTTTAATTTTCTGAAGTTTAAAAGTGGAAGTCTGAAGTGGAAAGTTTAAAACCCAGAGTAATTTTTTTACATGGGCAAAAAAAAACCGGCCAAGATTTTTTTTGTAGAAAAATTTACATTTTATGGGTTTTAAAAGCATTTCACAGATATTTGAACCAGTTTCTCAACTTTTTGCATATTTCTTGTTTATTTAAATGTCTTATATCTCATTTCTTATATTAAAAAAGAGTTTCATATTGAGTCTAAGTTAACTTTTTTCTTTTTTTCTCAACAATTTTTTATTTGGGCTCTTATTTGTTATAGTTGTGGTTAAATAACTCTTAAGTTATTTGATTATTTTGTAATATAATATAAATTATAGATAGACATGGTTAACCTTACCCTAACCCTGCATATATAAAAAAAATCTGAGATGTATTTATTAATGATGAAATATGCTAATTTATTACATTTTAGACTAGATAAATATATAATATATAAAAATGGTTTTAAATGATATTAGTAAAGGAAGAATTATTAAGATGTCATCCTTTGGTATAACTCATAGAAATATTGTAAGCAAGGTTAAATGCGGAAAAAGTACTATTACTGATTTTCTAAAGAAATATGAGGAGGTATTTGAAACAGTTCGTCAACCTGGATCAGGAAGAAAGAGAAAAACTACTAAAAGAGAAGGTAGATGCATTGTCTAAGCTGCCCTTAAAAATTGCTGTATTTCTACATATGGGATAAAAGCAGAAACTGGTATTACCAATATTTCTGAAAAAACGATAATTCATTGTTTACATAAGTGTAAAAATTTAGATTCTCATTGGGCTATCAGAAAACCTCTTCTATCAAAGATCAACATAGCACGTAGGCTTCAATGGTGCAATGAGCATAAAGACTGGACTATTACCCAATGGAGACAAGTTGTTTGGTCAGATAAGTCTCCTTTTAGCTTTAGATGCAATCGAAGATTTTGGGTTTTGAAAGCGTAGTAATGAAAAGTATCACCATGAATGTATAAAAGCCACAGTTAAGCATCAAAAAAAGATTAACGTATGGGGATGCTTTGCCGCGCATGCTACAGGAAGAATTCACAAGATTAAAGGCATTATGGATCGATATCAGTACCAGGGTATCCTTGTTCATAATGCAAATCCAAGTTGCATGGAATTAGTCCAGATGGTAACTATGGTAACTATTTCAACAAGATAATGATCCTAAGCACACTGCAAAATATAACAAAGCATATGTTAAAAAAAAATGCAAACTCTGAAATGGTGGCTTAGCCAATCTCCAGACCTAAATCCAATTGAAAACCTATGGTCAATACTCAGAGATAAAATTAAAAGAAGAACGTGTAATGATGAAGTTTGTCTTTTCAATTGCGTAAAAGAGGCATAGAATAGCTTAGAACCATTGTTATTAACAAAGCTTGTTGACAGTATGTCTAATAGAATCAAAGCAGTCTTAGCTAGTACTAGTTTTTAAGATTTTGTTTCAAATAAAATGACTTTCAAAATAATAAAAAATACAATAATTCTGCCAACAATTATTTTGTACTATGTATATTTGGTAATACTTTTGTATTTATGAAATCATCATTACATTATAAAATGTTTTTTTTTATGCCTTAATGTTGATTTTCTTCAAAAAAACATTTTCGTGGTTTTTTTTATCTTTTTAAATATATATATACATTTAAAATATACGTGTTAAAAGCATGATACTTATATTTTGATACTTTGAATAAAATCACTCATTAAATTTGTTTTCTGTATATTTTACATATAAATTTTGTAAAAAAATCATAAAAATTTCTTGGCTGATTTTTTTTGGCTCATACTGTAGATCCCAAAACAATAATTAAAAATTTTTTTTCCATACATGGGTGGTTAAACATGGCTGTTTCACTCAATATAAAAACGAGCGTGACGTCATGAGTTTATCAAAAAAAAAAAGTATTTCCGAATAAAAAGTATAAAAATTCACAAACTTTAAATTAATAGTAACTTATTTATATAAATGCTTTCATCTTGCATTTAAAATAATATAAAAGATCTATCTTTCCTTGTTAAATAAATATTTACATTAATTCGTATAAAAATAAATATTGCCAAAATATTTTTAATAAATTAGAACCACTTTTCTAATTTTCGCATATTTTCCGGAAAACATGAGTTGGACCAACTAAGATTTCATAACATAGCTCTGTGCTTGATAGAAATTTGGAACACTTAACCCTAAATGTCTATTCTATCAGATTCCTGCATCATCCTAGAGATTTTTATACAAAAAGACTGTTTTTAAAGCATTTATATTTTTTAATTGATCGTTTTTAAATGCAAAACATAACTTTTTTGATGGATGACATAAGTTAATGAAATTTCAACCTTTTATGCAAATGAAAATAAAAAAATCATTTTACGTGCCTTCAGCTATGTTATGAAATATTTTTTCAAAAATGTCATGTTTTACAACTAATCTTGTTAGTTTTAGGCGTACATTTGTGTTGACGTTTTTTTGCGATGACGTAACGTTTATGCGTTACCTTCCAAACTATTTATTAACGAATATTCTCCAAACAACTGTTTCGGCAAATCAATTTTTGAAGTATAAAGTAAACAAAGTTACGTGAAATTTTTCTCTTTGGATTATCAAACTAATATCAGATAAGTTGTTAAATCCACTTTTATCTAGTGCATATATTTGCTAATTAATATTATCTTATTTGTTTTTATTATATTGATTAATAAGTTAATATTATTTTGATAACTATGTATTCAACTGAGAGGGAAATTCTAAAACAACATATTGGATGGAAAAATGGTTGGGAAGATAGGTGTACCTTTCCTTTTGTTAAGCGATTAATTAGGACAGATAAGATCAGTAACAATGTCATTTCCATTTTAATGACAGTCTTTAAAATAAGAAGTGATTTATTTAGTTTTACAAGTTTGATAAAATGTGCCTAAAGTTAACACGCCAAAAAAAGAAATATAAAAAAAATTTTTGAAGCTATAAAAAACGAAGAATTTTTTAAAATGCAACTGTCGCAAGCTCCACCCAAAAAAAAATAAAATCAGCAGATGCAGATGACTTTTTCACTTTAAATAACAGTCAGGAGCTAATGAATCAAATTGATCAATTAACTTCTGAAAATAAAACAAATATGGAGCAAATAGAAAAATTTAAAATGCAAGTACTTAAGTTGGAAGCTGAAATTACAGATTTAAATTCTAAAAATAGGGCTCTCAACACACATTGTAACTCATTAAGTTCTCAATTAGAGACTATGAGTATTAGGCTAAAACAGGAGAAGCAGTTCCAACTTTTTTTTTTTTTTAAATTAAAACAACACAGCGTAAATTTGCATCTGCTCGTGCCAAAAATGTAAGAATGCTAAAAAAAATTTATATTGAAAAAAAAAATTGCAAAAATTAATGATTTAAGCCAGAACAGTTGCCAAATTTGCAAATGAATTGCTAGTAGCGATAAGAATTTAGTTGTGGTTGATTCTTATTTAGACTACGACAACATTGGTTCCTCTGAATTATTTTGTGGATTTAAATTAAGTAATCCACAGAATATATCAGTTAAAAAGCCAATAGTTAGTAAAAAATATACTTACATTAAGTTAGGAAATGGTAAACCTTATTCTAAGTTAGGTAGGCATGCTGCAGCTAGACGATCTAAACTTGCTTTTATATTCCTTCGATTATTAGCTTGTTCAGATTTAGAAAGTGATTTGTCTATGTTGTTTTGTGATTCTATGTCTTGTGAAAAGTCAATATTTTGTTGTGTTGCAAATAAGTTGGATTTAGTTAAGCAGTTAAGTGTTTCTGATGCTGTAGAGCTACAGAGCCAATTAAGGATGCCCACAGCTGAATTCCATAGACTAAGACGTATTCTGCATAATCTTGGTGCAAGGATTCTCCCATCTGAGCCCAAGATAAGACAAGAACAAGAAATGCGGACAATGCATGTCAATAAAGAACATGTCACTGTGAAGTCCATGTTACATTATCCATCTACGAATGAAGCACCTGTTTAGTATCTGTACTGATGGTCAAGAATTTGACAACTTATATTGAAGAGGTTTTTAATAATCTTTATGTATGCGACCACCTTAATTCGGATGTCGGTTTTGGCAAAGAAGTATGGCTCCTTTTTGCTGGTGATAAGGGTGGGAAGTATATGAAATTCCATTTTGAAGTTGTCAATTCTAAATCATCATAGTCTGTATACGATGTTCACTTGTTTTGTATGTATCAGGGTTCAGACTGTCGTGAGAATATAGCCTTAGTTCTCAGGCATTTTGCCAATGACATTAAAAGAATTCAGTTGTCAGATTTTAAGCTAAAAAGCAAAATAGTCAGGTTGTTCTTAGGTGGAGATTTTCATTTTATCGATGATGTTCTAGGACACCAGGGTTCAGCTGCTAGCTTTCCTAGTTCTACAGACCTAGTTAAGTTGAATTCTCTAAGAAACCATGCTTCTATGCCTCACACACCTGCTAATTGTAACATCTTAAGGAAGACAATACAATTTCTGGAAAGTGTTTACAATGAGAACTTGTGTGAAAATAGACAAGGTGGAAACCTAAGAACTTTAGGTAAGTTTCATAATTCAATTATTGCTCCTGTGAATTTCCCCATAATAACTTTAGATAATGTAGTGCCACCTGTTTTGCATATTATGTTAGGGGTTGTGTTAAAACTGTATAAGTTATTGTTGAAGGAGTGTAAGACTTGAGATTGTCAAGCTGTTTCGTCTTTGTCGCATAATGAGAATGTGAGAACGAATGAATTGTGGGCTGCTAAAAGCATTGAATGTTCTAAAACAGCAGAAGCTTTACGTTTATTAGGAAATCAATTTGTAGACATTACAAATCTACAAGCGCGTTGGTTAGCTTTTAATAAAAGTATTTCTGAATTATCTCTAAACTCCTCCAATAAAAAAAATAACCTGTAAACAGCAAGAAATGTGTGATAGTATTAGGTGTTTAATTACAAAATACGATTGTAACATTGATTGGGTGCAGTGTGGTACGTGCCAAAAATTGTTTCATCAATTTTGTGAAATTATTGGTGATTCGGAAAAGAGTGTATTGTGTGACATTGAGAAGTATGAGTGTTTAGCATGTCAGGGTGAAGATATAGAATGTCTTGACCTTTATATTTCTGAAAAAATTTCTTTTATACGCGCACAACGGGAACTTTTAGACGTTGAGTATATTCGATTGCAGATGGAGTGTGAAGACCTAGAAAAAGAATATAAAAATAGCATAGGGCCTCACAAGAGGTCTCTTTATAAGGCCCTTGAAGATATGAAGGTTGAGCGACAAGCTTACCATGGTAATGTATTTGTAGGTAATCATTGCAAAATAGTATTAAGAAACCACTATAAACTTTGTAGTGTTATTGATGATGAAGCAATTAAAAATAGATTTGTATGTGTGATTAGTGTTTTTAATAAGTTGCAACCTATTCTTTTTTGGCGAAAATTTCTTTCCGATGCTGAAATTACTGAGCTTCATCAAGATATAAATTTATTTGAGTTAATATATGATAAATATATTGAGTTTCAATATATTTATCATATAATGATAAATATATTGAGTTTCATGCTTGCTTTCCAAATGAAAGTATCACACGAAAAATGCATGAACTTATTTTTAATGTGCCACTATTTGTAAAATTCCATAAAACTATTGGGTTGCTAAGTGAAGAGGAGGGAGAGTGTTTGCATAATAGCGTAAATAAGGAATTAAGACAGTTGGATTCAGTAAGAAATTAGGAGCAAAAGCTGCATCTTGTTTTAAAACGCTTTGAATTGCACAGCAAAGCTGATAGGAAGCTTCAAGCCTCTAAGGTGAGAAAGTGTGTTGTGTGTTCTGAGCGTGGCGAAAATTCATTTTATAGACAAGGTCTTTGTCTTGTTTGTGGTCATCAAATTTAGTTAAAATATTTAAAAAATGAAAAACAACAACAACAAAAAAAAAAGTTATTTACAAGTAAGATAAATTATATAAGATCTTTAATTTATATATAAGATAATTTTATTCTGTTCTAATATCTGTGTAATGTTAGTTTAAAATATTATTTTTTAATATATTGATTTTATATATTAGGTAGGTGCCCATTCTGTTCCTATCTTCAGAAGTTATTTATACCTATGCAATACCTTCGCTCAGGTTAAAGAATGGAATACTAGTCTTGCATCAAATGTATGTAAAAATCTAGCTTTTATATATTAACTTGTGATCAGAGCAACTGGTATGTTGGTTGAGTATGATCTTGTATGTTTGTGTATTTAATTTAAAAAATGTATTGTCCTTCATTATATGTAACATTTTTTTATAGATATTTTACATATCCATTCGATGTTTATCATCAGAAGTTAGTTCTACCTTTGCAGTGCCTCTGCTCTACATACCTCCTCGTTGGTTAAAGAATGGAATATAAATCTCATATCAAGTTGGTGTAAAAATTTAGTTCAATAAATTAAGAATTTGTAAACGTTATCAAAATTTTGAGTGGAGTAATTGTTTTTCTGGTTTAGCATGAGTATGAATCTGATATCAATTGGATGTACAAAGATAGTTTACTACTTAAAGACCCTATCAGTGAACCAACTGATTATTAAACAGTTTTTAATGGGAATAAAAACAAATTTTCAAAAGATTTCAATTAGCTATTTCTATATTTAAACACTTTATTTACTGAGAGAAGAGACTATAGATTCAAGTGCTATAAAATAATTCTACTACCAAAAGCAAGGTTAATTCAAAAACTTAAACTCAAATTTGGTCATGAATTATTAACACCATATTATTAGAACTGTATGCACAGAAAAAAATAAATGCTTAAGCTTTAAATGTTTTGACTAATTATTCCAAAATCAAAATCTGGCTTTATTTTGCGATGAATTAATTGTGAAAATAAGTTTCTAAAACAAGAACTCCTAAGTTTAAAAATGTACTCTTTTAACAGATAATCCCCCTTTTAACTACATTTTTCATAACTGCGAAAAGTGCGGTTTGCTTTCCTTAAACAATTAAGTAAGGTTTTTTTGTTTTTATAATAGTCAAACAATGGGTATATTTGAGAATAACTATCAGAAATAAATTTTTCTGATTTTTTTTTGATAAAAAGTAACATCAAATTACTTGAATTCAGCCAACTTCATCCTTTGTCGCGTTTTTTTTAAACTTAAAGAAGTTTTTTTACTAATGCATTAAATGTCATAAGATGAAACATTTTATTGGTGTTTTTATTCTTTTTACAAAACAAAATTATCTTTAATATTTTAAAAGTTATAGAAGTTTTAGTAACACCCCTTAAGTCAATATTTTCAAAAAATAACAAGAAGCCGTTAAGCTCGGTTTGAAACAGCCGTGCAAAACTCATCTTTGTTACAATCTTAAACTTTTTTTACTAAAAAGAAGACTCTTTTATTCACCTTTTATGTTATGTTATAAGCTGATAAAATGGGGATCCTAAAGCAGGTTAAGTGATGTTTGCGATAAAATTGATATTTTTGCTTTATAAGCTTGTGAATGATTTTTTTTGTCTATGCTCTTTTTAATTTACATTAAAGATCTCCCAGAAATTCTCACATCTAAGGTGGCATTGTTCGGTAATGATAATACCATTTATTTTTGTCTTGATAAGAAGCCAACACTCTCTGATTGCTTAAAGAGGGCATTTCTGCTTGAAAAGGATTTAACTTCTGCTACAGCATGGGGCTCTCAATGTCTGGTGAACTTTAACTCAGATAAAAATACAATTTTTTTCAGCCAATCTTTATTGCAATAATCTGGATCTTCCTTTATTTATGAACAGTAATGTAATTGAGTTCTTTGGAACTTGCTCCCTTTATCTTGTTTTCCTGATTTATATCATTTGCAATCTTTTAAGTTCTGTTAATCTTGCTCTACAATCTTTATCTTTTCTCTTCCAGTAACCACCTCCATCTCTAATAGTAGTTGCTTTGGTAAAAGATTAGAATATCTGTCCAATAACATCTGTGGAGTAGTCTAAGATCATCTGTACACTTTTGTCCAAGATCATCTGCATTTTTCTTTTACTCTAATAACATCTGTCCAATATCATCTGAAAATTCAACGATCCCTAACAACATCTTTAAAAAGATATAACTACATCTGGTAATTTTTCTCCAAGTCTAATAACATCTGGAAAAATTTTTTCCAAATGTAATTACATCTGAAAAAGTTTCTATATGTAACATCTGGTTAAAATAATACATTATTAGTTAATATTTTTTTCCAGATGTAATTACATCTGAAAAAAATCCTCTATGTAACTACATATGGTTAAAATAATGCATTATTAGTTAATTCATTTTAAAAATAACTTCATCTTAAAATCTACAGATGTAGTTGCACAGATGTTATTACACTTTGATAATTTAAAAGATATAACTACATCTGTAGAAACGACAGATGTGGTTGCACAGATGTTATTACATTTTTATAATTTAAAAGAATAAATACATATGTAATATTCATTTAATTTTTGCACTGATGTTATCAGACCAATGAAATTTCAGATGTTGTTGTACAGATGTTATTAGACATGGCAAAAACTGATGTTGTAAACCCTGACCCGTTGCTTGCAGCCTTGTTGGAAGAAGAGATGTTGAAAAAAAAATTTTTTGATGCAAAGCCTATTATTTTCTACATCCAAAGCAAAGAAAAAAAAATTATCTCCTGACAAGCTGAATACCTGGTAGAGAGAGAATCCTGATAAATCTATTTTTGAAATCTGGCAGGTTTTACCCTTGATGAAAAGACTCAGTGATACATTTAACATGTAATCTACTAAAGACAAGCCATCAATTTATGAATTCATTACCTAAGTATTCAACTTGCACAAAATCTTCTCTGACAGTGTGACAGAAGAAAACACCAAAGAAGTGTGAAGAGTGCCAAAGATGTGAAGAATACTAAAGATGTGAAGAACACCAAAGGTGTGAAGAACTACCGTGCAGCTGTTTTGTCTAAGCTTGAAGATGAGTTTAAGAATCATGGCTGTAATGAGAAAGCTTTGCTGAATCCAACTTTTTAGATCCATGTTATCGTAGCATGGCTTTATGTTGATTTCCTCCAACATCATTTGAAAAGGTCATAGGAGAAATTATTAATAAACATTCTTCCTAAAAAGAATGGGCCTCTGCAATGCATCGAGAAGTTTTAAGGAACTTCCCACAAGGACGATTCCCTTTATAAAATCTACAGAGTTGAAGAAGTAGCATTATACCCAATTCTTGGAGCTGAAGAGAAACCTATTTTAATGGAATAGGAAGCTTTTCCAAAAGTCAAAGTGCCAAAAGATACTAATGTCCTTCGATGATGGAAATAAAATGAACTTTAATTTTCACATTTGTCTAAAGCTGCTTGTACTCTCCATTCTAGCATCTTCTACAGCACCAGAGTGAGTTTTCTCAGAAACTGGAAACATTGTAACTCTACTAGGAATCTTTTTTTGATTTCATTCCCTGAATTCAAACAAAGGCAACTTAAGGTACAGTTATTTAATCGCCCTGTCCTTTTGTCAAAATCAGTTATAACTTTTAGCAATTAAAATCTGTTTAAGAAAGAGCTAAGACACTTGGACAAACAGTAAATATGAAAATATTGTTAGAAATATTAGAGTTAACATTTTATTTTCAAGTCTCAAGAAATTTCAATGCATCAAAACAAATCTCCTTTTGGTTTTTCGTATTGTCATCATTAATATCTTTATGTTGATTCTTTAACTTTTGAAAACATTAAAACTTTTTTTTAAGAAGAATTTATTGAAGAGCTTGAATTACGTAAGAAACAAAATAAATGTTTTGAGAAAATCTACTTTGATTAGCCATCTTAAAATGTTTTGAGAAAATCCACTTTGATCTCTGATCAAAGCAAATTTTCTCAAAAAGTTTTTGTGTGACTTAGGTACTTTTAGCACTAAGCTCTTCAAATTGCTAAAATTTGTGTTACTTAAGTTAGTTTTTAAGTAAATTTCAAGCTCTTTTGCAGCATTAAAATCAACTAGAATAATAAAAGGGTTGAACAAAATAATTTATTGTTATTTTTTTATACTAGTAAGGCTACCATTAGACAGATAATATTTTGAAGATATTTAGAGCTAAGACCTAGATAAGTGCTGGGAAATTATTTTTCATCAAAGCAATACAATAGTTATTCTAATTGTCTTCCATCACAAATGGATAAAAGTAATTACAATGACAATAGTTATTGTAACTATTTTTATCGCAGCAACACAATACAATAGCTATGGAATTTTAATGTATTGTCAGAACAATTTAATTGTCATCAAACTTTAATTTATTCAATGACATTTTTATTCAAAAAAAAAGAGAAATAAACTTTTATAATAATACATATCGAGCAATATTTTAGTGATGATAAAAAAGGTTGATTGTAGCTAATAATAGGGTTTAATGTATGTATATAAAAGAAATTATTATTAGGTATGTAATTTGTTATTTTAAGTTGCACCTATGCATCAGTAGTTGTTTGGCCTATTAGCTAATGTCGGCCAATAATCAGCTGAATAACTAATTGGCGCTGGCCAAGGCATCAACATTAGCTAATAGGCCAAACCACTACTGGTGCATAGATGTAACTTATATATGAAAATTACATACCTAATATTTATATACTACCTTTATATACATACATTAAACCCTATTATTAGCCACAGTTGGCCTTTATCATTGGTACATCACTAATACTTTAAAAAAACGACAATATATTGTATAACAGAATTTTTATATTGTTCTATTATTAAAACAATTATGTTATAATTCTTTTATATTATTTATTTAATAACAAAATTATGAAATAATAAAAAAAAAACAATATAAAAATTAATGCTAGCCTGTTTTTCTGCCTTTTTATTGCTGAAAAAGTAAATGTTTTTACTATACCTGGAATGAATAAACAAAATAAAAATTCAGTGGAAATATCTAAAATTATCATCTAAACATAAAAGTTTTAACTTCTCTAAAAAGCTAGGGTAAGACTATTGAAACAGGCAACCCGTGTTGCCAGCCAAGTCCATTTTAGACAGGCTTTTCACAGCTAGTGCACTCATTTACTCCTGTAGAAGGCTGTATACATATAAAAAGGTGACTATAAACATATAAAGGATTTAAAAGGGCAACAATGAAAGTAACTTTTCTATATTTAAAGTGTGTAATTTATCTTAATGCATAGCTATAATTTCTACAGTTTTGAACTTTAAAAGTGATTACTTTAAGTACACAAAAGAAAAACAAATTTTCTATTGACTGATCTATAGATCAGGAACTGCAGCTTGTCAAACTATGAAAAGAACCCCCTTCCCCATGACCACAATATTTACCAACTTTTGCACAATTGTGAAGCTTTTATCTATTTTGGGTAATAATTTAATTTAACTTTTAAACAGTTGACCCTAGCCTGAAGTTTTCAGGTTGCATACCCTCAATATGTGAATTAAGTGAACTGATATAGAAAAAACCTAGCATTCCCAAATTTTTAAGTAAAATATAAAATACTACAGATAAACTTTCAATCAAAATCATACTTGATTGAATACTCAAATTTAATTCCATAAAGAAGTTTGAATAAAATATTTATTTAATATAATATTTAATTCAAATTTATTTATAATATAAATTTTTACAACTAGAATTGTTCTACACAACTTGAAAAATTAATATGAAACACTCAGCAAAACATTGTTCACTGTAATATCTGTTTAATCATAATTCACATAAAAAAATTACGAATTTTTAAATTTAGAAAGCGATGTCTGCATTGTTTAATAATGGAATGTGAAATGTAAAGAAAAATAAGATTGAGCAAAAATCATGTTCATTTGCTTCAATGCTATTTTAATTTTTTATTTAAACTATAATATAAAGGTGTTTTTTTCATCATTTTATCTAAATTCATTATCCCATCAAAATATTTTTATCATTTTTAAAACAATAAAAAGTTACAGCTAAAACAGCTTAAACATCAAAATAGATGTAAAACTTAATAATGCTTTAATTTCAAATTACCTTCTCTAATCGCTGTAAATGGAATTCCTTCTTCTTCTTGTAAACGTATCTCCTTCATTGCAACCATTATATGGTGTGATCTATAAGTAAAAAAAAATAAACAAAATGCATTATGTTTCATATATGTACAAAAGAAGAATTTATTTTGTACATATATGAAATATCTAAATTATAAATTAAGGTGCATAATTTTGTATTATAATAAAATGAAGACTCACCTACTAACTCCCTTATATACAGTAGCATATGATCCCTCCCCAAGTCTTTCAAGTTTCATATATTGATCTAGCTTTCCATAGGGCTTAGATGACCGCTGAAATATTTTAAATACATTCATATTTATACCTCTCTCTCTCTTTATATATATATATATATATATATATATATATATATATATATATATATATATATATATATATATATATATATATATATATATATATATATATATATATATATATATATATATATATATATATATATATAAAACAATTAATGCATGTTTAGATAAGCACAATGAGGTCACACTGAAATAGCCTGCAGTCTGGGGCTTCTGTACATTCATTTTTGATCTTATAGCTTGTTACCGCAAATAAATGCTGCAACATCACCTAACGGTTTGGCATAGGGAAGCAATTTTTCCTTTTATTATTCTTCATTTTTTTAATTCTTATTCTAAAAAAAGGTGTATGCTATAAAGATAAGCAATACTAGTAAACATATGCTTATCTAAATACTATACTCATACCTAAAATTTATACTCACTATATATACATATACATATATACATATATATATATATATATATATATATATATATATATATATATATATATATATATATATATATACATATATATATATATGTATATCAGGGATGCGGAGTCCGGAGTTCATGAAGTCCCTATTTTAGCCCACAGTCTCGGGAGTCTATAAAAACTTTAGGACTCCGAGACTCTTTTTTTTTTTTTATAGTTAATAATATGCTTAAGAATTACCTGATAGTCTTGTCACAAAACACTGTAAAAGAGCATTTGACCAGAAAGCTCATCTCCTCCCTTACCAATTTGAACCAATACTCAGATTGAGTATCGGTTCGAAGATTGATAATGCTTTGATAAGAGGTGTTACCAAGCTCACATTTTATATGCGAAAAGGTCATATGCATACACGCTCAGCAGTTAGTAACACATTCAGTGACATTAAGAGAAAACTTTCATCTTTTAGAATATTTAATTTTTATTTTGATATATAAGAAAATATAATGTTGTAAGTAAAAGCATTTAACCACAACTGTGATCCAATTGTGATTTTTTGTTAAAGAAACAAAAGTTTGTTTAACAAATTTTATTTTTAGTTAAAATTAGTTAAAGAAAATAAAGTGTTTTAAGTTTAAAAATTTCATCATATTTAATGTTAAGTTTTATATTTTTTAAGTTTAAAAATTTTATATGTAACGCTTTTGTTTATTTATTTATAGTTTTAAAACAATTTTTTTATCCCATTAAAAAAATACTTATGATTAACTGTTTATTTAAGTATTTTTTCACCATCAAATTTTGAGACCCAGAGGCAATTTTCCTAAAAAAAAAGAGAGGAAGTTAACATTCAACTTAAACTTAAATATTTTTTATAAGACATTCGTCACTTTTAAAGGATTCATCCTTCTTATTTTATTCATAAAATTGCCACTGGCTAAACCTGCAGATAACGATATGTTTGAGAATTTAGTTATTTAAATTGTTTTGAATATTTACCAAATTTAGAAATAAATGATATTTTAGTGTTGAAGTTGCTTTTATGCATTATTAAGTTTTTTTGTTATCTTTAATTTTTTAGATTGATCATAGAAAGAAAGTTGATTAGACAAATTTTTTACCAAAGTCAAGTTCTTTAAAAAAAATTGTCGATTTATTTTTTGCTTTGTTTAAACACTGTTTAAAACTGTAAACTATAGTAGGAAACTATACTTATAAATGAATGAAGCTTGTAAATACTATAAGAAAAAAAATAATGTTTTTATTTCTTTTAATTTCAACCCAAAATGGTGTGAGTATAACTATCTACTCTGCTAAGAAAATAAAATTTTTTATTTTAATAATGTCTAATGCAAAATTGCAATGAAAACAATATGGTTTAGATACAAAAAGCTATCAAATTTCACTCACAAATTAATTATATGCAATAAAAAATCAAATTTAGAATTTAAATCAAAAGAGCGCAACTCTTTTGCAGTTTATAAAATGAGTTCAGAACAGTTCAGAAAATGAGGAGAATGCTTCACCAGTCACAAAGTGTCGACCAAATTTATTTATGTTGTGTGAACAGGAGATTCAAGAAAATTCTTCAGAGGAACAAATGCAGGTTCAACAAGATGTAATCGAAAAGGAGTTTCAACAAGCTCTAAAAAACAATTCCAGAAATCCGTTCAATGTTTTAAGACAAATCTTTCAACTTAGACAAGTTTATAAAATTTAAAATCAATTGAGCAGTTCCCTGAAGTTGTATGGGATGCCTGCTGTGTCGCTTTGTTGCTACCCATATCCCAAGTCAGTGTCGAGCATCTGTTTTCAATCTTAAAGCACATGACACCAGACCATCGTAATCAATTTACATCTGAGTTAATTGATATGCTTTTTTAACGAACAAACAAGTTTTTTATTTGAACATATTTTCATGATGTAGATATTGTAATAATTTGTTAATAAATATTTAAATCTTTTTATAATTTTATGATCATGTGGTTTCGAATAACCTGTGAAATTAAGTGCCACATCTAAGAAAACTGTGCATGTGACAATACAAATCGAATAAAAATTTTTGTAGTTGTATTGTTCTTATTAATTCTTACTATCCAGCAAAAGCAGGACAAATTAACTTTTGGGTTTAAGCAGCCATGACACAGTGGTAGCGCACTTTCCTAAAAAAATAAAGGAATGTTGGTTCAAACCCACCTTTGGTTTTGTGACATTGGTTAGGAAATAGAAGTGAATTTCCTGTTAATTGCTTGTCCAAGGTACTCTGTTGTAAGACCGTAAGGACTTTTTAGGGTAAATAAAATAAAAATATATATAATTCATAAGAGAAAATATATTATTGGTACCCTCTCATTTTCCCGAAATTTTCACATAAAAGTTCCAGATAATAAAAACCCTATATTTAATAAAAAGAAAAAAAAATTATTCCAGAGTCCGGAGTCAGAGTCCATGATTTTTGAGCTTGGAGTCCAGAGTCCCGGAGTCTCAAAAAAACGATGGATCTTAGATCCCTAATATATATACATATATATATATATATATATATATATATATATATATATATATATATATATATATATTTGGGATCTAAGTTCTATCATTTTTTTGAGATATATATATATATATATATATATATATATATATATATATATATATATATATATACATATATATATATGTATATATATATATATATATATATATATATATATATATATATATATATATATATATATATATACATACATACATATATACATATATATATATATATATATATATATCATAAAAACATATATATATATATATATATATATATACATACAAACATATATATATATATATATATATATATATATATATATATATATATATATATATATATATATATATATATATATATATATATATATATATATATGTTTGTATGTATATATATATATATATATATATATATATATACATATGTTTTTATGTATATATATATATATATATATATATATATATATATATATATATATATATATATATATATATATATATATATATATATATAATGTATTTATATAAACTACTACAAATTTAAATTAACAAAATTCTAATATACAACACTCGGAATTAGGAAAAATGAGGTCGGCAATAACTTGATGACCTCAAACTGTTAGAGGTGGGCAAAAAAAAATTGACACAAACAGGTTACCAAAAAATATAAAATTGACGTCAGCAAATTTTTGCTGTCCTTAAACACTTTTGGCAGTTAGGTTGACAGTTAGGTTGGCATTGCTGAATGCTAACCCTAATTCCGAGGGCTGAATATATTCTGCTCACCTAAATAGTCTGCTAGAATTTTATAACCGTATAAAAATTATGATTTGAAAATGAATAATACATTATTCTTAATCAATGCATTTTATAACATCCATGGAATTAAAATATTTAATACGATATGGTAGTTTATTAAGATTAAAACTGAACATTTGTCTCAAGCATATTATGGTTATTTAATGTTGAAAAAATGCCATACCTAATTACTAGAAAAAAAGATAAACAAAATTTAGTAATTTTTTTTTCTTTGATACTCTTACAATATTGTCATTAGTGTTGAATTAGATTTTTTTTGAAGAATCTATTTCTTAATCTATTATTACAATGGCTGTAAATATTTTTTTTAAAAACCTGATTAAAATAAAAAAATATTTACAACAATTTAATTAAGTATTTTGACAAACTTGATTGAAAATCAAGTTTTATAAAAACTCTATGGTAGTTCTCAGAGAGGCTGGTCCCAAGAACAGCTTTAAAATATCAAAGTATTAAAAGTGTCATTTGGTGCATGGAAAGTGTCCCTGTTAGTGCTTTTAGTGTGCATTGCCAAGGCTACATAAGGAGTCTTTATTACAACTTTGGTTTGATTAGCAGAACTGAGACAATTGTATAGAAAATTTATTTTCATCTAGCTTTTTTCCTTAAACATCAGTGCTTTGGAATTCTTTCCAAAGCACTTTATGTCTTATAATTTACAAGTCTTTTGTTTACTGCTTTTTGCTTTTTAACTTACTATTTGTTTTCTCTCTGTTAACTAACCCACTGTTAACTCTCTGTTAACTAACCAATTAACTACTTGAGAAGTGGTTGTTTGCAGCCTTGATGGGAATGAATTAATTAAAAAAAAAAAGGTTTTTAAAACATAATATTTTGATACATTACAGTTCTCTTGCAACAATTATAATTTGTCTATTTAAAAAGTTTTATAAACTTTACATATAAAAATATATTTAAAAAGCTTTATAAACTTTACATATAAAAATATATTTAAAAAGTTTTATAAACTTTACATATAAAAATATATTTAAAAAGTTTTATAAACTTTACATATAAAAATATATTTAAAAAATTTTATAAACTTTACATATAAAAATTTTATTTCTGCTAAAATTTATAACCTACAAATAAAAAACTCATTAAAAAAAGTTTTGAATAAATTTTTAAAATGCTTAAAATGATTTCGTATCTAGGAAACTAATTAACTTGTTTAATTAGTTACAACGTAACTAATTAAACAAGTTCAAAAAAACTAAATTCAAAAACTAAGTTGATGTATTATTAAAAACCTTGCCAATGAATATTTATAGTAACAAACATTAATGCAGACTATAAGGCGTGCAGAATATACTAGTACTCTACATTTAGAAATGAAAAATTAAAAACCTTTTACCGCAAATGACGGTGGTGTTGTAATAGCTCTATAAGTTTTAACTTCACACTCTGTTTTATCTTGTAGAAGAGATTTGGATCGACCTTTTAACACATGTTCATTATTTTCAAAAAAATTTTGCATCGAAAAACCTTTAAACAATGATGCTGTTTTCTCTGGTTTGTGTATAATATCACTATGTTCCATCTGATAAATAATTCAGTTAATAATAATTATTTAAAATATAATTAATAAAAAATGTAATTATTAAATTACATTAACAAAGTAGAGCTGTGTATTATATAACTTTTTTTATTTAATTGTATTTAAAGGTTTAAACAGAAAACATATAATTGTATTGAAAAATATAAAATTGAGTATAAAATATATGTATTTAGAGGGAGTACAAGAAAATACAATGTACAAAAACTTATTTTTTATTTAAAAGTACGTAAAAAAAAAAGTATATTAGCTCTATACATTTTAACTTCACACTTTTTTATATTGTAGAAGAGATTTCTTATCCCATCGTTATATAGGTCCTTATAATAACAAAAATCTCCATAATAACATTATTTTTGCTGTATTTTTTAAGTAAACAAAACATTTTAAAACTCAATAATTTGTAATTATTTTGTGAGACCATTACTAAACAAATTATTTATGTCTATTATCATTCTTCACCTTTTTAATTGGCATATTTAGTATTTGTTTTAGATTTTAAAACTTCAATTAATTAGCAGTTAAAACTAAACAGTTGAAAATTTATCTGTTGAAATCAATTTATTAATTTTTCAAGAAATTAAAAATGTAAATATAGGATAAACTCCTGTTGATCAATAACTAATGATATGCAGCAATATGAACCACATGACTTAATAGAGTTAAATAAAAATCTTAATTAAATCACCAATAAAAAAAATATCAACTTTAACAAAAATTTCAACTTTAACTGACATGGTATCTTAATATCTTTTCATTTTTTAGTATGACATACTATTTTCTGAATTTTTTTAGTTTGACATTTTTGTTTGACTATTTTAGTTTGACTATTTTTAAATTTAGCCATAATCAAGTAAATGAACTTTTAGACATTTTTTGGTGATCAAAAGAGAACTTAATTTACAAAGATAAAATTTTGTCAGTATTTCAGTCTGGTTTAAAAAATAACTTTTTTGTGTTCTTTTATATATATATATATATATATATATATATATATATATATATATATATATATATATATATATATATATATATATATATATATATATATATATATATATATATATATATATATATATATATATATATATATATATATATATATATATATATATATATATATATATATATATATATATATATATATATATATATATGATATTTTGTATTTGTAAATAAAATACAAAAACTATTGTACATATAAGAGTGCTCAATAATAAACAAATAGGATTCATTAATTTAATAGAGCATTATACGATAGTGCTCAAAAGTTAAGCACGCAGCAGGATCAATAAAATTACTTTTCTTTAGAACGTAAAAAACAGAAAAAAAGATAAAAATTTTTAGACGCAATTTTTTTTAGGATATTTAGAACATATTAAGAGAAAAACAATGAAAAATTTATGTTAAATTTTTTGGAAGAAATTAATCATATATAATTAAGAAAAAAAAAACTGTTCATAAGTTTAGCACATTTGGGTTTGAAGTTGATGTTAGGTAGAACCTTAATAAGGAATGTGACTACCTCTATTTTTAATGCATAATGAACATCTTCTTATAGAATCGAAAAGTTTACGATAGTATTCAACTGTCAAGTCATTAAACAATTTTTTAAAATTTTTTCTTAGATTTTCAGCTAAAGTTACCGGTTCTTTGGTAAGTTTTCAGTCCAACACAGCCCAAACATTTTTAATTGGATTAAGATCAGGTGATTTAGCTGGCCACTGAAGTACCTTGATATTGTTTTGCTCAATTTATTCTGTTACAGATTTTGCTTTATGGCATTGTCTTGTTGAAACATCTACTTTGGCTCGTTACCAAAAAAAATGTCCTTGTTTGGCATTAAATAGTTTTCTAGGAAGTCAATGTATCTATGTTGGTCCATTCGACCACTGTATAACATGTATAGACTGGGCCATCATATGTGATGCAGCCCCAAATACCAACTGCACCACCTCCACCTTATAGTATAGGTGCAATACAGTGACTATTATACCTTTCATTGTGGTGTCAACGTATAAGTACTTTGTTTTTATGATTTAGTATGGTGTAGTTAGATTCATCACTAAAAACAATTTTTCTTAATTTATAATTACTCATTTTTAAAATCGCTTTGCAAAATTTAATTTGTTTTAAACAGTCTGTTGGTTTTAATAATGGTTTTTTGGCAACAACATAGCACCACTGCTTATGGTCTATTTGTCTTCTATTAACTGTTTGCCTTGATATTTGATTTTTAAGTGCCAGGTTTATTTCTTTTGCAATCTGTTTTGCTGAGTATTTAGGATATTTTTCTGGCAATTCTATAAATAGAATAATTTCATCAGAGATATTTGTCTTTCTTGGTCGTCCACAACGTTTTTTGTCAGCAGTACTACCAGTTTCATTAAACTTAGCAATAGTTTTACTTACACATGATGGTGAAACACACTTTAAAATTCGAGATATTTCAATGTTAGAGTAACAATATTAAGGCCAATAATATGTTGTTTAATTTCTTGACTTTTTTTTCCCATGGGAAATTTCAAATTTCTATTATTATTATAATCTAGAATTAAGCAAAAAAGATGAATTAATTTAAAACAAACTTTTAAAATACAACATAATACTTTAAATATAATTTTGTGATATTTCATTAAAAAGGAGAGTTTAATTTACTATGATGCAACTTTTACTGCCATAAATTTATAAAAGCTCTCCTTAAAAGCTTCAAGAAAACTAGGGAGCTTAACTTATGAGCAGCTTTTTTTTAAAGCTTAAAATACCGCTTAATGTATGTAAAAAAACCTTTTTTTAATTTTCTGTCTTATTTTATCTGGTTATATCTAGTAAATTGATAAATAGAAGAAAAATTTTTTTTAAAGCTTTACTAACTGAAAAAATAACATATATGGAAAAAAGTAAATTTAATTCTGCTGCCTGCTAAACTTTTGAGCACTATTGCATATATATATATATATATATATATATATATATATATATATATATATATATATATATATATATATATATATATATAATGATATTTTGTTTTTGTAAATAAAATACAAAAACTCTTGTACATATAAGAGTGCTCACTAATAAACAAATAGGATTTATTTATTTAATAGAGCATTATATATATATATATATATAAATTTAAAATCTTGTATTTTCATAAAAAGTTAGTTTATAAATTTATATATATATATATATATATATATATATATATATATATATATATATATATATATATATATATATATATATATATATATATATATATATATATATATATATATATATATATATATATATATATATATATACATATGTGGTTAGACTTTTGTAAAAAATAGTTTCTGCCGACCTGACCTCATTTTTCCCAATTCCGAGGGTTGTATATATATATAAGGGCAATTTCGTGAAAATGGCGGTCGTAACATTTGACACTCTTTAAGTTATTAAAAATGTAAATGACTTGAAACTTTGAAGTTGAAATGTAAATGATTTGAAACTTTAAGTTATTAAAAATGTAAATGACTTGAAAACAGAAATGTGAAATACTATCATATAATTTAGTATGTAAAAGTTACAGCATTAAAGTCTTTATTTTTTTCCAAAAATTAACTCTATGTAGCGTGATGGTCGTAGCGCTTCTTTTTAACCATTTCTAAAATAAACAACCTTGTCAGACTTAATGCAGTGAACAGTATAGTAAAAAAAATCATTTGGTGTGTGTATTTAACACATATTGATGTTATTATATGCTTAGTTTCATAGTTTTTACTTGAAGTTTTACAAGCATTTTTATATTTTTGTTGTTGTGACAGTTGTAGCGAAAAATCTAATGCATAAAAACAACAAATAAAACAATGCAATCAATGATGTAAGAAGTATAAATGATTCTTAACAACCATGTATATTATGTTAAAAAAATGCAATATAACATTATCAAAGTTTTCAATTATGGATATGCGATATGATTTTCAACGCTACACAACAGGACTGTAAATAAGCGTCAAAACATGTTTATAATATATACCTTTTATGCAACTTTAAAACCGTGGTATGGTATAAAATGATTTTTTTTAATAACTTTTTTGCTTAAAAGTATTTTCAAATAGTTAAAAAAAAGAGTTTTATAGTTATGTATGTGTTTTCATAACTTTTTTGCTGTTTTTTTTCCCCCTCTTTCTTGCAGAATTGCCCATATATATGCGTGTGTGTATATCAGTGGTGTACACTGGACTTTTAGATGTTTGAGTTTTGACACTTACAGGTATTGTGAAAACTCCAAACTTTTGTATGTTTATGCCTATGTCAAATGAGAATGTTTTGCAAAGAGTTGTGGTGATTGGAGCTTGGGGACAAAAAAAAAACCAATTTTCGGGCCCACCCAGCCCTTAATGTGGGAGCAACAAGTTGATAAAATAATTTTTTTAGTATTTTTATCTAAGTTTATAATCATCAACAAATTTCAAATTTCATCCAATAATTTCTAATTTTTCGAAAATTATGACCATATAAAGTTTAAACCCCCCTCAATTTGAGGGGGCTGTAAACTTTGTAGGGTCATAAATACTAAAAACTGAAAGGTTATTGCATGAAACTTGAAATTTGTTAATGAATATAAACTTAGATAAAAATAATAAAAAAATTATATTATCAACTTGTTACTCCCACGTTAAGGGCTGGGTGGGTCCGAAAATTGGGGTTTTTTTGTCCCCAAGCTCCAATCACCACAACTTTTTGCAAAACATTCTTCTTTGAAATAAGTATGAACATACAAAAGTTTGGAGTTTGCAAAATGTGTGTAAGTGTCAAAACTCAAACATCTAAAAATCCAGTGTACACCACTGTGTGTATATATATATATATATATATATATATATATATATATATATATATATATATATATATATATATATATATATATATATATATATATATATATATATACACATATATACAACCCTCGGAATTAGGGTTGTATATGCCGACCTCCTTTCTATGTTTTATGGTCAGACCTTTGTTTCAAATAACTCAAAAAGATTGAGGTTGGCAAATTATTGCCAACCTCATTTTTCCTAATTCTGAGGGTTATATATATATATATATATATATATATATATATATATATATATATATATATATATATATATATATAATACAGGCTCCAGCGGGAAGCTTTAGCTCTCAACAATTTTATACTGCAACAATTTTTTTGTTTTTAGTAGAGCGGAACTTTATTATTATAAATGTGAATATAAATATTACATAATTATAAATGAAGTTATAATAAAATTAGTAAAAAAATTTTTTTTTTTTTTAATACAGATAGGCAGTGCAGAAAGATTTCTTTTACGAAAATCCTTGGTGTAAAATACCATTTAATACAACTATAATATTAATAAACTTAACCATATAAGTTCGCAAAGTTGTTTATAAATAAAAAAAAATTATTCTTATATTTATAAGAATTATATTGTTATTAATAAAATGAAAAACGTCATTTAAAAAAAATAATAATATTATTGCATAATATAATGCAATGCTTTTTAAAAGACATGGTTGTTGCAAAAAATTAAAAAAGAGTGCCAATTGAAATTCTAATGTTTTTGATTAGATTGCACCAACTGATAAATATAAAATTATTACACTCTAAATTATATTGATAAAATATAAAATCATTTAACTGATAAAATATAAAATTATTACACTCTATATAATTGTATTATAATTTTTATTTTATGTAATAAATTAATATTTTATATAATAATTAATTTTATTACAGAATTTTTAATTGTTATATTATTTCTTTAAATGCCTGCATACTACAACTATAAAAAAATATAAACATTTTTTATAGGCAATAAAAACTTTTGTAGTTTTTTGTCAAGTTTTTTTATCAAATAAATAATGTTGTTATAAATGAAGAGCTGGAGTGAAAACCTAAAGTCAATGTTTGTTTAAAGAATTTTTCACGGTGCGATAAATGAAGCTTGTTACGTATATACTCTTGTAACATTAATGTTAAAAACACATGCTTGTAACAAGTATAATTTTGTATTTAATAGGCAATTTTTTTAATGAATAAACAGTTGTTTAAATTGATATTTTTGTCCATTGGTGATTTATTTAATTTAGTTTATTAAGTCATGTGGTTCATATTGCTGCATATCATTAGTTACTTTAATTCTTTTAAACAATAATGTCAATAACTGATTAACAGAAGTTTGTTAATATATTTACAATTTTAATTTCTTAAAAAAGTTTTAAATTGATTTGAACAGATAAGTTTTTACTGTTTAATTTTAAGTACTAGCTAAATTAAAATTTTAAAATCTAAAATAAGTACTAAATATTCCAAGACACCCTTTTTATAAGGCACTCTTTTTTTCTTTAGATAAGTGGATAACTTTATCTTATAGTAATTAAGTAAGCAGATGATAACTTACACCATTAACTTGATGATTTGCATCCTTACTCAAAGATAATGCTGAAACAAAAACATAAACCTTTTGAAAATCTTCAATGGTTTAAAAAAATAACAAAAAACAATGAGCAATAAAAGAATAATAATAAACAAAATATTAAATAAGAATAACAAATAAAAAAAAATTTATACTTTCTTTTTAAGATATTACAAATTTGTAAGAAAAAATATTTCATAAAAAACATAAAATCAAAACAAGTTGTTGAACAGATAAATTTATTATTGTAACTGGTGACAGATCTGTTAGGAATTAAGACATTAAGCATTAAAATGTAAGATACCCTTTTAATTATTCCTTAATTATTTCAAATTTAAAAAAAAAAAAAAACACCATCAACATTGCCTAGAGTATAACTTATAAATGCAGCAAATTTTTTTTTTTTAATTTTAAACATCTTAAATTCCAACAAGGCTGCAAGCAACTACTAATTGTAATTTACAGGATGAAAAAAAATAAAGATTGTAAAGCAAGATAATAATTAACAGACAACTTAAAAGATTGCAAATTATATGAATCAGGAAAGCAAGATGAAGAAAGCGAATTCTAAAGAACTGATGTTTGGATATGAAATTCTAAAGTAATGATGTTCGGATAGGAATAAAGACTAGAGGAATAAGAGTTTTTGGAGCATTTAGAAAGAGTCACAGAAAAAGAATGAGACTTAATTGAATGACAAGTAACATGAGAATGAATTTTAATAGATTGCACAAGAGATGCTAGTTCTTTAGAGCAGTGCCCATTATAGTATTTGTAGAAAAGAGAAAGAGAAGCAACATTATGACGATGTGATAATGATTGAAAGTTGGCTGCAAGAGCAGGTCCAACTATGCTTACAATGCGTTTTTGTCTAAAAGAGAAAAAGCATCATTAAAATCTGCCCCAGATATAGCAATAGTATTCCATACGAGGACAAATTTAAGATTTATAGAGATAAAGAATAAAATCCTGAGTAAGAAGGTTGCAAGCACAATAAAGAAATGCAACCTTAGCAGATGTTAATTTTCCAATTAATTTGATATATGGTTTCAAAAAAAGATATTTAGACAAGTAAGAAGGTTTCGTAAAAAGATCAGAAGACAAAGGGTAGATGACTCATCAATTACATTACCGTTCATAAATATAGAAAGGTCTAAATTAGAGTTTTGTCTGAATTAAAGTTCACCAGCCACTGTGAGCCCCATGCTGTAGCAGAAGTGAGATCCTTTTCAAGCTCAAATGCCCCCTCCAAGCAATCAGAGATTGTTGGCTTATCATGACAAGAATAAAAGGTAGTATCATCAGCAAACAATGCCACCTTAATGTGAGAATATCTGGAAGATTGTTAATGTAAATTAAAAAGAGTATAAGGCCATGGATAGAACCTGAGGAACCCCTACAGGATATAAGTTACAGGATATGAAGAAGAGTGCTGTCCATAAACAACAACTTTTATACTACGATTGGAAAGGAAGGATTCAATAAAATTAAAGATGTTACCAGAGACACCATAAGAAGAAAGCTTATTGAGAAGACAAGCATGCCAAACTTTATCAAAAGCTTTGGAAATGTCAATAGCAATGGCCTTAAAACCTATTGGTTATAACTGTTAGCAAATCAGCCCTAGAACGAGAAGATCAAAATCCATATTGATGATCAGAAAGTAAGTTATTAGATTCAAGATGAGAGATCAAGTGTTTGTTAATTAAAGATTCAAAAACCTTGCTTATGATAGGAAGAAGACTAATAGGACGGTAGTTAGACAAATCAGATTGCTCTCCAGAATTTTTGAAAATAGGGATAACAGATGCTGCTTTCCAGTAGGCTGGAAAACAAGACTCTGATAAGCACTTAGTTTTAGAAAGTATAGACAACAGCTCAGGAGAACACTTCTACAAGACTATAACAGGTATGTTGTCCGGGGCACAAGCTGTAAAAGAGTCTAAGCAGGAAATCACTTTAGATAAAGAAGCTGGAGTGATACGAATGTCAAGCAATGGATCACCTGTTTGATGGCTAAAACAAGTAGAACGCAACTAGTGGAATCAAGAGATGATATTGAAGTTATAAAAAAGTTCTTAGCAAACAATTCAGCTTTGTCTTTAGGTGAGGTGACAAAGTCTGAACCATAAAAGAGAGGTGCAATTACAGATTTGCCCTTATTATTGATACTATTAAAAATTCTACAAAAGTCACAAGAACCTAATTTTTGTTAATTTGTTATGAAATACAAGATTTCATGACCTGAGAATAGTGGGCTTTGGCATTAGACAAAACCTTTTTACAATGGTTCCTAGCAGACATCTAACAGACGTCTGTTTTCTGGAGAATTGTTTTGCTGATAGATATTGAAATAATGGTTTTGATTGGCAATTGCAGCAGCACAATGTGAGAAAAACCATGGAGAAGAGTGAGGCTTGAACTGGAATCGTCGAGAGGGAATAAAAAATTACATGCCAGCCTGAATCCAAGAAGTTATGTAAGAAGCACATTTGTCAACAGGGCCATCACAAAATAAAATCACGGAAAGAGTCACAGTCAGCTTTAAGGTAGTTGTAAGAGGTACAATAATAGGGGGATTCAAATGATGAAGAAGAATGAGATAATAGTTTTAGAGAGATCAAACTGTGATCAGAAGTACCTAAGTGTAAATGTAGAGAAACTGAGCACTGACTAGGATCAGAAACAAGATATAAGTCAAGTAGAAAAGGTAAATGATTTGGGTTGTCTGGAAAGCGAGTTGGAAAGTTGACTATTTGAGTTAGGGATTGAGAAAGGCAAAAATTGTGGGCTTTAATGCCTGTAGAGTCACTGACACTAGAGCCAAGCCACTCAGTGTGATGAGCATTAAAGTCACTGACAATAACAATATTGGCTGATGGATAAAGAGAGATGGCTTGGTCAATATGAACAGAAATAACATCAAGAAAAGTCCAGTCTTGAGATGAAGGAGAGCGATGTAGAACAAAGAGAAAGACGATAGAGTAAGGTGGTGCTAAACAAAAGCACATAAAAGAATAGTCTGTGGATTCAAATCTAGTTTACCGACAAATGGGTGAATTCTTACGAATGTAAATGCCCAGGCCAAGCATGTGACTATTGGAGTCTTTGCAAATTTAAGGAAGATAACCATCAACACTAAGATCACAAGATGAGACAGCTAAACTCAAATTAGTCTCACAAAGAGCAAGTAGGTCTGATAAACTTTGCAAGAGATTAAACTCAACAAAAGAAAAGTTACTTCGAAGACCACGATATTAGTGAAGGATAGGTTTAGAGAACTTGGTGATGACAATGGTTTATTGTGTTTTTTTTATAAGTTTTTTCTTGCTCAGTCAGTCGAGGTATTCTTCCACAGTTACCTATTTTGGTATGAGATCATAACTGTGTATCTAATGCTGCATTTATATATAAGACATGAAATAGCACAGCTTATCTGACCACGCATATAATATTTTGCTTTAAATTAAAAAACAAATTAGTTTTAATTAAAAAGAGTTTCTTAAAGAAATTTTAATTAAAAACCTTATTTAATTATTAGAACTAAATAAGGTTTTCAACTAAAATGTCAGTAGAATTAATTTTAGTCCAACTAAATTAATTTTAATCATACTAAATTAATTCTAGTCCAACTAAATTAATTTTATTCCAACTAAATTAATTCTAGTCCAACTAAATTAATTTGACTCAAACTAAATTTTATCAACTAATTTCAGTTACTGTCTTTTCAGTTAATTTTGTTAATATCTTAAGTTTCTGTTTCAACGACAAAGCTTTTATAAAAAACACTTTATAAAAGTAAGACCTTACAAAAGTTTCTATTTGGTTTGAAACTCTAATGCCAACTCAAACCTAAATGTAAATGAAAAAAAAAGGAAAAAAAGAAAGACCTAAATTTTCTAATGGTCTTAAATGACCATAACCTCATGCCTTTGGTACATTTAGCTATTGAACGTTATCATACTGATAACAAAAACTTTTTTTCTTTTTTTTTTTTGTTATTCACCTCCTCAAGGCCGAGAAAGCCACTACAGACGAGGAGGCTACTTAATAGTGGTTATAACCCTCTCTCAACTCTATAACTCCAAAACACGAACCTTGACGAACAAGGCCGCTGCGCGGAGAAACAAGTTGAGAAACTAGTTCTATTATTAAAAAATTATTTAAAAATAAATAATATGAAACAATCAAAACATTTATAGACAAAAATTAACTTGAAATAAGCTTTAGGCAATGCTTAACTACTGAAATTTGTTAATTTATTAAAAAAATTAAGCTTTTAACTTATTACAGATGAATTGTTGCAATTTTGGTGCAATTACATATCTGCAAACGATGCAACTAAAGAGCAATATTTAAAACTGATAATGTAAAATTAAAACAAAAAAATATAGACAAAAAATTACTTGATCTAAATGTGGATGACAATCTTTTGGAAAGTTTATGCACTCTTGATCGAGATGGCTTTTCTTGCAATTCATCTAAACAAAAACATTTTTTCATAGCCTTGATGAAAAAAAAAAGAAAAGTAAAATAACCATTATTATAGTATTATTTATTTGAATTTATAATATTTTAAGATTGATATTATAAAAATAGGTTGACTGTTAAATGTTTAATGCGCAACTTGAGGCACAAAGAATTTTCATATTTTAAAAATTATATTTAAGCTAAAGAATATAAAGTTGTTTTTATTTATTTTCAAAAAAAGCATTTTGGCATATTGCCGTTTTTTTAGAAATTAATTTTGATCCAATTATTTTGTTCAATATATCATTTGGTTCATATTGCTGCATATAAGATACTTTAAAATTATACTTCTAAACAATGTCAATGATTGGTGAATGGAAATTCACCATGTATTAACTCAAATTCTTTTCACCTTTTTAATTAGTTAAAACATTTTTAAAATTGATTTTAAAACAAGAGTTATGTTCTAAATAAAATTAAAAAACCCTAAACAGCAGCAGAAAAAATTTATAAAAGAGGTGTTAAATATATAATCAAAAGTCAAGAAATAAGAAATACAGCTGAATCATCTACAGCACTCCATTCACTATGTGTTTTAAACCCCCTTCCCCCTTGTCGTAACAACATAACACTTTACTAACAAGTTCTGTATGAGTCATCGCAAAACCACTAACCCTCCCCCCTTCCCCCATTTTTTTTTTCACTTTAATCAGATCTTTTAGATTGTTAATTGTACTTAATTTATAAAATAAATTAATAAAACAAATTTTTTTATTGATTAGTTTTACTTGCTCCGAAGTGGCTCTAAAACGGAGGTAAACTTTGCAATTTATTAGATATAGTTCACATAAAGTTGAAAGATTAATTAAGCAGCACATAAAATAGAGGACTGGTAATAATGTTGCTATACATTAATACAAAAATATCAACATTGATTCTGATTAGCAGTAAAGGAATGATATTTTTTGGTGTTAAAATTTACCAATCACTGCAAGCCTCAAGCTGTGTAACAAAGGAGAAGTTACTGGAAACAAAGTTAAGTGTTAAAAAACTTTACAAGATAAATCATACTTATGGGGAGGACCAGCATATCATTCTATATAAAAACCTATGTTTGCAAAGACCAATGCGCAATAAAAATTTTCCATTATTTGGGTTAACAAATGAGCCATAGAATGAGAGGTTCAAAATCCTTATTAATGATCAGAAAGTTAGTAGATTCATGATGAGAGATAAAATGTTTGTTAATTAAAACTCAAAAACCTTGCTTATGATAGTAAGAAAACTAACGGGACAGTAGTTAAACAAGTCAAATAACTCTCCAGAATTTTTGAAAATTGGGATAACAGATGCTGCTTTCTAGCAGGCTGGTAAACTTATCAGAAATTAAGTTGCTGAACTTAAAGGAATCCCAAACCTCCAAGACATGTTGTGTTCATATCAAAGTGAATGATAAAAAAAATGTTTGGGCTAGATTTTTTTGATTAAAACAAAAGAACAATTGAAAAAAAAGAAAAACTATTTTTTTTATTTTAGTTGAAGCTTGCCTTCTCTGTTTTATTGTAGGCCTTAAAGTCAGCATAATATACGCCACAATCTAAATTGATTTTTGTTTGTTTGCATAAGAGATAGATTATGAAAACAAACAAAAAAGTCAATGACACCATGTACTAAAGCTATTCACAATAAAACGCGTTTGAATAAATTATCAAGTCTGTAGATTGTTGTGTATACTATGCTGACTTTTAGACCTACAATAAAATAGAGAAGGCAAGCTTTGACTAAAATAAAAAAGTTAGTTTTTCTTGGTATTTATTTATTCTTCTATTTTAAACAAAAAAATTTAACCCAAGCATTTTTTTTAATCATTTTCTTTAATATGAATACAACATGTCTTGGAGGTTTGGGATCCCTTTAAGTTGAGATATTAAAAGTTCATAGTGTTTGACTCAAAGACCTTGCTAATAATAGAAATAAGACTGATTGGATGATAGTTCTTAAATGATCGAAATGATATCCAGTATTTTTTAAAAGTAGGAACCAATCATACCTTTTTCCAGCAGGTAAAACATTTAAATATAGTTATATAAAACATAGCACTTGTAAAATAGAGAGTATTGAAAAGAATTTTAAAGAAAACTTTTGTAAGGCTATGACAGAATTGCTCATATGGTAGTTAATTAATTATTGTAAATATTTATATTTTTTCTTCTATAATTTCCGTTTTCTTAGATAAATTTCACTTTATTTATAATTGCAAGCTAAAGGTTGTTTTCAGCTAAAAAAAATATCATAAAATATAAAAAGTCATAAAAAAAAATTTATGACTTTTTATATTTTATGATATGTTAATGGTACAGCTGTAGTTGAAATATCAAACTATTCAGCTGTTACAATTAAAAAATTTGACAGTGATACTAAGTTAAATGTACATGTAAAAGCCAGTATATTAAGCTTAGTTTGTTAGTTATATATGGGATGTTTGTGTATATTATATGTATAATATAAGATATCTTTAAAAAATATTCTAACAACTAAAGTATGTTTTTTAGTTTTTTAATATTGGATTGGATGTGGTAAATAAATTTTTATGCAAATCTAATGTAGTTGTTTATACTAGACATAATTCTGAGGTCATAACCAAAAACTAGAACAACAATGACAAACTCTCTTCAAAGATTTGATTCTCTCATTAAATAAAAATTGGAATAGATTAGATAAAAACATAATAACCATACTTTCAATGAGTGACTTTAAAAACAAATTAAGTACCTCATTTGAGCATTGACCATGATTGCAATTGTAGAAAAAGCAAGAATCGCAACCTTACAACAATGGGAGAGTGGCTCAAGCTTAGCAGATAAAGCAGGTCTAATTACATTTGCTTTTAGACATTGTTTCAGAGTAAAAGGGTTGTTATTTGTCAATATAGGAACGCTACCAATATTGAAATACTTATTTGCAGTAAATAAATGAGTTTTGTTATTTAACAAAAATTGTGAATTTTAAGTCCAGAATTAAAATCCATAAGCCCATTTTAGATTTCATGAAGATCGTTTTTGTAGATAAGAAATAATACAGGAGCAAAGATAGAACCTTGTGATACCCTTGAAATTACTTAAAATAAAGAAGAGGGTAGACCTTCAAGAATAACTTTACTACTGCACTTAGAAATAAACAATTGAATAACCTCAAAACTTTTATATAAAGAAACAAATAACAGAGTGAAAACTAATCGTAGGATAGTTGAAGGGGTCAAAGTGTTTTCTAGAGTTTTGAAAAATTGAAACTACTTATTTAGCAAAGAGAGTTCCGGAGAACACTTTTTAAAGACTATAATGAAAATCTATTCTGGAGCACAAACTGTAGAAGTGTTTAACTGAGAATTAACTTGAGCATTGGAAGCCAGAGTGACTTCCGTGTTTAACAACGGTTTAATCTGTTTAACTGTCAGAAAGAGATTGCCCATTACATTCTAGAGTCAAATTAAATTTTTTCTTGCAAATAACTCTGCTTTATTCTGGGGAGAAGTAACATGGATCAGACCCATGAATTAGAGATTAAATGTTAGACTTACTTTAGTTAAAGATACTGTTGAGGATTTTCCAAAAGTCTCTAGAACCTTACATCTAAGATAAGATACAAGATTTAATAAAGGATTAATGTTGAAAAATTTGTAGTAGATTGAGGTTTGACTTAAAATTGAAGAGAATTAATAAAAACTTCCAAACTTTTATTCCAGAAAGAATAAAAGCTTCCAGAATGCATTTTATGCAAACATATTAAGGGTATATAAATATATCTGTTTGCTATTTATTTAGATGCTGGCATACAATATCCTTTCATTGTTATAAAAACTTTGTTATTTATATGGTGTAGTATTTACCGAAAGAGAAGATGATCAGATGGATGTGTGGTGTGACTCTAGTAAGACAAGAAAATGAGGCATAATTTGAAAAAATGTTGTAACTAATGTTTGCTAGAAAAGATTAAAGTAATTTAGGTATCAGCATGTAAAGAGGTAGCAGCTTCTGTAGAAAATGGCAGTGGTGGAAGTTAGAAAATTTGAAGAGTGTCTAACATATTGTATGAATGAGCTTTAATTAGAAAAAAAAAATGCTCTAAATTGTTTATAGTAGAGAAACATTTTTTTTTTTAATTATTCACCTCCCCAAGGCCCAAGGGGGCCACTACAGTCAAGGAGGCTACTCATTTTTTTGTTGTTGTTGTAAATTGTGGTACAACCCTCTCTCAACTCTTTAACTCCAAAACACGAACCTTGACAAGCAAGACAGCTGCGCGGAGAAATTAAGTTGAGCGTGGTACTTCCAGGGACATGGTGGGAGTCGAACTCCGAACTGCTCGCTTACAAAGCGAGCGCTCTTACCACTACACCACATACTGCATTTAATCATAAAAGAGGAAAGCTTAAGCCTGATGATGATGATAATAATGATGATGATGATAATGATGATCATCATCATCTGGCTTTACCCTTCCTCTTCATGCTGTTGTCTTCTTTTTTATGCTGTTTATGACAATGATCATGATCATGATCATGATAATGATGATAATGATGATGATGACGATAATAATGATGATTATGATGATCATTTTGACCATAATGATGTTTATATAAGCATTTATACATCCTAATATACTTTAGGAAATATAAATTTTTATGCAACCCAGGTCAAAAACCTGGTCCCGGCTATATTTTATCAAACCCAGGCCCAGCCCCGGTCAAATTATCAAACCCAGGTCAACCCCAGTCACTTACTAGTAGAAGTTGGACTTAAGCATCTAAGATATATTTTTAGTGTGTTTGTGTGTGTGTGTGTGCATGTGTGTGTGTTGGTATTTAAGCTTTAATTTTGAGAACTTGGAAAAAAGTTTGAAGATATAAAGATTCAAAGTAAAAATTTAAAAAAAAAAAGGTTGGAAGATTTTAAGTATTTATAGCTCACAAAATAAATAAAAGACTAACTGATTAATTCTGGATTAAAAAAATCAAGATGAAAAAATAGCTTATTTAAAAAAATAAAAAAACTTCTGAAGAAATTGCTTCTTTGCTGACCACATATCAATTTATTGCATGTTTAGTAAGGAAATAAGGCAACACAAGCATATTCATTCTGTATTGTTCTAATATCAAATACCAGTTATACCTTCACATTTAATATGGAACCAACATTCCAAAAGATTAAATTCAAAAATCCTGATGTTTTGATACTTTATAAGCACAAAAACTTTTAAATCCAATATTTTCGTTTTAAACTATTTCATAACAACATTGTACACATTTATAATAAATTATTTTAGAAACAAGATGTATAATTTTAGATTTTATTAGCCCCTGTTTTTTTTAAAATAGTATTAATTTTAGGATAAATTTTTTACCGAATCTTGCAAAGATTTGAAAATTATCTAAATTCCTTTTTAATTGTATTAAAATTGTGGATTGACGATGTTTCCAGTAACCAGCAATTTCCAGTAACCTCTGGAGTAACAATTTTTGGTATTAAGTTGCTTTAAGCTGGAGTAGGTAGTTTATAAGAAAATAAGAGTCAACTCCAAAATAAAAACATCTAAAGTTAACTAGTAGCTATCTTATATGATAAATCAACATAAATAAACTGTTTAAAACCTTTTTTTGTAGAATTTCAAAGAAATGCATTATAGTTTTATGGTCTAATTATGGTACTCTCGCTTGCAGCAATTGATTTATCTAAAAAAAAAGTTGAAAACCCCTGGTGCCTACTCTGTTACTACCAGACTTTCTGAGCTGGTCTCAGAATTTTTAAAGTTCTGAGGCCAACTGGTAGTAAGATTTCCCGATCTCTTGAGTTTGGAGTAAATATCCATAAGGCAGGAAATAAAGTTACATCATTAGGCTTAATCTTTGCCTAGGAGATCTACAAGCAGTATCAGGATGCAGTTAACATCTTCCTAAGATGAGTTTTATTGAGACACTATCCCTAGTTTTTACTCAACAAAGAACCAGGTGGTAAAAGCAGGTGCTATTGGAAAGCAGATGTTATTTAGAAAAAATTTAAAAGCAGGTGGATTTGAAGTTAAACGTCATTCTCCTAGTCTCTAGAAAAACGAATCCTATAAGATAGCAAGATTTAAGGCAGGTTGTATTAGATTATATGTTTCTACCAACTTACAAAGATCAGAGACATACTTCTCAAACTGCTTATGTTACAATTGAATTCAAAATTAGCGCTTTCATTGTCAAACAAAGACATTCCAAGAAGCAACTATGTGGTAGTAGGAAACAACCATGAGCCTAAATTTCTTTGTGTTCCAGCATACCACACCATTAATCAAAAATGTGGCAATTTTGTAGCAGTCTTAACAATTGATATGCTTTTTTCTTAAAAATGTGAGAATTTAGTTGAAAACATGATATCTGGTGTCACTTTGTCACACAGAGCATACAACACAGAGCATACAACAGCCAAATGTCACAATTCAGTTATAAAGGTGAAATCCTTTACCATAGCATGCTTGCCATCATCATGTTAGTGAAGTTATACTATCATGTGTTGAACTTTTAAACTAATTAAAATTAAAACTTTAATGTCTGCAGATGTAACACTATTCACTAAGTTTTGTAAGCACTTTTAACCTAATAGGTTAAAACACACAGATATGCAGCACTGCATTTGCCATGTAATGTGACTTCTGATACAGATGACAGTGTTGATTCTGTTAAACAATTATTTCACTTTAAAAACAGTAAATTCAACAAAAAAGACTAAATTTTGTTGACAGCCTTCAAACAAGTGTTTTAAAACTCACACATTTGCAACAATCATTTTGAGAGAATAAAATTTGTTGCGCTCTGCGTAGTATTTCTTGGTGGTAATGAAGTAGGAGAGACTTACATGCATATCACAAATAAAAGCTTTTAAATGCTTATACTTGACTACAAAGATAATAACTTATTAAGGAGCAAACCAACATTTTCTACAGGAATTAGGTCTGGAGAAGTTTGCTGCCAATCCATTATCAAAGCATTCAGTTCAAATAAATATTTTAAAATTGATTTAGCTGTTCCTCATTATGCAAGAATTTTCGTTTCACCTGGACCTGCAGGTGAACATGAACCAAAATAGTTGAACTATTTTGGTTAGCATTATCCTAATATATATATATATATATATATATATATATATAATATATATATATATATATATATATATATATATATATATATATATATATATATATATATATATATATATATATATATATATATATGTATATATATATATATATATATATATATATATATATATATATTTATATATATATATATATATATATATATATATATATATATATATATATATATATATATATATATAATATATATATATATATATATATTTGTATATAAATATATATTATATTTTATGTAATTTATATATATATATATATATATATATATATATATATATATATATATATATATATATATATATATATATAATATATATATATATATATATTTGTATATAAATATATATTATATTTTATGTAATTTATATATATATATATATATATATATATATATATATATATATATATATATATATATATATATATACATATACATCTATCTATCTATCTATCTATCTATATATATATATATATATATATATATATATATATATATATATATATATATATATATATATATATATATATATATATATAATCATCTGTAAACAAAAACATTACTGCTGACATCATTTTCATTTTTTATTATGTAAATTAATGAGTACCTTCTTCTTGATTTAAATTTGACGGAACACTTGAAGCACTTGATAGGTGAGCAGTTGGTAATGTCATTTTTCAATGTTAGATGTAAGAACTTCAAAAAAACATCTCTAAATATATAGTTTTTATCATAGTTCATAAACTTCTGTTAACAAAATATAATTTTATTATATAACAATAGTTTTCATGAGCAAATCAAACAAAAGACATTAGCAATAAATATTGATTTCCAATCAACTTTTATTTCAAGTTATTTTAGGTCAATATCATGAAAATACAAATAAAAAATTATCCATCAATATTTACTTGATCTAAAAAATTTAATTTAAAAATTAAAAATTTAATTTGGATTTCAACAAAAATTAGAGAAATACATTTAATAATTGATAAGAAAACAATAATTCTTTTTGTTATAATTCATTAAAGAAAACTGGAATACATAAGCATTTGAGCATCTAAACTTATTATTTATCGAAATTGGGAAAATTTTAATTTTTAATATTTCCGTTAATTATATAACAATGTTAAATAATTAAATTTTAAATTAAAGATTATATTAATACAACGCATATACTAAAAGATGCATATTTATATATATATTTGTATTGCAAAGAAAATTTATATATATTTATATGGTCAAAATGTTACCTAGTTTTAGCAGTCTTGCGAATATCATTTTTTTATTGCAGATTTTAATTTGTATCAATATATAAATTAAGTTTAGTTTGTTTTCTTTGTTTTCATTTAATGACGTCACAATTCTTCTAATGGATATATTTACAAAATGGAATTGAAATTATTTCGCATGTAACGTAATGAGAACAAAATAAAAATGTTAAAAGTGTAATAAACCTTCTTTATTTACCGAAAACGTTATCAGTTTAACAAATTTGATTGCCATATTTAATAAGCATTACTTTATTACTTAGTTACCTTAACTCTTTTCAGAATATTTGCTATTTGATTGGT